TCCCTCCGGGGTTTTCCTCCTCCGGCTGCTCCTGATGGGAATTCCCGACGGGATTTGGGATTTTGGGCTGAAATCCGCTGAAATTGGGGATTCTGAACCGGGATCCATCGGGATTTGGGATTTTGGGTCGGAATCCGTCGGGATTTGGAATTTTTGGCCGGAATCCGTTGGATTTTGGGGTTTTGGCCCCAAAAGCTGCGAGTTTGGGTCGGAATCCATCGGGATTTGGGATTTAGGGCCGGAATCCGCTGGAATTTGGGATTTTGGGTCGGAATCCGTCGGGATTTGGGATTTTGGGTCAGAATCCATCAGGATTTGGGATTTCATCCTGGAATCCATCAACATTCGGGATTTCGAGTGGGATCCCACGGAGATTTGGAATTTTCTTCCGGAATCCTCTGGATTTTGGAATCCCGACCCCGAGAGCTGCGAGTTTGGGGCAGAACCCTCCGGAATTCCCAATTTTTGCTCAGAATCCATCGGGATTTGGGATTTCATCCTGGAACCTTCTGGAATTTGGAATACTGGACCCAAAAGCTGCGACTTTGCCTCGGAACCCTCTGGAATTTGGGAATTCATTCTGGAATCCACTGGAATTTGTAATCCCAAAGCCAAAAACTGCGAGTTCTGCTCAGAATCCGTCGAGATTTGGGATTTTGGCTCAGAACCCTCTGGATTTGGGAATCCCGGCCCCAAAAGCTGCGAGTTTGGCTCGGAACCCTCCGGAATTTGGGATTTCATACTGGAATCCACCGGATTTTGTAATCCTGGTCCCAAGAGCTGCGAGTTTGTGTCGGGATCTGCCGGAATTTGGGAATTCACCCTGGAATCCGCTGGATTTCGTAATCCTTGTCCCAAAAGCTGCGAGTTTTGCTCGGAACCTTCCGGATTTTGGGAATTCACCCTGGAATTCGTTGGATTTCGGAGTCCTGAACCCAAAAGCTGCGAGTTCAGCTTGGAATCCGTCAAGATTTGGGATTTTGGCTCAGAACCCTCTGGATTTGGGAATCCTGGCCCCAAGAGCTGCGAGTTTTGCTCAGAACCCTCCGGAATTTGGGATTTCATCCTGGAACCCGCTGGATTTCGTAATCCTTGCCCCAAAAGCTGCGAGTTTTGCTCGGAACCCTCCGGAATTTGGGAATTCACCCGAGAATCTGCTGGATTTCGTAATCCTTGTCCCAAGAGCTGCGCGTTTGCCTCGGAACCCTCTGGAATTTGGGAATTCACCCGGGAATCTGCTGGATTTTGTAATCCTGGCCCCAAGAGCTGCGAGTTTGGGTCGGAATCCGTCAAGATTTGGGATTTTGGCTTGGAACCCTCTGGATTTTGTAATCCTGGTCCCAAAAGCTGTGAGTTTGTGTTGGAATCTGCCGGAATTTGGGAATTCACCCTGGAATCCGCTGGATTTTGTAATCCTGGCCCCAAGTTTTGCGAGTTTGCCTCGGAACCCTCCGGAATTTGGGATTTCATCCTGGAATCTGCTGGATTTTGTAATCCTGGCCCCAAGTTTTGCAAGTTTGTGTTGGAACCCTCCGGAATTTGGGAATTCCCCCCCAAACCGCCCCAATTTCGCCACCAGGCCCCGGCCCAGCCCATCCCGGGGCTCTGCCCCCAGCCCCCCCCCAGGCCGGGGCCGCTCTCGGGGTCGCGGGGCAGGTGCAGCTTCAGCCCCAACGCCCCGCTGGGACCTTCCTCCCCCTCCTCCTCCTCCTCCTCCTCCTCCTCCTCCTCCTCCTCCTCCCCGTGGCCCAGCACGGCCACCAGGGCGGCGCAGACATCGCGGAGGATTTTGCAGACGGAGCTGCGGGAGACGCCGAACGCGGCCTCCAGGGCCCGGTACTCGGTGTGGGCGCCCAGGCGGGCCAGGGTCAGCGCCAGCCGCACCTCGGCGGGCACCGCTCTCCTCATGGCCGTGTCCCGCCGCCCGATGCGCGGCCGCAGCCGCCGCAGCAGCGCCGCGAAGGTGGCGGGGCCGAGGCGGAGCCGTTCGCTCCACTCGCGGCCTCCCGGCGGCTCCTCCCGCAGCGCGGCCCAGGCCCAGCGGCTGCGCCGGCGGCTCCACACGCGGCCGCGGCGGCGGCGGCAGGAGGGCGGCGGGGAGGGCAGCAGCGCCAAGCGCAGCGCCGAGAGGCGGCGGCGGCGGCGGAGGAGGAGGAGGCGGTGAAGCAGCGCCCGGCGGAGGCGGCGGCGGCGGCGGCGGCGGCGGAGGAGGAGGAGGAGGAGGGAGGCGGCGGCGGCCGCCATGGGCGGCGCCATCTTGAGGTCGTACGGACAAGAAGGGCGCAGTGCGCATGCGCCGAGCCGATTGAACCGCACTGCGCATGCGCCAAATCGATTGCTCCGTACTGCGCATGCGCCGAGCCGATTGAACCGCACTGCGCATGCGCCAAATCGATTGCTCCGCACTGCGCATGCGCCAAGGTGGTTTCCCCGCACTACGCATGCGCTGAACGGTGAGTGCGCCCCGCCCCGCTTCACGCCTCGACCAATCAAAACCCCCCAATGCTTCGCCCCGCAGTTGATTGACAGCGAAAAGAACCAGTCGGGTGTTTCAGATGAATGATTGACAGCCTGCGGAGCCAATCAGCGCGCGTTTATTGGGATATGTACAGAGCCAAGCGAAGCACGCGGCGGTTGCCAAAAATTCCCCCAAAATTCCCCAAAAAATCCCCCAAAATTCCCCAAAATCCCAAAAAATTCCCGCCGGGATTTAAGGGGGGAAAAAATGGGGGGAGGGGGTGAAGGGTCGTACCTGTCCCGGGAAGGGGAAACTGAGGCACGGAGCGGTTCCAGAGGCACAAAAATTCCTCAAATTCCCAAAAAATTCCCGCCGGGATTTTTGTACCTTCCGCGGGGAAACTGAGGCACGGAGCGGTTCCACTGAGAAATTCCCAAAATTCCTGGAATTCTGGGGGTTGTACCGAGATCTGGGAGAGGGGGGAAACTGAGGCACGGGGAGATTCCCGATGAGAAAATTCCCAAAATTTCTGGAATTTTCTGGGGAAATTCCTGAAATTTGGAGGGGAAAGTCCCTAAATCCTTTGGAATTCTTGAGGGTCCGGCCCCGTTTCCTTGGGAAACTGAGGCACGAAGTTATTGCACAGCGAAACTCCCCAAATCCCGGGATTTGGGGCTCAAATCCCAAATTTTTTGGGAAAAAAGGATTGGATCCATGGGAAAATTCCTGAAATTCCTGAAATTGTGGGGCACAAATTCCCCCAATTTTTGGGAAAAAAAGGATTGAATCCATGGGAAATTCCCCAAATTCCTGGAATAGAAAGAAGCGTTGAATCCATGGGAAAATTCCTGAAATTCCTGAAATTCTTGGGATTTTGGGATCAAATCCCACATTTTTTAGGAAAAAAGGATTGAATCCATGGGAAAATTCCTGAAATTCCTGGAATTAATGAGATTTTGGGGATCAAATCCCCAAATTTTTGGGTAAAAAGGATTGGATCCATGGTAAAATTCCCAAATTCCTGGAATGGAAAGATGGATTGAATCCATGGGAAATTCCTGAAATTCCTGGAATTTTGGGGCTCCAATCCCACAATTTTTGGGAGAAAAGGATTGAATCCATGGGAAAATTCCTCGAATTCCTGGAATGGAAAAAAGGATTGGATCCATGGGAGAATTCCCCAAATCCCTCGAATTTTGGGGCTCAAATCCCAAATTTTTTGGGAAAGAAGGATTAAATCCATGGGAAATACCCCAAATTCCTGGAACGGAAAAAAGGATTGAATCCATGGGAAAATTCCTGGAATTCAGGAGGTTTCAGCTGAGGGGAAACTGAGGCATGGGGACAATTCCAGCCCCAAATTCCCCAATTTCCCGGGGATTTTCACCGGGATTTTCGGTACAAACTCTCAGAGATCCTCCCAGGAGTTGCCGTTGCCGGAGCCAAGGTTGGAAATTCCCAATTTCCATGGGATTTTCACCGGAATTTTCAGGATTTTTGGTGCCAAACATCAGAGATCCTCCCGGTCGGTGCCGTTGGCGGAGCCGAGGTGGGAAATTCCCCAATTTCCATGGGATTTTCACCGGGATTTTTGCCTTTTTTGGGCGATTTGGTACCAAACATCAGAAATTGTCCCAGTGGCTGCCGTTGGCAGGGCTGGTGTTGGAGATTCCCCAAATTCCATGGGATTTTCTCTGGGATTTTTGGTGCAAACTCTCAGAAATCGTCCCAGTCGCTGACGTTGGCGGAGCCAGGATGGGAAATTCCCCAATTTCCATGGGATTTTCACCAGGAATTTCGGGTTTTTTGGTGCAAACTCTCAGAAATTGTCCGAGTTGCTGCCGTTGGCGGGGCCGAGGTTGAAGATACCCCAATTTCCATGGGATTTTTGATGGAATTTTTGCATTTTTTGAGCAATTTGGTACCAAACATCAGAAATCCTCCCAGTCGCTGCTGTTGCTGGGGCTGAGGTGGGAGATTCCCCAAATCTCAGGGATTTCGGGGCTCAAATCCTAAATTTTTTGGGTAAAAAGGATTGAATCCATGGGAAATTTCCAATTTCCCTGGGATTTTCACGGGGATTTTTTGGATTTTTGGTGAGAACTCTCAGAAATCGTCCCAGTCGGTGCCGTTGGCAGAGCCGGGATTGGAAATTCCCCGATTTCCCGAGGATTTTTGCCGGGATTTTTGGTGCCAAATGTCAGAAATCGTCCCAGCCGGTGCCGTTGGCGGGGCTGAGGTGGGAAATTCCCCAATTTCCATGGGATTTTCACCGGGATTTTTGCATTTTTTGGGCGATTCGGTACCAGATGTCAGAGATCCTCTGAGGAGCCGGCGTTGGCGGGGCCGGGGTGGGAAATTCCCCAACTTCCATAGGATTTTCTCCGGAATTTTCAGGATTTTCGGTGAAACCCTCAGAAATCCTCCCAGTCGCTGCCGTTGGCGGAGCCAGGATGGGAAATTCTCCAATTTCCCTGGGATTTTCACTGGAATTTTTGCGTTTTTTTGGTGCAAACTCTCAGAAATCGTCCCAGCCGGTGCCGTTGGCGGGGTCGGGATGGGAAATTCCTCAATTTCCATGGGATTTTCACTGGGATTTTTGCATTTTTTGGGCAATTCGGTGCCAAACTCTCAGAAATCGTCCCAGTCGGTGCCGTTGCCGGGACCAATGTTGGAAATTCCCCAATTTCCATGGGATTTTCTCCAGGATTTTTGGGTTTCTTGGTGCAAACATCAGAAATCGTCCCAGTTGCTGTTGTTGGTGGGGCCGGGATTGGAGATCCCCCAATTTCCATGGGATTTTCACTGGAATTTTTGCATTTTTCGGTGCAATTTCTCAGAAATCGTCCCAGTTGGTGCCGTTGGCGGGGCCGGGATTGGAGATTCCCCAATTTCCATGGGATTTTCACCGGAATTTTTGGGTTTTTTGGTGCAAACCCTCAGAAATCGTCCCATTCGGTGCCGTTCCCATTCCCGAACTGCCTCCGCGCCAGGAGGTCGGTGTAGGGCAGCTCGGGCAGCGCCATGCGGCCGCAGCGCCGGCGCTCGGCGGGCGGCAGCCCCGGGCGCAGCGCGAAGCCCAGCACGGCGTGCTCGGCGCCGGGCGGCTGGAACGGCCGCAGCCGCGGCTCCGCGATGGCAGCGGCGGGCACCGGCCCGGCGCCGCGCAGGCAGCGCTCCTGCAGCCGCCGCCGCCGCCGCCGCAGCTCCGCCGCCTCCTCCTGCAGCCGCGCAGCGCCGAAACGCTCCACGTGGCGCCAGAAGGAGCGGTTGAAGTGCGAGTAGAGCGCCCAGTCCAGCGCGTTCCACGCCCGCAGCCGCCGCCGCTGCGCTGCCGTGGGCGCGGCCGCGCCGCCGCGCGCGTTGTGCGCGAAGACGTCGACGGCGGCGCGCGGCCAGCACAGGCGGTGCCGCAGCAGCACCAGCGACTCGTCGAAGCGCTCGGCCAGCAGCACCAGCGGGAAGCGCCGCTCCAGCCGCGCCAGCAGCGCCGGCACCTCGGCCGCCGCCGCCGGCGCGGGCAGCCCGAAGTCGAACCACTGCGGGTTCCGCGCCAGCCCCGCGCCGCGCCCGCCCGGCCCGAAGAAGCGGCGCGGCGCCGCCAGGAAGGCGTCGAGCGACGGCGCGCAGCGGAAGGCGGCGGCGGCCGCGCGGAAGTAGGAGAAGGCCGAGGCGCCCTGCGTGCCCGGGTCCCGCACGATGGAGAAGTAGAAGGAGTCGTTCGGCATCACCCGCTGCACCTAAGGGACAGAGGGGGGACATCGGCGGGGTTCCCTTTTTTATGATTTTTTTTCCCGTTTTTTTCCTGATTTTTTTCTGGCTTTTTTCCCATTTTTTTCTCATTTTTTCCTATTTTTTCTCTCTTTTTTCCCCTGATTTTTTTCCTTTTTTCCCTGATTTTTTTCCCATTTTTTCTGACTTTTTTCCATTTTTTCCCAGATTTTTTCCCATTTTTTCCTGATTTCTTTCCTATTTTTTCCAATTTTTTCTCTCTTTTCTTCCTCTGATTTGTTCCCATTTTTTTTCCCATTTCCCCCCATTTTTTCTGATTTTTCCCCATTTTCCCCCATTTTTTAGAGATTTTTTTGGGATTTTTTTCCCTTTTTTTTCTGATTTTTTCCCCCATTTTTTCTGGCATTTTTCCCATTTTTTTCTGACTTTTTCCCCCCATCTTTTCTGATTTTTCTTCCATTTTTTCTGATTTTTTATCTCTTTTTTTCCCTGATTTTTTCCCTGATTTTTTCCCATTTTTCAGAGATATTTTGGGGATTTTTTTCCCCATTTTTCCTGATTTTTCCCCCATTTTTCTGAGATTTTTTTTGGTATTTTTTCCCCCCATTTTTTTCTGACTTTTTCTCCCATTTCTTCTGATTTTTTCCCCATTTTTTCTGATGTTTTTCCCATATTTTTCCCATTTTTCAGGGATTTTTTCCCCATTTTTTCCCCTAAAACCCCCCCAAACCCCCCCCTAAAAATTCGCCAATTTTTTCCCAGATCCCAGTTTTCCCAAACTCCCCGTTTTTGGCCCCAAATCACCTCTGTCGGGCTGAAGCGCATGTGGTGGCAGATGATGTCGAACCTCTCCCCGGGCCGGAACCCGCTGACCCCAAACCCCCCAAAAACCCCCTAAAAAATCCCAAAAAATCCCCAAAAAATTACCCAATTTTCCCTTAATAAAATCGAAAAAATTACCGAAAAAAAAATCCAATTTTCTCTAAAAAAAATCCCATTTTTTCCCCTAAAAATCACCAAAAAAATCCCATTTTTTCCCCTAAAAACCCCCAAAAAATCCCATTTTTTCCCCTAAAACTCCCCCAAACCCCCCCTAAAAATCCCCAATTTTCCCAAAATCCCCGTTTTTCCCCCAAATCACCTCGGTCGGGCTGAAGCGCATGTGGTGGCAGATGATGTCGAACCGTTCCCCCGGTCGGAACCCGCGGACGCTCTCGGCGCGGAACGGGCCGGGATACCCCAAATCCCCAATTTCCCCAAATCCCCGTTTTTCCCCCCAAATCACCTTGGTCGGGCTGAAGCGCATGTGGTGGCAGATGATATCGAACTGTTCTCCGGGCCGGAACCCGCTGACCCCAAACCCCCCAAAAACCCCCTAAAAAATCCCCAAAAAATTACCCAATTTTCCTTTAATAAAATCGAAAAAATTACCAAAAAAAATATCCAATTTTCCCTAATAAAATCCCAATTTTTTCCCTAAAAATCACCAAAAAAATCCCATTTTTTTCCCCTAAAAATCACAAAAAAATCCCATTTTTTCCCCTAAAAACCCCCAAAAAATCCTATTTTTTCCCCTAAAACTCCCCCAAACCCCCCCTAAAAATCCCCAATTTTCCCAAAATCCCCGTTTTTCCCCCAAATCACCTCTGCCGGGCTGAAGCGCATGTGGTGGCAGATGATGTCGAACTGTTCTCCGGGCCAGAACCCGCTGACCCCAAACCCCCCAAAAACCCTCTAAAAAATCCCAAAAAATTTCCCAATTTTCCCTTAATAAAATCGAAAAAATTACCAAAAAAAATATCCAATTTTCCCTAATAAAATCCCAATTTTTTCCCTAAAAATCACCCAAAAAATCCCAATTTTTTCCCTAAAAATCACCAAAAAAATCCCATTTTTTCCCCTAAGAAGCCCCAAAAAATCCCATTTTTTTCCCTAAAAAGCCCAAAAAATTCCCCAATTTTTCCCCTAAAAATCCTCAATTTTCCCAAAATCCCCGTTTTTGGCCCCAAATCACCTCGGCCGGGCTGAAGCGCATGTGGTGGCAGATGATATCAAACCTCTCTCCCGGCCGGAACCCGCGGACGCTCTCGGCGCGGAACGGTTCCGGGTACCGGAACTGGTAGCGCTGGGGGAGGGCGAAGCGAAGCTGTCGCGACTCGCCGTATCGCGACAGGAGGTTCACGACGCTGCTGCCGCCCGTCTTGTGCGTCTTCAGGAACACGATGTGCGACACCGGCCGGCACGGAGCCGCCCTGCGGCGGGGGGACGGGGTCATGTCGCGATAGTGCGGCGGGGATCCGCGGGAATGCCCCCGAAATCGCGATATTTGACCCCAAAATCAGGGTGTTTGGCCCCGAAATCGCAATCTTTGACCCCAAAATTGGGGTGTTTATCCCCAAAATACCCCCGAAATTGCAGTTTGCCACGGAAATCGCGATGTTTAACCCCAAAATTGGACAAAATTGGGGTGTTTAACCCCAAAATCGTGATATTTGACCCCAAAATCACAATGTTTGACCCCAAAATCCCAGGATTTGCCCTCTAAATTCTGGTGTTTCACATCCCAATCGCGATATCGCACACGGATATCGCGATATTTGTCCTTTAACCCTGATCGCTCCTGAATAAATCCTGATATCCCCATAATAAATCCCGATATTTGCCCCAAATCCCGATATTTGCCCCAAATCCCAATATTTGCCCCAAATCCCGATATTTCCCCCCAATCCTCGGGGTGCAGGAGCAGCAGGTGCCAGTGGGGCCCTGCAGGGCGGGACGGGCTCGTGTCGTGATAGTGCGGCGGGGATCCCCCCGAAATCGCGATATTTCACCCCGAAATTGGGGTGTTTATCCTCAAAATCGCCATATTTACCCCCAAAATTGCAGGGTTTGACCCCGAAATCACAATGTTTGACCCCAAAATTGCCGTGTTTGACCCCAATATCGCAATATTTACCCCCAAAATTGCAGTGTTTGACCCCAAAATCGCGATGTTTAACCCCAAAATAGCGATGTTTGCCATGGAAATCGTGATGTTTGACCCTGAAATCGGGGTGTCTGACCTCGAAATCGCGATGTTTGACCCCGAAACTGCAGGGTTTGACCCCGAAATCGCGATATTTGGCCCCGAAATTGCAGTGTTTGACCCCAAAATTGGGGTGTTTGACCCCAAAATCGCGATGTTTGACCCTGAAATTGGGGTGTTTAACCCCAAAATTGCGATGTTTGCCACTGAAATCAGGGAATTTGACCCTAAAGTCACGATATTTGACCCCAAAATCTCGATGTTTGACCCCGAAATCGCGATATTTAGCCCCAAAATTGTAGTGTTTGACCCCAAAATCGCAATGTTTGACCCCAAAATCGTGATCTTTGACCCCAAAATTGCAGTGTTTGACCCCAAAATCGTCATGTTTAACCCCAAAATCACGATGTTTGACCCTGAAATCGTGGGGTTTAACCCCAAATTGGGATGTTCGACCCCAAAATCGCAATATCACCATTTTTGGGGTCCCACCTGAGGGATTTTTGGGGTCCCCCTGAGGGATTTTTGGGGTCCCCCTGAGGGATTTTTGGGGTCCCCCTGTGGGATTTTTGGGGTCCCCCCTGTGGGATTTTTGGGGTCCCCCATGAGGGATTTTTGGGGTCCCCATGTGGGATTTTTGGGGTCTCACCTGTCGGGTTTGGGGTCTCACCTGTGGGATTTTTGGGGTCCCCCTGAGGGATTTTTGGGGTCTCACCTGTGGGATTTTTGGGGTCCCACCTGTGGGATTTTTGGGGTCCCACCTGTGGGATTTTTGGGGTCCCCCTGAGGGATTTTTGGGGTCTCACCTGAGGGATTTTTGGGGTCTCACCTGAGGGATTTTGGGGTCCCCCCTGTGGGATTTTTGGGGTCTCACCTGTGGGATTTTTGGGGTCTCACCTGTGGGATTTTTGGGGTCCCCCTGTGGGATTTTTGGGGTCCCCCCTGTGGGATTTTTGGGGTCTCACCTGTCGGGTTTGGGGTCTCACCTGTGGGATTTTTGGGGTCCCCCCTGAGGGATTTTTGGGGTCCCACCTGAGGGATTTTTGGGGTCTCACCTGTGGGATTTTTGGGGTCCCACTGTGGGATTTTTGGGGTCCCCCATGTAAGATTTTTGGGGTCCCACCTGTGGGATTTTTGGGGTCCCCCCTGAGGGATTTTTGGGGTCCCCCTGAGGGATTTTGGGGTCTCACCTGTCGGGTTTGGGGTCTCACCTGAGGGATTTTTGGGGTCCCCCATGTGGGATTTTTGGGGTCCCACCTGAGGGATTTTTGGGGACTCACCTGTGGGATTTTTGGGGTCCCCCCTGTGGGATTTTTGGGTTCCCACCTGTGGGATTTTTGGGTTCCCACCTGTGGGATTTTTGGGGTCCCACCTGTGGGATTTTTGGGGTCCCACCTAAGGGATTTTTGGGGTCCCCCTGTGGGATTTTTGGGGTCTCACCTGTGGGATTTTTGGGGTCTCACCTGTGGGATTTTTAGGGTCCCCCTGTGGGGTTTTTGGGGTCTCACCTGAGGGATTTTTGGGGTCCCACCTGAGGGATTTTTGGGGTCCCCCTGAGGGATTTTTGGGGTCTCACCTGAGGGATTTTTGGGGTCCCCATGTGGGATTTTTGGGTTCCCCCTGAGGGATTTTTGGGGTCCCACTGTGGGATTTTTGGGGTCTCACCTGTGGGATTTTTGGGGTCTCACCTGTGGGATTTTTGGGGTCCCCCTGAGGGATTTTTGGGGTCTCACCTGAGGGATTTTGGGGTCTCACCTGTCGGGTTTGGGGTCCCGGGTGGGGCGCAGGGGCCCCCCCAGCAGCCCCAGGGCGAAGCTGAGGGTGACGAAGACCCCGAGGGCGGCTCCCAGGGGGGTCCCCCAGGATTTTGGGGTCCCCCAGAATTTTGGGATCCCACAGAATTTTGGGGTCCCGCAGCATTTTGGGGTCCCCGGGCGGGTCCGTCCCGGTGGCGCCTTCGGATTCATCCCGAGGGGGGAGGGGACGGCGGCCTGGGGGGGAGAGACGGGGTCACCCCAAAATCGGGAACGGGGACCCCAAATCCCGGTTCCTGACCCCAAATCCCCGTCCCGGATCCCAAATCCCGGTCCTGGATCCCAAATCCCGATCCTGGACCCCAAATCCCGGTCCTGGATCCCAAATCCCAGTCCTGGATCCCAAATCCCGGTCCTGGATCCCCAAATCCCAGTCCTGGATCCCAAATCCCGGTCCTGGATCCCAAATCCCGGTCCTGGACCCCAAATCCCAGTCCTGACCCCAAATCCCAGTCCCGGATCCCAAATCCCGGTCCTGGATCCCAAATCCCAGTCCCAGATCCCAAATCCCGGTCCTGGATCCCAAATCCCGGTCCTGGATCCCAAATCCCGGTCCTGACCCCAAATCCCAGTCCCAGATCCCAAATCCCGGTCCTGGATCCCAAATCCCGGTCCTGGATCCCAAATCCCGGTCCTGGATCCCAAATCCCGGTCCTGGATCCCAAATCCCGGTCCTGGATCCCAAATCCCGGTCCTGGACCCCAAATCCCCATCCTGACCCCAAATCCCGGTCCTGGATCCCAAATCCCAGTCCTGGATCCCAAATCCCAGTCCTGGATCCCAAATCCCGGTTCCTGACCCCAAATCCCAGTCCTGGATCCCAAATCCCCCTTTTCATGATCCCAAATCCCCCTTTCTCCGATCCCAAATCCCACTTTTCCCCTTTCCCCGATCCCAAATCCCCCTTTCCCCGATCCCAAATTCCCCATCCCCGATCCCAAATCCCCCTTTTCCCTTTTCCCCGATCCCAAATCCCATTTTTCCCACTTTCCCCGATCCCAAATCCCCCTTTCCCCGATCCCAAATCCCCTTTCCCCGATCCCAAATCCCCATTCCCGATCCCAAATCCCCCATTCCCGATCCCAAATCCCCCTTTTCCCCATCCCCGATCCCAAATCCCCCTTTTCCCGATCCCAAATCCCACTTTCCCCGATCCCAAATCCCTCTTTCCCCTTTCCCCGATCCCAAATCCCCCTTCCCCGATCCCAAATCCCTTTTTTCCCCATTCCCGATCCCAAATCCCCCTTTTCCCCATCCCAAATCCCACTTTTCCCTCTTTTCCCGATCCCAAATCCCATTTTTTCCCCCTTTCCCTCTCACCGCGGCCTCGCTCAGCTCCGCCGCATCCCGGGATCGGTCCCGGCGATCCCAAAGAAGATTCCCGAGATCCCAAAGAAAATTCCCGGCGGCCCCAAAGGCTCCCGGCGATCCCAAAGAAGATTCCCGGGATCCCAAAGGAGATTCCCGGCGGCGATCCCAAAATTCCCGAAGTTCCCGATCCTTCTCTTTCCGCCCCGCCAACTTTTCCCCTTTTGTCTCCGGCCCCGCCCCGGGACGGCCCCGCCGGGCGGGACCCGGAATGGGATTTGGGATTTGGGATTTGGGATTTGGGGTTTGGGATCGGGAACGGGAACGGGACCGGGAATGGGATTTGGGATTTGGGATTTGGGGTTTGGGGTTTGGGATTTGGGATTTGGGATTTGGGATTTGGGATTTGGGGTTTGAGATTTGGGATTTGGGGTTTGGGATTTGGGATCGGGAATGGGGTTTGGGATTTGGGATCGGGACCCGGAATGGGGTTTGGGATTTGGGGTTTGGGGTTTGGGGTTTGGGATTTGGGATTTGGGATTTGGGGTTTGGGATTTGGGATTTGGGGTTTGGGATTTGGGATCAGGACCGGGAATGGCCCCGGGGGGCGGAGTGGGACTGGGAATGGGATTTGGGATTTGGGATTTGGGATCGGGAACGGGACTGGGAATGGGAATGGGATTTGGGATTTGGGATCGGGAACGGGACCAGAAATGGGATTTGGGATCGGGAACGGGACCGGGAATGGGATTTGGGATGGGAATGGGATTTGGGATGGGAATGGGATTTGGGGCCAGGATTGGGATCGGGAACGAGATCCAACCCCCTCCAGCCCCTCCCAAACCCCGAATTCCCCACAGAATTCCCAAATTTTGGGGTTTTTAGGGACCCCCACTCCACAGAGAACCCCAATCCACAGGGGAACCCCCATCCCCCTGACCCCCACATCCCCCCCTGGCCCCTACAGCCCCCCCCGATCCCAAATTCCCGCCGGAATTCCCAAATTTTGGGGTTTTTTGGGAATTCCCCTCACGGGAAGCCACGCCCACTCCCCGCATAGCCCCGCCCACTTCACCGTTTGCCCCGCCCACTTTTCCCGCCCGCCCCGCCGTGCCACGTGACCGGTTTCGCGCGCGCGCCAGGCGCCATTTTGCTTTGGCGGGAAGCGAGGCGCGCGTGAGGCGGGGCCGGTCCGGCCGCGTCTTTTTTGAGGGAAAAATCGAAGTTTTGGGGCATTTTCAGCCCCGCAAAGGTGAGGGAGGGACAAGGGGCGTTGGCAGGTTGGGATTTGTGAGGGGAAAAGGTTCCCCCCACCCCTTAAATTGGGGTTTGGGGGGGTTTGAGAAGCCGAAATCTGCCTCTCTGTGGGATTTGTGAGGGAAAAGTTTCCCCCCACCCCTTAAATTGCGTTTGAGAAGCCAAAATCCGCCTCTCTGTGAGATTTGTGAGGGAAAAGTTTCCCCCACCCCTTAAATTGGGGTTTGGGGGGTTTGAGAAGCCCAAATCCGCCTCTCTGTGGGATTTGTGAGGGAAAAGTTTCCCCCACCCCTTAAATTGGGGTTTGGGGGGTTTGAGAAGCCCAAATCCGCCTCACTGTGGGATTTGTGAGGGAAAAGCTTCTCTCACCCCTTAAATTAGGGTTTGAGAAGCCCAAATCTCCCTCTTTGTGGGATTTGTGAGGGAAAAGCTTCTCCCGACCCCTTAAATTGGGGCTTGAGAAGCCGAAATCTCCCTCTCTGTGGGATTTGTGAGGGAAAAGCTTCCCCCCACTCCTTAATTTGGGGTTTGGGGGGTTTGAGAAGCCCAAATCCTCCTCTCTGTGGGATTTGTGAGGGAAAAGTTTCCCCCGACCCCTTAAATTGGGGTTTGGGGGGTTTGAGAAGCCCAAAACTCCCTCTTTGTAGGATTTGTGAGGGAAAAGCTTCTCCCCACCCCTTAAATTTGGCTTTGGGGGGTTTGAGAAGCCCAAATCCGCCTCTCTGTGGGATTTGTGAGGGAAAAGTTTCCCCCACTCCTTAAATTGGGGTTTGGGGGGGTTTGAGAAGCCCAAATCCACCTCTCTGTGGGATTTGTGAGGGAAAAGGTTCCCCCCACCCCTTAAATTGGGGTTTGGGGGGTTTGAGGTGCCCAAATCCACCTCTTTGTGGGATTTATGAGGGAAAAACTTCTCCCCACCCCTTAAATTGGGGTTTGAGAAGCCCAAATCCCCCTCTCTGTGGGATTTGTGAGGGGAAAAGCTTTCCCCCACCCCTTAAATTGGGGTTTGGGGAGGGGTTGAGAAGCCCAAATCTCCCTCTCTGTGGGATTTGTGAGGGAAAATGTTCCCCCCACCCCTTAAATTGGGGTTTGGGGTGTTTGAGAAGCCCAAATCCCCCTGTTTGTGGGATTTGTGAGGGAAAAGCTTCTTCCCACCCCTTAAATTGGGGTTTGGGGGGTGGTTGAGAAGCCCAAATCCACTTCTCTGTGGGATTTGTGAGGGAAAAGTTTCCCCCCACCCCTTAAATTGGGGTTTGGGGGGGTTGAGAAGCCCAAATCTCCCTCTCTGTGGGATTTGTGAGGGAAATGTTCCCCCCAACCCTTAAATTGGGGTTTGGGGGGTTTGAGAAGCCCAAATCTGCCTCTTTGTGGGATTTGTGAGGGAAAAAGTTTCCTCCCACCCCTTAAATTGGGGTTTGGGGGGTTGAGAAGCCCAAATCCACTTCTCTGTGGGATTTGTGAGGGAAAAGCTTCTCCCCACCCCTTAAATTGGGGTTTGGGGGGGTTTGAGAAGCCGAAATCTCCCTGTTTGTGGGATTTGTGAGGGAAAACTTTCCCCCCACCCCTTAAATTGGGGTTTGGGGGGTTTGAGAAGCCAAAATCTCCCTGTTTGTGGGATTTGTGAGGGAAAAGCTTCCCCCCACCCCTTAAATTGGTGTTTGGGGGGTTTGAGAAGCCGAAATTTCCCTCTTTGTGGGATTTGTGAGGGAAAACTTTCCCCCCACCCCTTAAATTGGGGTTTGGGGGGTTTGAGAAGCCCAAATCCGCCTCTTTGTGGGATTTGTGAGGGGAAAATCTTCCCCCCACCCCTTAAATTGGGGTCTAAGAGGTCCCTTGGTTTGATCCAGGGGCGTGTGGGGATTTTTTGGGGGGATTTTTCAGGGTTTTGGGGGGTCTGACCCCACAAAAGTGAGGAAGGGGCTTTATCCACCCCCTGAAATTGTGACCTGGTGGGATTTTTGAAGTTTTTATCTCTCATTTTTCCATTTTGAGGGAATTTAGGCTCCCTCTCCTTTTCCCGAGGGAATTTTGGGAATCCCACCCCTCATTTTTCCATTTTGAGGCAATTTTGGGAATACCACCCCTCACTTTTCCCCTTTTGGGGAATTTTGGGAATCCCACCCCTCATTTTCCCTTTTTGAGGGAATTTTGGGTATCCCACCCCTCATTTTTCCCTTTTTGAGGCAATTTTGGGAATCCCACCCCTCATTTTCCCTTTTTGAGACAATTTTGGGAATCCCACCCCTCATTTTCCCTTTTTGAGGGAACTTTGGGTTCCCTCTCCTTTTCCTGAGGGAATTTTGGGAATCCCATCCCTCATTTTCCCTTTTTGAGGGAATTTTGGGAATCCCACCCCTCATTTTTCCATTTTGAGGGAATTTGGGCTCCCTCTCCTTTTCCTGAGGGAATTTTGGGAATCCCACCCCTCATTTTTCCATTTTGAGGGAATTTTGGGCTCCCTCTCCTTTTCCCGAGGGAATTTTGGGAATCCCACCCCTCATTTTTCTATTTTGAGGGAATTTTGGGCTCCCTCTCCTTTTCCTGAGGGAATTTTGGGAATCCCACCCCTCATTTTTCCATTTTGAGGGAATTTTGAGAATCCCACCCCTCATTTTTCCATTTTGAGGGAATTTTGTGAATCCCACCCCTCATTTTTCTATTTTGAGGGAATTTTGGGTTCCCTTTCCTTTTCCTGAGGGAATTTTGGGGATCCCACCCCTCATTTTCCCTTTTTGAGGGAATTTTGGGAATCCCACCCCTCATTTTCCCATTTTGAGGGAATTTTGGGAATCCCACCCCTCACTTTTCTCCTTTTGAGGGAATTTTGGGAATCCCACCCCTCATTTTCCCTTTTTGAGGGAATTTTGTTCTCTCCTTTTCCTGAGGGAATTTCGGGAATCCCGCGCCCCATTCTCTCCTCTTGGGGGGTGTGTGGGTCACAGCCTGGAGAGACCCCTCCAGAATCCCCCTTTTTCCCCATTTTTCCCCACTTTTCCTTATTTTTCCCGTTTTTTCCCAGTTTCCCGGCCATGGCTCTCCGTCACTCCCCCCGGCTCCGAGCCTCGGGCTCCTCCCGCGGCTCCTCCAGCGGCGCTCCGGGATCGGGATCGGGATCGGGATCGGGATCGGCCCCTGGGAGCAGCTCCCCCGGCAGCCCGTGAGTTCCCGGGAATCCCAAACCCCTCCAGTCCCCCTTTCCCACTCATTCCCAAAAATTCCCCCATCCCAGCTCCTCTTATCCCGCTTTTTCCTAATTCTCGCTCAGTTTTCCTCAATTTTCCCCCACATTTTCACTGCTTTCCCCCATTTTTCCTCACATTTTCACTGCTTTCCCCCATTTTCCCACTTTATCCCACTTTATCCCCATTTTCCCCACTTTATCCCCATTTTCCCCACTTTATCCCCATTTTCCCCACTTTTATCCCCATTTCCCCACTTTATCCCCATTTCCCCCACTTTATCCCCATTTTCCCCACGTTATCTCCATTTTCCCACTTTATCTCCATTTTCCCCACTTTATCCCCATTTCCCCCATTTAATCCCCATTTTCCCCACTTTTATCCCCATTTTCCCCACTTTATCCCCATTTCCCTGTTTTTTCCCCATTTCCCCCAGTTTTCCCCTCATTTCCCCCTATTTTTCCCAATCCCAACGCTTTAAAATCCCATTTTCCTCAGTTTTCTCCCCATTTTCCTGTTTTCCCCATTTCCTCCATTTTTGCCCCATCCTGACCCTTTTTAATCCCGTTTTCCTCACTTTTCTTCTCATTTCCCCTCATTTTCTCCCATTTTTACCCATTTCCTCCATTTTTACCCCATCCCGACCCCTTTTAATCCCATTTTCCTCAGTTTTCTCCCCATTTTCTCCCATTTTTACCCATTTCCTCCATTTTTACCCCATCCTGACCCTTTTAAATCCCATTTTCCTCAGTTTTCTTCTCATTTCCCCCCATTTTCTCCCATTTTTACGCAATCCCAACCCTTTTTATCCCCATTTTCCCCATTTTTTTCCCCATTTTCTCCCCATTTTCCCCAGTTTTATCCCATTCCCCCCACCCCATCCACCTTTTCTCCCATCCCCTATTTTTCCCAATCCCGACCCTTTTAAATCCCATTTTCCTCAGTTTTCTCCCCATTTTCTCCTGTTTTTACCCATTTCCTCCATTTTTACCCCATCCCGACCCTTTTTAATCCCGTTTTCCTCACTTTTCTTCTCATTTCTCCCCTATTTTCTCCTGTTTTTCCCCATTTCCTCCATTTTTACCCCATCCCGACCCTTTTTAATCCCATTTTCCTCAGTTTTCTCCCCATTTTCTCCTGTTTTTCCCCATTTCCTCCATTTTTACCCCATCCCGACCCTTTTTAATCCCATTTTCCTCAGTTTTCTTCTCATTTCCCCCCCATTTTCTCCCATTTTTCCCCATTTCCTCCATTTGTACCCCATCCCAACCCCTTTTAATCCCAATTTCCTCAGTTTTCTCCTCATTCTCCCCCCATTTTCTCCCATTTTTATCCTATCCCAACCCTTTTTATCCCCATTCTCCCCAGTTTTATCCCATTCCCCCCACCCCATCCCCCCTTTTTCCCAGCTCAGCCCCAAAACTCCCGTTTTTCCCCCCAAAATCTGGGCAGGGAATTCCCGGAGGATTCCGACTCCGGCAGCGACTTCGAGCCGTCGCTGCGGCCCCGGAGCAAGCGGGGCCCGCCCCGAGGATCCCAAAGGAGCCGCGTAATTCCCAAAATCTCCTTTTTTTGGGGCTTTTCCGCCCCTTTTCCCCATTCCCGCTGCTTTTTCCCGATTTTCCCGGATTTTCCCCCGTTTCCCGCAGGCCCCGAAGCGCTCCCGCCTCTCCGGCAGCGACGGGAGGGACCCGGAGCCGAATTCCCTCTTCGAGGCCGTTTTTTCGGGAAAAGTGGCCACGGAGGTACCAAAAACTGGGAAAATCCCCAGAATTTTCAGGATTTCCCCAAAATTCCCTTTTCCCTTCTCAAATCTCCATTTTTTTCTCAAAATTCCCTTGTTTTTCCTCTCAGTTTTGTATTTTTTCATTGAAATATTGATTTTTTTTCTCCAAAATTTTCTTTTTTCCATCAAAATTTGTGCTTTTGACCCGATTTTCCCTGTAATTCCTGTTTCTCCCCTTGAAATTCCCGTTTTTTCCCCTGAAATCTCAATTTTCTCCTTGAAATTGCTTTCTACCTCTGAAATTCCCATTTTTCTCCTGAAATTCCCACTTTCCACCAATGTTAATTTTATTCCCCTGAATTTCTCCTTCGTGGGGTTTTCCCACAAAATTTTTTCCCCCCAAAATTTCCGTTTTCCCCTCCAAAATTCCTGTTTCTTCCCCCAAAATTCCATTTCTTCCCCCAAAATTCTATTTTTTCCACAAATTCCCATTATCCCCAAATTTCCTTTATCCCCCAAAAATTCCCATTTTTAACTCCAAACTTCCAAGTTTTTCCCCCCAAAATTCGTCTTTTCCCCCTCCAGAATTCCGGGTTTTCCCCCCCAAAATTCCCTATTTTTCCCCCTGAAAATTCCAAGTTTTCCCTCCAAAATTTCCATTTTCCCCCTCCAAAATTCCCATTTTTTCCTTTCAAAATTCCAGGTTTTCCCTCTAAAATTCCTGTTTTCCCTCTCCAAAATTCCATGTTTTTCTCCAAAATTCCCATTTTTCCCCCCCCAAAATTCTGTGTTCCCCCCAAAATTCCCATTTTACCCCTCCAAAAATTCCAGTTCTTTTCATCAAATTCCCATTTTTCCCCCAGAATTCCCATTTTTTCCCCTCAAAAATTTCAGGTTTTCCCCCAGAATTGCCAATTTTTCCTTACAGTATTTTGTTTTTTCCCCAAATTCCCGTTTTTTGCCCCGTTTTTCCCGGCCAGCCGCTGGTGGACGAGTGGCTGGAGCGGTACCGGCGGGACCGGGAGGGCGCCTTCCTGGAGCTGCTGAACTTCACCGTGCGCTCCTGCGGCTGCCGCGGTCAGGAACGGGCTGAAAAACCGGGAATTTGGGAAAAATGGGTGAAAAAATGGGAAAAATGGGAAAAACGGGGAAAAATGGGAAAAAACGGGAAAAATGGGGAAAAAACGGGAGGAAAATGGGTGAGTTCCTGGAGCTGCTGAACTTCACCGTGCGCTCCTGCGGCTGCCGCGGTCAGGAACGGGCTGAAAAACCGGGAATTCGGGAAAAATGAGGGAAAAAATGGGAAAAATGGGAAAAACGGGGAAAAATGGGAAAAAACGGGAAAAATGGGGAAAAAACGGGAGGAAAATGGGTGAGTTTCTGGAGCTGCTGAACTTCACCGTGCGCTCCTGCGGCTGCCGCGGTCAGAAACGGGCCGAAAAACCGGGAATTTGGGCAAAATGGGGAAAATGAGCAAAAAAATGGGAAAAAATAGTGAAAAATGGGAAAAAACGGGGGAAAATGAAAGAAAATGAGGAAAAACAGAGAGGAAATTGGGATGGGGAAAATGGGAGAAAAGCCCTGGAATGAAGGAAAATGGAGGAATCTGGGGCTGGGATTGGGGGAAATTGGGAAAAATGGGGAATTGGGATGGGGAAAATGGGGAATTCAGGGATCTGGGATGGGGAATTCAGGGATCTGGGATGGGAAAATGGGGAATTGAGGGATTTCGGATGAAGGAAAATAGAAATTCAGGGATTTGGGATGGGGAATTCAGGGATTTGGGCTGGGAAAATGGGAATTCAGGGATTTGGGATGAGGAATTCAGGGATTTGGGATGGGAAGATGAGGAATTCAGGGATTTGGGCTGGGAAAATGGGAATTCAGGGGTTTGGGCTGGGAAAATGGGGAATTCAGGGATTTGGGATGGGAAAATGGGGAATTGAGGGATTTGCGATGGGAAAATGGGGAATTGAGGAATTTGGGATGGGGAATTCTGGGATTTGGGATGGGAAAATGGGAATTCAGGGATTTGGGATGGGAAGATGAGGAATTCAGGGATTTGGGATGAGGCATTGAGGGATTGGGAATTCAGGGATTGGGAATTCAGGGATCTGGGATGAGGAATTGAGGGATTTGGGCTGGGAAAATGGGGAATTCAGGGATTTGGGATGGGAAGATGAGGAATTCAGGGATTTGGGATGGGGAATTCAGGGATTTGGGATGGGGAATTCAGGGATTTGGGCTGGGAAAAATGGGAATTCGGGGATTTGGGGCCGAGGGAAAAGCAGCTCCGGGAATTTGGGAATTCCAGGCGTGGTGACCCCGCAGATGTTCCGGGAGCTGCAGAATTCCGAGATCATCCGGAGGCTCACGGAGACCTTCCAGGAGGTACCCCCGGAATTCCAGGGATTGGGGCTTTTCCCGGGAATTGTTCCGCTTCCCCAGGGAATTCCGGGTGTTTTCCCTGGAATTCTGGGCCTTTTCCATGGAATTCTGGGCCTTTTCCCTGGAATTTTCTGGGTTCCCCATGGAATTCTGGGCGTTTTCTCAGGAATTCTGAGCCTTTTCCCCGGAATTCTGGGCCTTTTCCCTGGAATTTTCTGGGTTCCCCAAGGAATTCTGGGCCTTTTCCCTGGAATTCTGGGCGTTTTCCCTGGAATTCTGGGCCTTTTCCCTGGAATTCTGGGTGGTTTTCCTGGAATTTTTATATTTTCTCCAGATTTATTCGCAGGCTTCCCTGGAGTATCATCTATCCCTGGATTTTTTGAGTCTTTTTCCCTGGAATTTTGGGGTTTTTAGGACTCCCCAGAGTTCCCCTTCCCCAGGAATTCCCAACCCACCCGGTTCCGGGTTGATTTTTAGTGGATTTCTGGTGGCGTTTTAGTGGATTTTTGGTGCATTTCTGGTGGGTTGTTGATGGGTTTTTAGTAGATTTTTGGCGGGGTTTTGATGGATTTTTAGAGGTTTTTTTTGCGCATTTCTGATGGATTTTTAGTGGATTTTTGACGGATTTCTGATGGATTTTTGGTGCATTTCTGGTGGATTTTTGGTGGATTTCTGATGGTTTTTCAGTGTTTTTTTTCTTTATTTCTGTACATTTATTTCTATTTATTTACATTTATTTCCCCAGGACTCCCCACAGTGCCCTCTGTTCCGACACTCCCAGCCCTGGCGCCGGTTCTGGGTGGATTTTGGCTGGGTTTTGTTGTATTTCTGTACATTTATTTATATTTATTTTTATTTATTTACATTTATTTCCCCAGGACTCCCCACAGCGCCCCCTGTCCCGCCACTCTCAGACCTGGCGCCGGTTCTGCGTGAATTTTGGATGGATTTTCAGTGATTTTTGTTGTATTTATGTACATTAATTTGTATTTATATTTATTTATTTTTAGGACTCCCCTGAGTACCCGCCGCTCCCCGCCCTGGCGCCGGTTCTGGGTGGATTTTGGCTGGATTTCAGTGATTTTGGCTGTTGTTTCTGTACATTTCTGTACATATATTCACATTTATTTCTATTTATATTTATTTTTTCCCCACAATTCCCCGGAGTACCCTCTCTCCCGCCGCTCCCCACCCTGGCGCCGGTTCCGGGCGGATTTTGGCTGGAATTTCAGTGATTGTGGCTGTTGTTTCTGTACATTTCTGTACATTTCTGTACATTTCTATGTATTTATATTTATTTATCTTTAGAACTCCCCGGAGTACCCTCTCTCCCGCCGCTCCCCGCCCTGGCGCCGGTTCCGGGTGGATTTTGGCTGGAATTTCAGTGGTTGTGGCTGTTGTTTCTGTACATATATTTACATTTATTTACATTTATTTGTATTTATATCTATTTTATCCCCAGAACTCCCCGGAGTACCCCCTCTCCCGCCGCTCCCCGCCGTGGCGCCGGTTCTGGGTGGATTTTGGCTGGAATTTCAGTGGTTTTGGCTGTTGTTTCTGTACATTTCTGTACATTTCTGTACATTAATTATTATTTATTTGTATTTTTCCCCAGAACTCCCCGGAGTACCCGCTGTCCCGCCACTCCCAGCCCTGGCGCCGGTTCTGGGTGGATTTTGGCTGGATTTTCAGTGATTTTGGCTGTTGTTTCTGTACATTTCTGTACATTTCTGTACATTAATTATTATTTATTTGTATTTATCTTTAGAACTCCCCGGATTACCCCCTCTCCCGCCGCTCCCCGCCGTGGCGCCGGTTCTGGGTGGATTTTGGCTGGATTTTGTGTGATTTTGGCTGTTATTTCTGTACATTTCTGTACATATATTTACATTTATTTACATTTATTTGTATTTATTCCCAGAACTCCCCGGAGTACCCTCTCTCCCGCCACTCCCAGCCGTGGCGCCGGTTCCGGGTGGATTTTGGCTGGAATTTCAGTGGTTGTGGCTGTTGTTTCTGTACATATATTTACATTTATTTACATTAATTATTATTTATTTGTATTTTTCCCCAGAACTCCCCGGAATACCCCCTCTCCCGCCGCTCCCCGCCGTGGCGCCGGTTCTGGGCGGATTTTGGCTGGAATTTCAGTGGTTGTGGCTGTTGTTTCTGTACATTTCTGTACATTTCTGTACATATATTCACATTTATATCTATTTTTCCCCAGAACTCCCCGGAGTACCCTCTCTCCCGCCGCTCCCCGCCGTGGCGCCGGTTCTGGGTGGATTTTGGCTGGAATTTCAGCGATTGTGGCTGTTATTTCTGTACATTTCTGTACATTTATATGTATTTATATCTATTTTTCCCCAGAACTCCCCGGAGTACCCCCTGTCCCGCCGCTCCCCGCCGTGGCGCCGGTTCTGGGTGGATTTTGGCTGGAATTTCAGTGGTTGTGGCTGTTGTTTCTGTACATTTCTGTACATTTCTGTACATATATTTACATTTATATCTATTTTTTCCCCAGAACTCCCCGGATTACCCCCTCTCCCGCCGCTCCCAGGCCTGGCGCCGGTTCCGGGTGGATTTTGGCTGGAATTTCAGTGGTTGTGGCTGTTGTTTCTGTACATATATTTACATTAATTTGTATTTATATCTATTTTTTCCCCAGAACTCCCCGGAATACCCGCTGTCCCGCCGCTCCCCGCCCTGGCGCCGGTTCTGGGTGGATTTTGGCTGGAATTTCAGTGGTTTTGGCTGTTGTTTCTGTACATTTCTGTACATATATTTACATTTATATGTATTTATATTTATTTTTTCCCCAGAACTCCCCGGAGTACCCGCTGTCCCGCCGCTCCCCGCCGTGGCGCCGGTTCCGGGTGGATTTTGGCTGGAATTTCAGCGGTTGTGGCTGTTGTTTCTGTACATATATTTACATTTCTGTACATATATTCCCATTTATTTGTATTTTTCCCCAGAACTCCCCGGAGTACCCGCTGTCCCGCCGCTCCCCGCCGTGGCGCCGGTTCTGGGTGGATTTTGGCTGGATTTTGTGTGATTTTGGCTGTTGTTTCTGTACATTTCTGTACATTTCTGTACATATATTTACATTTATTTACATTTATATCTATTTTTCCCCAGAACTCCCCGGAGTACCCGCTGTCCCGCCGCTCCCCGCCCTGGCGCCGGTTCCGGGTGGATTTTGGCTGGAATTTCAGTGGTTGTGGCTGTTATTTCTGTACATATATTTACATTTCTGTACATTAATTTGTATTTATATCTATTTTTTCCCCAGAACTCCCCGGAGTACCCGCTGTCCCGCCGCTCCCCGCCGTGGCGCCGGTTCCGGGTGGATTTTGGCTGGAATTTCAGTGGTTTTGGCTGTTGTTTCTGTACATTTCTGTACATTTCTGTACATTTATATGTATTTATATTTATTTATCTTTAGAACTCCCCGGATTACCCCCTGTCCCGCCGCTCCCCGCCGTGGCGCCGGTTCCGTGCGGGCTTCTCGGAGCTGCTGGCGGCGCTGGTGCGGCGGGCGCGGCACCGGGAGCTGCGGGACGGGTTCCTGCTGGACTCGTGGCTGGCGTTCCTCACCGGCCTGGCCGACTCCCAGCTGCGCCCGCTGCGCCACACCGGCACCCTGGCAGGTGGGCTGATGGATTTTACCTCAGTTTCCATGGTTTTTCCTGATTTTCCATGATTTTCCCTGATTTTCCCTGATTTTTCCTGATTTTATCCTGACTTTTCCTGCTTTTCCCTGATTTTTCCTTGATTTTCCTGATTTTCCCTGATTTTCCCTGATTTTTCCCTGATTTTTTCTGATTTCCCCTGATTTTTCCTGATTATCCATGATTTTCCCCGATTTTCCCTGATTTTCCCTGATTTTCCCTGATTTTTCCTGCTTTGTCCTGATTTTTCATGCTTTGTCCTGATTTTTCCTGATTTTCCCGATTTTCCCTGATTTTTCTTGATTTTTCCTGCTTTTTTTCCTCATTTTCCTGCTGTTTTTCTCATTTTCTCCTGCTTTTCCTCCTTTTTTCCTCCTTTGTTCCTGCTTTTGACACTTTTTTCTTGCCATTCCTGTTTCTTTTCCTTCTTTTCTTTTTATTTTTTCTGCTTTTCCTGCTGTTTTCCCCATTTTCTACTGGTTTTCTGCTTTTTCTGCTTTTCCTGCTGCTTTTCCTGCTCTTTTCCTGCCTTTTTCCCCATTTTTCCAATTTTTTCAGTTTTTTTCAATTTTCCCCCCATTTTCTACTTTTCCCGCCCATTTTTTCCCAAAACCGGCCGTTTTTGCCCCATTTCGCAGCGCTGAAGCTGATGAGTGTGCTGGTGGGAATTTCCCTCATTTTCCCCTGTGTTTTCCCCGTTTTTTTCCCATTTTCCCCCGTATTTTCCCCATTTTCCCCCTGTTTTTCCCCATTTTTCCCCATTTTTTCCCATTTTTTCCCCGTTTTTCCCAAAACCGGCTGGTTTTGCCCCATTTCCCAGCGCTGAAGCTGATGAGCGCGCTGGTGGTAATTTCCCTCATTTTCCCCTGTTTTTTCCCCATTTTTTCCCCGCTTTTTCCCCATTTTCCCCCCTTTTTCCCCATTTTTCCCCCATTTTTTCCCATTTTTCCCCATTTTTTCACGTTTTCCCCGTTTTTTCCCAAAATCCCCCGTTTTTGCCCCGTTTCCAGCGCTGAAGCTGATGAGCGCGCTGGTGGGAATTTCCCTCATTTTCCACAATTTTCCCCTATTTTTCCCCCTGTTTTTTCCCCCCGTTTTCCCCTGTTTTTTTCTATTTTTTCCCATTTTTTCCCCGTTTTTTCCCATTTTTCCCCATTTTCACCAAAATCCCCCGTTTTTGCCCCGTTTCCAGCGCTGAAGCTGATGAGCGCGCTGGTGGGAATTTTCCTCATTTTCCCCTGTTTTTTCCCCGTTTTTTCCCCATTTTTCCCCCTTTTTTTCCCATTTTTTCCCATTTTATCACATTTTTTCCCCATTTTTTCCCAAAACCGGCCGTTTTTGCCCCATTTTCAGCGCTGAAGCTGATGAGCGCGCTGGTGGAGGTGGCGCTGGGCGTGGGGCAGCAGCAGGAGCTCTGCCAGCGGCAGCTGCAGGCGGAGGAGGCCAAGGAGCCGGAGCGGAGGGGCACGGAGCGGCTGGAGGCGCTGCAGGAGCGGCACCGCGAGGTGAAAAATGGGGCAAAAAACGGGGAAAACGGGAAAAAACTGAACAAAAACGTGAAAAAATGGGAAAAATCGGGATAAAAATGGGCCAAAACGGGGGAAAAACGGGGGAAAAGGGCACGGAGCCGGGGCGGAGGGGCACGGAGCGGCTGGAGGCGCTGCAGGAGCGGCACCACCAGGTCAGAAATGGGGCAAAAAACGGGGAAAACGGGAAAAAACGGGACAGAAATGTGAAAAAATGGGAAAAATCGGGATAAAAATGGGCCAAAACGGGGGAAAAACGGGGGAAAAGGGCAAGGAGCCGGGGCGGAGGGGCACGGAGCGGCTGGAGGCGCTGCAGGAGCGGCACCGCGAGGTGAAAAATGGGGCAAAAAACAGCAAAAACGGGAAAAAACGGGACAAAAATGCGAAAAAATGGGAAAAAATGGGAAAAAACGGGGGAAAAATGGGGAAAAACGGGGGAAAACGGGGGAAAAGGGCAAGGAGCCGGGGCGGAGGGGCACGGAGCGGCTGGAGGCGCTGCAGGAGCGGCACCGCGAGGCGAGAATTGGGGCAAAAAACGGGGAAAACGGGAAAAAACGGGACAAAAATGTGAAAAAACGGGAAAAATCGGGGAAAAAATGGGCCAAAACGGGGGAAAAACGGGGGAAAAATGGGGAAAAGGGCAAGGAGCCGGGGCGGAGGGGCACGGAGCTGCAGGAGCGGCACCACCAGGCGAGAAATGGGGCAAAAAACGGGGAAAATGGGGAAAAAACAGGACAAAAATGTGAAAAAATGGGAAAAATCAGAGAAAAAACGGAGGAAAACGGGCGAAAAACGGGGGAAAAGGGCAAGGAGCCGGGGCGGAGGGGCACGGAGCGGCTGGAGGCGCTGCAGGAGCGGCACCGCGAGGCGAGAAATGGGGCAAAAAATGGGGAAAATGGGAAAAAACTGAACAAAAATGTGAAAAAACGGGAAAAATCGGGGAAAAAATGGGCCAAAACGGGGGAAAAACGGGGGAAAAGGGCAAGGAGCCGGGGTGGAGGGGCACGGAGCGGCTGGAGGTGCTGCAGGAGCGGCACCGCGAGGTCAGAAATGGGGCAAAAAACGGGGAAAACGGGAAAAAACGGGACAAAAATGTGAAAAAACGGGGAAAATCGGGGAAAAAACAGAGAAAAAATGGGGAAAAACGGGGGAAAACGGGGGAAAAGGGCAAGGAGCCAGGACGGAGGGGCACGGAGCGGCTGGAGGCGCTGCAGGAGCGGCACCGCGAGGCGAGAATTGGGGCAAAAAACGGGGAAAATGGGAAAAAACGGGCAGAAATGTGAAAAAATGGGAAAAATCGGGGAAAAAACGGGGGGAAAAACGGGGGAAAACGGGGAAAAGGAAAAAACGGGGAAAAATGGGGAAAAACAGAGAAAAAATGGGGGAAAACAGAAAAAAAGGGGGAAAACTGGCAGAAAATGGGAAAAATGGGGGGAAATGGGTAAAACAGGGAAAAACTGGAGAAATGGGGGAAAAACAGGGAAAATGGGAATGGGAAAAAATGGGGGGGGAAATGGGAAAAACGGGAGAAAAACCAGGAAAATGGGGAAAAATGTGTAAGTTGGTGTTTTGGGTGGAAATTCAGGGATTTCAGGGTATTTTAGGTTAAAATTTGGGTATTTCGGGGGGTTTTCGGTGACAATTTGGAAATTTTAGGTGAAAATTCAGGAATTCTGGGGATTTTGAGGGCTCTTAAGTGAAATTTTGTGGGGATTTAGGTGAAAATTGGTGAATTTTGTGGGGATTTGGGGTGGAATTTTTGGGAGTTGAGGATTTATTGATATTTTGGTGGCGTTTTGAAAGAATTTTGCTGGAATTTGTGTGAAATTTTAGGTATTTTTGGGCTATTGAGTTGGAATTTGACTGGAATTTGGTGAATTTGGATGGATTTTGGGTGGAATTTGGTGAATTTGGATGGATTTTGGGTGGGATTTGGTGAATTTGTGTGGATTTTGGGTGGAATTTTTTGGGAATGTTGGGAATTTTGGGAATTGCAGCTGCAGGAGCAGCAGGAGGAGCTGGAGCTGCTGATGAACGGGATTTGGGTGGAATTTGGGTGAATTTGGTGAATTTTGATGGATTTTGGGTGGGAATTTGGTGAATTTGGATGGATTTTGGGTGGAATTTGGGTGGAATTTTTTGGGAATGTTTGGAATTTCGGGAATTGCAGCTGCAGGAGCAGCAGGAGGAGCTGGAGCTGCTGATGAACGGGATCTTCAAGGGCGTCTTCGTGCATCGCTACCGGTGAGGGAACGGCCCAATTCCGGGGGGAAAATCCCGGAAAATGGGAAAAACGGGGAGAAAATGGGGAGGAAACTGAAAAAATGGGGAGAAATGGGGAGAAAATGGCAGAGAAATGGGGAGAAAATGGGGAAAAAATGGGTAAAAATGGGGAGAAACGGGGAAAAATTGGGGAAAAACAGGGAGAAAATGGGGAGGAAATGGGGGAAAATGGGAAGGAAATGGTGAAAAACTGAGGGAAAATGGTAAAAAAGGAGAAAATGGGGGAGAAATGGGGAAAAACGGGGAGAAAATGGCGGAGAAACAGAGAAAATGGGGAAAAATGGGGAGAAACGGGGAAAAATTGGGGAAAAACAGGGAGGAAATGGGGGGAAATGGGGAAAAACTGAGGGAAAATGGGGAAAATTTGGGGGGATTTGGGTGGATTTTGAGGGATTTGGGTGGATTTTGAGGGATTTTGGTGGGAGTTTTTGGGATTTTGGTGGGAGTTTTTGGGATTTTGGTGGGATTTTTTTGGATTTTGGTGGATTTTTACTGGATTTTGGTGGGAATGTTTTGGATTTTTTTGGATTTCGGTAGGAATTTTTTTGATTTTGGGGGATTTGGGTGGATTTTTGGGATTTTTTAAATTTTTTTTTGTTTTGGTGGGATTTTTTTGGATTTTAGTGGGATTTGAGGGAGTTTTTTTTTTATTTTTGGGTTTTTTTTTTGTGATTTTGGGGACAGGGACGTGGTGCCCGAGATCCGCGGGATCTGCATGGAGGAGCTCGGGCTGTGGGTGAGGAAATTCCCGGGATCCTTCCTGACCGACAGCCACCTCAAGTACCTGGGCTGGACCCTGCACGACAAGGTGGGAAAAATGGGAAAAAATGGGAAAAAACAGTGAAAAAACGGGTAAAAACGGTGAAAAAATGGGAAAAAATGGAGAAAAAATGGGAAAATTCCGGTTATTTCCTCACCCACGGCCACCTCAAGTACCTGGGCTGGACCCTGCACGACAAGGTGGGGAAAAAATGGGGAAAAATGGGAAAAAATGGGGAAAAACGGTGAAAAAATGGAGAAAAAATGGGAAAAAATGGGAAAAAATCGAGAAAAAATGGGAAAATTCTGGTTATTTCCTCACCCACGGCCACCTCAAGTACCTGGGCTGGACCCTGCACGACAAGGTGGGGAAAATTCCCGGGAAAATGGGAAAAAACGGGAAAAAATGGGGAAAAACGGTGAAAAAATGGAGAAAAATGGTGAAAAAATGGAGAAAAAATGGGAAAAAATGTGAAAATTCCGGGTCCTTCCTGACCCACAGTCCCTCAGGTACCTGGGCTGGACCCTGCACGACAAGGTGGGGGAAAAAACGGGAAAAATGGGAAAAAACGGGGAAAAAATGGGGAAAAACGGTGAAAAAATGGGGAAAAACGGTGAAAAAATGGGGAAAAACGGTGAAAAAATGGAGAAAAAATGGTAAAAATGGGAGAATTCCGGGTCCTTCCTGACCGACAGCCCCTCAAGTACCTGGGCTGGACCCTGCACGACAAGGTGGGGAAAAATCCTGGAAAAATGGGAAAAAACGGGAAAAAACGGTGAAAAAATGGGAAAAAACGGTGAAAAAATGGAGAAAAAATGGGAAAAATGAGGAAAAAAAGGGAAAATTCCGGTTCCTTCCTGACCCACAGCCCCTCAAGTACCTGGGCTGGACCCTGCACGACAAGGTGGGAAAAAATCCCGGGAAAATGGGAAAAAAACGGGAAAAAAATGGGGAAAAAATGGGAAAAAACGGTGAAAAAATGAGGAAAAAATGTGAAAATTCCGGCTCCTTCCTCACCCACGGCCACCTCAAGTACCTGGGATGGACCCTGCACGACAAGGTGGGAAAAAACGGAAAAAACCGGTGAAAAACGGTGAAAAAATGGAGAAAAACGATGAAAAAATGGGAAAAAATGAGGAAAAAATGGGAAAAAAGGGAAAAAAACGGGGAAAAAATCACAGAAAAATGGAAAAAAAAAAGGAAAAAATCCGGGGAAAATGGGAAAAAATGGGAGAAATCCTGAATTCCTGATTCCTCTGGGGATTAAGGCCCCTGAACTCCCATTTTTTGGGATTTGAGCTCTGAATTCCCAATTTTTTGGGATTTGGGCCCCTGAATTCCTGTTTTTTTTTTAATTAGTTTTTTTTTTTTTTGGATCTGAGTCCATGAATTCCCGATTTTTTTTGGCGGGGGATTTTTGGCCCTGAATTCCCATTTCTTTGGGATTTTTTACCCTGAATTCCCATTTTTTAGGACTTTTGGCCCTGAATTCCCATTTTTTTGGGATTTTTGCCCTGAATTCCCATTTTTTTGCTATTTTTCCCCTGAAATCCTATTTTTTTTGTATTTTTGGCCCTGAATTCCCAGGGTTTTTTTTGGGATTTTTCCCCTGAATTCCCTTTTTTTTTTTGGGATTTTTCCCCTGAATTCCCTTTTTTTTTTGGGGATTTTTGCCCTGAATTCCCGTTTTTTTTGGGGATTTTTGCCCTGAATTCCCGTTTTTTTGTGATTTTGGCCCAGCACGGGGAGGTGCGGCTGCGCTGCGTCCGGGCCCTGCGGGGAATTTACGGAATTCCGGAGATGGCGCCGAACCTGGAGCTGTTCACTGAGAGGTTCAAGGTGGGGAAAATGGGGAAAAATGGGGGAAAATGGGAAAAACTGGGGGGGAATGGGAAAAGTGGGAGAAAAATTGGGGGGAAAATGGGGAGAAAATGGGGGGAAAAAAGGGAAAATTGGGGGAAACATTGGGAAAATGGGGAAAAATTTGGGGGAGAAATGGGGAAAAATAGGGAAAATTTGGGGAAAATGGGAAAAACTGGGGGGCGAAATGGAAAAATGGGGAAAATGGGGGGGAATGGGGGGAGGATGGGAAAAATGGGGGGAAATGGGGAAAAATAGGAAAAATTTGGGAAAAATTTGGGAAAAATGGGGAAAAATGGAAAGAATGGGGGAAAATGGGAAAAATGGGGAGGAATGGGGGGAAATGGGAGAATTGGGGGAAAAATAGGAAAAATTGGGGGGAAATGGGGAAAAATTGGGGGGAAATGGGGAAAATGGGGGGAAATAGGAAAAATTAGATGGGAAATGGGAAAAATGGGGGAAAAGTGAGGGAAAAATAGGGGAAATTGGGGGGAAATTGGAAAAATGGGAGAAATTGGGAAAAATGGGGGGGAGAATGGGAAAATTGGGGAAAATGGGAAAATGGGGGGGGGAATGGGGAAAGAATGGGGAAAAATGGGAAAATTTTGGGGGGAAATGGGAAAAAATGAGGAGAAAATGGGAAAATTGGGGGAAATGGGGAAAATGGGAAAATTTGGGGGAAAAGGGGAAAATTTGGGGGAAAATGGGAAAAATTAGGGAAATGGGGGAAAATGGGGGAAAAATAGGGAAAAGTGGGGGGAGATTGGGAATTTGGGAATTGTGAAATTGTTGGAATTTTGGGAATTTTGGGATTGCAGCCCAGGCTGGTGGCCATGGCCCAGGAGCTGTGGGGATTTTGGGAGTTTTTGGGTGTTTGGGATCTTTGGGAATGGTTGGATTTTTGGGGTTTTGGGGATTTTCGGGATTTTTGGGATTTTTGGGGATGTTGGAATTCCGGGAATTCCGGGAATTTCGGGATGGCAGCCCCGGCTGGTGGCCATGGCCCAGGACAAGGAGCCCGAGGTGGCGCTGGAGGCGCTGAAGCTGCTGACGGAGCTGGACAGGTAAAAACCGGGAATTCCGGAATTTGGGAATTTGGGAATTTGGGAAATTGGGCGGGAATTTGGGAATTTGGGAATGGTTTGGGAATGGTTCGGGAATCTGGGATTGGGAAATTGGGATTTGGGATGGAAAATTCAGGATTTGCAGAGGAGAATTGTGGATTTGGGGATTGGGATTGGAAAATTTGGGATTTGGGGATTTGGGAATTTGAGATTGGGGATTTGGGGGAGAGAAATTGGGAATTTGGGGATTTGGGAATTTGGGATGGAAAATTCAGGATTTGGGGGTGGGGATTGTGGATTTGAGGATTTGGGATTGGAAAATTGGGGATTTGGGGAATTAGAGATTGGGAATTTGGAATTGGGGATTTTGGGAGGGGAAAATTGGGAATTTGGGGATTTGGGAATTTGGGATTTGGGAATTTGGGATTTGGGAATTTGGGTTGGAAAATTCAGGATTTGGGGGGGAAATTGTGGATTTGAGGATTTGGGATTGGAAAATTGGGGATTTGGGGAATTTGAGATTGGGAATTTGGAATTGGGGATTTTGGGGGGGAAAATTGGGAATTTGGGGATTTGGGGGGGAATTAGGATTTGGGGATTTGGGAATTTCGGATGAGAAAAATTGGGATTGGGAATTCGGGGATTTGTGGGGCAGAAATTTGGGATTGGGGAGGGGGAAATTGGGAATTTGGGATGGAAAAATCGGGATTTGTGGGGGGGAATTTTGGATTTGGGAATTTGGGGATTTGGATGAGGGAAACAGGGGAGGGAGTTTGGGATTTGGGATGAGAGAAATTGGGAATTTGGGATTGGGGAATTTGGGGAATTGGGATTGAGAGTTTGGGGTGGGAAATTGGGATTTTGGAGGGGGGAATTTGGGATTTGGGATCAGGAATTTGGGATTTGGGATTTGGGAACAGGAATTTGGGATTTGGGATCAGGAATTTGGGATTTGGGAATCTGGGATGAGGGAAATTTGGGATTTGGGATCAGGAATTTGGGATTTGGGATCAGGAATTTGGGATTTGGGATCAGGAATTTGGGATTTGGGATCAGGAATTTGGGATTTGGGAACAGGAATTTGGGATTTGGGATGAGGGAAATTTGGGAATCTGGGATGAGGGAAATTTGGGATTTGGGATCAGGAATTCGGGATTTGGGATCAGGAATTTGGGATTTGGGATCAGGAATTCGGGATTTGGGATCAGGAATTTGGGATTTGGGATCAGGAATTTGGGATTTGGGGGCTCCTGGGGGATCCCAAAATTCCCCAGGATCCAGCAGAGCTCCTGGTGGGGAATTTTGGGGATTCTGGGGGGGTTTTTGGGAGGATTTTTGGGAATTTTGGAGCATCCCAAAATTCCAGGGGATTTTCTGGAGCTCAGGGAGGGAATTTGGGAGGGAATTTCTGGGAATTAAAAATTTGTTTTTCCCATTAAAAATGAGGGAATTTGGGTGTGGCCCTGGAAGAGCCAAATTCCCGTGGCTTCATCCCAAATTCTGAGCTCAGAATTTCGGGAATTTGGAGCCCCAGGAATTCCAGGAACTGGGAAAAATGGGAAGGAGGGGCCGGAGTGGGGCTGGGGAGCCCCAAATTCCCCCAAAATCCGGGAATTTGGGGCTGGGAAATTTGGGAATGTGGGTTCAGGAGTCCCAAATTCCCAAAATCTCTGGAAATTCCTGGGAATCTGGGGAAAATCTTGGTGGAAAAGGGGAAAAATTGGGAATTTGGTGTCCAGGAGTCCCAAAAAATCCCAAATTTCTGGGAATTCCTGCTGGAAAAGGGGTTGGGAATGGGGAAAAATCGGGAATTTCAGGTCCAGGAGTGCCCAAATTCCCGGATTTTTTTGGGAATTTGGGGGTGGGGGAATTGTGGACTCAGGAGTCCCAGAATTCCCAGATTTCCTGGGAATTCTCTGGAATTTGGGGGAAATCCTGGTGGAAAAGGGGTTGGGAATGGGGGAATATTGGGAATATTGGGAATTTTTGTCCAAAAGTGCCAGAATTTTTTGTTTTTGTTTTTTTTTTTTTTTGAATTTGGGAATTCTGGAGTGGGAAAAGTGGGAATTGGGGACTCAGGAGTCCCAGAATTCCCAAAATCCCTGGGAATTCCTGGGAATCTGGGGGAATGAGGGAAAATTGGGAATTTGGGGTCTGGGAGTGCCCAAAATCCCAGATTTTTTGGGAATTTTGGAGTGGGAAAAGTGGGAACTGGGGATTTAGGAGTCCCAGAATTCCTGGAATTCCTGGAATTCCCAGGAACCTGGAGGAACCTGGAAGAAAAGGGGTTGGGAAGGGGAAAAAATTGGGAATTTCGGGTCTGGGGCTGCCCAAAATCCCGGATTTTTTTTTTAATTTTGGGGTAGGAAAAGTGGGAATTGGGGATCCAGGGGTCCCAGAATTCCCAGATTTCCTGGAATTCCCGGAATTCCCAGGAACCTGAAGGAACCTGGAGGAAGAGGGGTTGGGAAGGGGAAAAAATTGGGAATTTCAGGTCTGGGGCTGCCCAAAATCCCGGATTTTTTTTGAATTTTGGAGTGGGAAAAGAGGGAATTGGGGATCCAGGGGTCCCAGAATTCCCAAATCCGTGGGAATTCCGGGAATTCCAGGAGCATGGAGGAGGCGCTGTCCCCCGAGGATTGCCGGAGCGTTTTCCCCGTGGTTTTCGTCTCCAGCCGCGCCCTCGCCTCGGCTGCCGGGACATTCCTCTTCCAGAGGTGGGAATCCCGAATTCTGACCGAAATCCCGGAATTCCCGCCCGAAATTCCGGAATTCCCGCCTGAAATCCCAAAATTCCCACCCGAAATCCCAAAATTCCTGCCCAAAACCCCGGAATTCCCTCTCAAAACCCAAACATTTCTGTCCAAAATTCCAGAATTCCTGCCCGAAATCCCAGAATTCCCACCCAAAATTCCTGCCCAAAATCTGGGAATTCCTTCTCAAAAATCTAGGAATTCCCACCCGAAATTCCAAAATTCCTGCCCCAAATCCCGGAATTCCCGCTCAAAACCCAAAAATTTCTGCCCAAAATTCCACAATTCCCACCCAAAATCCCAAAATTCCTGCCCAAAATCTAGGAATTCCTTCTCAAAATCTGGGAATTCCCGCCCAAAATTCCAGAATTCCCACCTGAAATCCCGGAATTCCTGCTCAAAACCCAAAAATTTCTGCCCAAAATTCCAGAATTCCCGCCCGAAATCCCAGAATTCCTGCCCAAAATCTAGGAATTCCGTCACAAAATCTGGGAATTCCCACCTGAAATCCCAGAATTCCTGCCCAAAATCCCAGAATTCCTGTTCAAAACCCAAAAATTCCTGCCCAAAATTCCAGAATTCCTGCCCGAAATCCCAGAATTTCCACCCAAAATCCCAAAATTCCTGCCCAAAATCTAGGACTTCCGTCTCCAAATCTGGGAATTCCCACCCAAAATTCCAGAATTCCCGGCTGAAATCCCGGAATTCCTGCCCAAAACCCCGGAATTCCTGTTCAAAACCCCGGAATTCCTGCTCAAACCCCAAAAATTCCTGCCCAAAATCCCAGAATTCCCACCCCAAATCCCAAAATTCCTGCCCAAAAATCTAGGAATTCCATCTCAAAATCTGGGAATTCACACCCAAAATTCCAGAATTCCCGGCTGAAATCCCAAAATTCCTGCCCAAAATCCTGTAATTCCTGCTCAAACCCCAAAAATTCCTGCCCAAAATCTAGGAATTCCGTCTCAAAATCTGGGAATTCTCACCCAAAATCCCAGAATTCCTAAGCAAAATGCCAGAATTCCCTCCCGAAACCTGGGAATTCCTGCTTGAAATCCTGGAATTCCTGTTAAAAAACTGGGAATTCCCACCCGAAACCCCAAATCTCTGGCCCCAAATCTGGGAATTCCTGCTCAAAATTCCAAAATTCCTCTCTAAAATCCCAAAATTCCTGCCCGAAATCCAGGAATTCCCACCTGAAATCCCAGAATTCCCGCCTGAAATCCCACAATTTTGGCCCAAAATCCCAAAATTCCTGCTCAAAATCTGGGAATTCCAACTCCAAATCCTCGGAATCCCAAGCCCAAAATCCTGGGAATTCCAGCCCCAAACTTTGGGAATTCCAGCCCCAAACTCTGGGAATTCCAGTCCCGAATTTTGGGAATTCCAGCCCCGAACTTTGGGAATCCCAACCCCCCCATTCCCAAAGGAATTTTCTGGGAATCGGCTCCGGGCCCCTCCCGGCAGCTGCAATTTCCTCATCCCAAATTTTCTCATCCCAGAATTTCTCCTCCCAGAATTTCTTCATCCCAGATTTTTCTCCTCCCTGAATTTCTCCTCCCAGAATTTCCTCATCCCAAATTTCCTCATCCCAAATTTTCTCCTCCCGGCCCTTCCCAATCCCTCGGGAGCGGGGGGAGGGGGGAGGCCTCGTTTTTCCCAAATTTCCTCCTCCCATCCCTGTTTTTTCCCCTTTTTTCCCATTTTTCCCCATTTTCCCCCCCCCATCCCTGTTTTTTTCCCTTTTTTTTCCTTTTTTTCCCATTTTCCCCCCTCCCATCCCCGTTTTTTCCCCATTTTTTCCATTTTCCCCCCTCCCATCCCTGTGTTTTTCCTTTTTTTCCCCTTTTTTCCCATTTCCCCACCCCATCCCTGTTTTTTTCCTTTTTTTCCCATTTTACCCCCTCCCATCCCTGTTTTTTTCCTTCTTGTTCCCAAATTTCCTCCTCCCATCCCTGTTTTTTCCCTTTTTTTCCCATTTTTTCCCATTTTTTCCCATTTTTTCCAATTTCCCCCCCTCCCATCCCTGTTTTTTCCCTTTTTTCCTTGTTTTCTCCCCATTCTCCCTGTTTTTCCCATTTTTCCCAATTTTCCCCATTATCCCCTCGTTCTCTCCCATTTTCCCTCATTTTCCCCATTTTTTCTTTGTTTTCTTCCCATTTCCCCCATTCTCTCCCTGTTTTTTCCCATCCTCTCCCAATTTTTCCTGGTTTTTCCTGGGTTTTTTTCTCAATTTTTCCTGTTTTTTCCTGTTTTTTTCCCTATTTTTCCTGTTTTTTCCTGGTTTTTTTCCCCAATTTTTACTGGTTTTTCCTGGGTTTTTTTCCCAATTTTTCCTGTTTTTTCCTGTTATTTTTCCCATTTTTTCCTGTTTTTTTCCTGTTTTTTTCCCCAATTTTTCCTGGTTTTTCCTGGGTTTTTTTTCCCCAATTTTTCCTGTTTTTTTCCTGTTTTTTTTCCTGTTTTTTTTTTCCCAATTTTGCCTGTTTTTTCCTGGGTTTTTTTCCCCAATTTTTCCTGTTTTTTCTTGTTTTTTCCCCCAATTTTTCCTGTATTTTCCTGTTTTTTCTGGGTTTCTTCCCCAATTTTTCCCGTTTTTCCCGTTTTTCCCGTTTTTCGGCCCGTTTCAGGCTGTTGGATCCCGGCCGCTTCGGGGACGGCGCCGGCGACAACCGAAACTTCCTGCGGCGCCTGGCCGGATTCTTCCTGCACAGCCGGGTGGGAATTCCGGGAATTCCGGGAAAATCGGGAATTCCGGGGGGAAATTCAGGGAATTTGGGAGGAAATTCGGAGGTTTTGGGGGGAAATTTGGGAATTTTGGGGCAAAATTTGGGGATTTTGGGGGATCCAACCGGAGCTTCCTGTGGCGCCTGGCCGGATTCTTCCTGCACAGCCGGGTGGGAATTCCGGGAAAATGAGGAATTCCGGGAAAATCGGGAATTCCGGGGGAAAATTCAGGGAATTTAGGAGGAAATTTGGGGGTTTTGGGGGGAAATTTGGGGATTTTGGGGGGAAATTTGGGGATTTTGGGGAATCCCACCGGAGCTTCCTGCGGCGCCTGGCCGGATTCTTCCTGCACAGCCGGGTGGGAATTCCGGGAATTCCGGGAAAAATGGGAATTCCGGGGGGAAATTCAGGGAATCTGGGGGGGAAATTTGGGGATTTTGGGGGGAAATTTGGGGATTTTGGGGGGAAATTGAGAGGGAAATTTGGGAATATTTGGGGGGACTGGAAGGGAACTTTGGGATTTGGGGGATTTGGGGAGTTTGGGAGGAAATTTGGGGATTTTGAAGAGAAATTTTGGAGTTTCGGGGAATTTTGAAGAGAATTTGGGGGGAAATTTGGCGATTTTGGGATGAATTTCTGGGAATTCCGGGAATTTGATCCCGAATTTCCCGCAGCTGCACGAGCACACGGCGTAGCCGGGGGGGGGCTGAGGGGATTTTTGGGGGAATTTTGGGGTTTTTTGATGGAATTTTCATGGAATCTTTTGGGAATTCTGGAATCTTTTGGGGATTCCGGTTTTTTTGGGAATTCCAGGATTTTTATCCCAAATTTCCGCAGCTGCACGAGCACGCGGCGTACCTGGTGGATTCCCTGTGGGATTTTTGGGGTTTTTGAGGGAATTTTGGGCACATTTTGGTGGAATTTTTTGGGGTTTTTTTTTGGGGAATTTGGGGGATTTTTGGGAATTCTGTTTTTTTTGGGAATTCCCGGATTTTTATCCCAAATTTTCCCGAATTTCTCCCCAGCTGCACGAGCACGCGGCGTACCTGGTGGATTCCCTGTGGGATTTTGGGGGTTTTTGAGGGGATTTTGGGCACATTTTGATGGAATTTTTTGGGGGTTTTTGTGGGGAATTTGAGGGTTTTTTTGGGAATTCCGGTTTTTTGGGAATTCCAGGAATTTTATCCCAAATTTTCCCAAATTTCCCCACAGCTGCACGAGCACGCGGCGTACCTGGTGGATTCCCTGTGGGATTTTGGGGTTTTTGAGGGAATTTTGGGCACATTTTCGTGGAATTTTTGGGGGTTTTTTTGGGGGGAATTTGGGGGATTCTTGGGAATTCCGTTTTTTTTGGGAATTCCGGGAATTTTATCCCAGATTTCTCCCCAGCTGCACGAGCACGCGGCGTACCTGGTGGATTCCCTGTGGGATTTTGGGGTTTTTGAGGGAATTTTGGGCACATTTTGGTGGAATTTTTTGGGGTTTTTTTGGGGGGAATTCTGGGGATTTTTGGGAATTCCGGGATTTTTATCCCAAATTTCTCCCCAGCTGCACGAGCACGCGGCGTACCTGGTGGATTCCCTGTGGGATTTTTGGGGGTTTTGAGGGAATTTTGGGCACATTTTGGTGGAATTTTTTGGGGTTTTTTTGGGGGAATTCTGGGGATTTTTGGGAATTCCGTTTTTTTTGGGAATTCCAGGATTTTTATCCCAAATTTTCCGAATTTCCCGCAGCTGCACGAGCACGCGGCGTACCTGGTGGATTCCCTGTGGGATTTTGGGGTTTTTGAGGGGATTTTGGGCACATTTTGGTGGAATTTTTTGGGATTTTTTGGGGGGAATTTCAGGGATTTTTGGGAATTCTGTTTTTTTTGGGAATTCCGGGAATTTTATCCCAAATTTTATCCCAAATTTCCGCAGCTGCACGAGCACGCGGCGTACCTGGTGGATTCCCTGTGGGACTGCGCCGGGAGCCGCCTGCGGGACTGGGAGGCAACGACGGCGCTGCTGCTGCAAACTGGGACCAGTATGGAACTGGGATGGACTGGGAGGGACTGGGAATGGGACTGGGGGGGACTGGGACGGACTGGGAGGGACTGGGAGGGACTGGGAATGGGACTGGGAGAGACTGGGATGGACTGGGATGGACTGGGAGGGACTGGGAGGGACTGGGAGGGACTGGGAGGGACTGGGACAAACTGGGATAAACTGGGAGGGAACTGGGAGGGACTTGGATGGAGTGGGATAAACTGGGAATGGGACTGGGATAAACTGGGAGGGACTGGGAGGGACTGGGAGGGACTGGGAGGGGCTGGGAGGGAACTGGGAGGGAACTGGGAATGGACTGGGATAAACTGGGGGGGACTGGGAGGGACTGGGATAAACTGGGAGGGAACTGGGAGGGACTGGGAGGGACTGGGACAGACTGGGAGGGACTGGGAGGGACTGGGAATGGGACTGGGAGAGACTGGGATGGACTGGGAGGGACTGGGGGAACTGGGAGGGACTGGGAGGAACTGGGAGGGAACTGGGAGGGACTGGGAGGGAACTGGGAGGGGACTGGGAGGGACTGGGAGGGACTGGGGGGGACTGGGATGGACTGGGAGGGAACTGGGATGGAGTGGGGGGAACTGGGAGGGACTGGGAGGGACTGGGAGGGAACTGGGAGGGACTGGGATAAACTGGGACAAACTGGGATAAACTGGGATAAACTGGGAGGGACTGGGAGGGACTGGGAGGGAACTGGGACAGACTGGGATGGACTGGGAGGGACTGGGAATGGGACTGGGGTAACTGGGAGGGACTGGGATGGACTGGGATAAACTGGGAGGGACTGGGAGGGACTGGGATAAACTGGGAGGGACTGGGATAAACTGGGAGGGACTGGGACGGACTGGGAGGGGACTGGGAGGGACTGGGAGGGACTGAGAATGAACTGGGAGGAACTGGGACAAACTGGGATAAACTGGGAGGGACTGGGAGCACTGGGAATGGGACTGGGAGGGAACTGGGATAAACTGGGAGGGACTGGGAGGGACTGGGAGGGACTGGGAGGGACTGGGATGGGACTGGGAGAGACTGGGAGCACTGGGAATGGGACTGGGAGGGACTGGGATAAACTGGGATAAACTGGGAATGGGACTGGGAGGGACTGGGATGGACTGGGAATGGGATTGGGATGGACTGGCAGGGAACTGGGAGGAACTGGGAGGGACTGGGAGGGACTGGGATAAACTGGGAGGGACTGGGGTAAACTGGGATGGACTGGGAGGGAACTGGGAGGGACTGGGATAAACTGGGATAAACTGAGAATGGGAATGGGATGGACTGGGAGGGACTGGGAGGGAACTGGGATAAACTGGGAATGGGACTGGGATGGACTGGGAGGGACTGGGAGGGAACTGGGATAAACTGGGATGGACTGGGACAAACTGGGATAAACTGGGAATGGGACTGGGAGGGACTGGGAGGGGTCCATAGTGGTTTATACTGGTCCAGACTGGTCCAGACTGGTCTCTCCATTCCCACTCCAAACTGGATTTTTTAGCTGCAAACTGGTCTGTACTGGTTTGTACTGGTTTCTGTCGCTCTGTACTGGTCCATACTGGTTTTTATACTGGTTTATACTGGTTTATACTGGTTTAAACTGGTTTTTACTGGTTTCCAGCCCTGCCCTTCCAGGAGGAGCAGGCTCTGGTGCAGATCCTGAGCTCCAGCGCTCACTGGGTTATACTGGGTTATACTGGGTTATACTGGGTTATACTGGGATATACTGGGTTATACTGGGATATACTGGTCTGTACTGGTTTTTATACTGGTTTATACTGGTTTATACTGGTTTATACTGGTTTTTACTGGTTTCCAGCCCTGCCATTCCAGGAGGAGCAGGCTCTGGTGCAGATCCTGAGCTCCAGCGCTCACTGGGTTATACTGGGTTATACTGGGTTACACTGGGTTATACTGGGTTATACTGGTCTGTACTGGGTTATACTGGTCCGTACTGGTTTATACTGGTTTATACTGGTTTAAACTGGTCTGTACTGGTTTGCAGCCCTGCCCTTCCAGGAGGAGCAGGCTCTGGTGCAGATCCTGAGCTCCAGCGCTCACTGGGTTATACTGGGTTATACTGGGTTATACTGGGTTATACTGGGTTATACTGGTTTATACTGGTTTAAACTGGTCTGTACTGGTTTCCAGCCCTGCCCTTCCAGGAGGAGCAGGCCCTGGTGCAGATCCTGAGCTCCAGCGCTCACTGGGTTATACTGGGTTATACTGGGATATACTGGGTTATACTGGGATATACTGGGTTATACTGGGTTATACTGGTCTGTACTGGTTTTTATACTGGTTTATACTGGTTTAAACTGGTTTTTACTGGTTTCCAGCCCTGCCATTCCAGGAGGAGCAGGCTCTGGTGCAGATCCTGAGCTCCAGCGCTCACTGGGTTATACTGGGTTATACTGGGTTATACTGGGTTATACTGGTCTGTACTGGTTTATATAGTGGTTTATACTGGTTTTATACTGGTTTTTACTGGTTTTTACTGGTTTCCAGCCCTGCCATTCCAGGAGGAGCAGGCTCTGGTGCAGATCCTGAGCTCCAGCGCTCACTGGGTTATACTGGGATATACTGGGTTATACTGGGAGATACTGGTCTGTACTGGTTTTTATACTGGTTTATACTGGTTTTTACTGGTTTTTACTGGTTTAAACTGGTTTTTACTGGTTTCCAGCCCTGCCCTTCCAGGAGGAGCAGGCTCTGGTGCAGATCCTGAGCTCCAGCGCTCACTGGGTTATACTGGGTTATACTGGGTTATACTGGGATATACTGGTTTCTGTCACTCTGTACTGGTTTATACTGGTTTTTACTGGTTTATACTGGTTTATACTGGTTTTTACTGGTTTCCAGCCCTGCCATTCCAGGAGGAGCAGGCTCTGGTGCAGATCCTGAGCTCCAGCGCTCACTGGGTTATACTGGGATATACTGGGATATACTGGGTTATACTGGTCTGTACTGGTCTGTACTGGTCTATACTGGTTTATACTGGTTTAAACTGGTTTAAACTGGTTTGTACTGGTTTCCAGCCCTGCCCTTCCAGGAGGAGCAGGCTCTGGTGCAGATCCTGAGCTCCAGCGCTCACTGGGTTATACTGGGTTATACTGGGTTATACTGGGTTATACTGGTCTGTACTGGTCTATACTGGTTTTTACTGGTTTTTACTGGTTTTTACTGGTTTCCAGCCCTGCCCTTCAGCGAGGAGCAGGCTCTGGTGCAGATCCTGAGCTCCAGCGCGCTCCGGCTCTGTCAGGGACAGCCCCCGGTGGGGCGCGGCCCCGCCCCCAAGGTGAAAATTCGGGAATTTTCCGGAATTCCGGGGACAGTTACGGGGATTTCGGGGAATTTAGGGGAAATTCCGGGGAAATTCCAGGGGAAATTCTGGGGATTTGGGGGAATTTAGGGAAAATTCCAGGGATTTTGGGAATTTAGGGGAAATTCTGGGGATTTCAGGGAGTTCTGGGGAAAATTCCAGGGATTTTGGGAATTTAGGGAAAATTCCAGGGAAATTCCAGGAGAAATTCTGGGGATTTTGGGGGAAATTCCAGGTAAAGTTCAGGAATCTCTGGAATTTTGGGAATTCTGGGAATTCTGAGGTTTTTACGGGTAAGGAATACCAGGAATTTTGGGAATTTTGGGATTTTGGTGCTCAGGAACCCCTGGAATTTGGGGAATTTTGGAAATTCTGGGGTTTTTCGGGGTCAAGTCCCCGGGAATTGGGGGAATTTTGGCAATCCTGGGGATTTTAGGGGTAAGGAACCCCTGGAATTTGGGGAATTTTGGGAATTCCGTGTTTTTGGGGTTCAGGAACCCCAGGAATTTTGGGAATTTGGGGAATTCTGGGGATTTTAGGGGTAAAGAACCCTGGGAATTTTGGGAATTTTGGGATTTCGGTGTTCAGGAACACCTGGAATTTTGGGAATTCCGGGGTTTGGGGTTCAGGAACCCCTGGAATTTGGGGAATTCTGGGATTTTGGGGTCAGGAACCCCCGGAACATCAGGAATTCCGTGAATTCCCATCCCGTTTTCCCATTTTTCCCCCAGGTGTCGGCGCGGGAGCGGCGGGAGCAGCGCGAGGAGCGCGCGCGGCTCAGCCGGAGCCTCATCCCGCTGCTGCCACAGCTCCTGGAGAAGGTCAGCAATCCCGGGAATTCCGGAATTTGGGAATTCCGGACAGACGGAACATCGGGATTTGGGATTCTGGGGATTTCTTGGGAATTTGGAGCGATTGGAGCCGATTTTTTCCTGTTTTTCCCCAGAATTCCTGCGTGTTTTCCCCTGAAATTCTAATTTTTCCTCCCAAATTCCCATTTTTTTCCTCTAAAATTCCTGGTTTTCCCAAACTTCACGTTTTTTTTCCTTTAATTCTCATTTTTCCCATCCTAATCTCAATAAATTTCCTTCCAATCCTTGTCTTTTCCCTAAAATTCCTTATTTTGCCTAAAATTGCCATTTTCCCTCCCCAAATCCCCTTTTTCCCATGGGAAAACCCCCGGAATTCCCAATTTTCCCCCGTAATTCCCAATTTCCCCCCAAATTCCCGATTTCCCCCCAAATTCCCTATTTTCCCCCCAAAATCCCCATTTTCCCCCCCAAATTCCCGATTTCCCCCCAATTCCCAATTTTCCCCCCAAATTCCCGATTTCCCCCCAAATTCCCGGTTTCCCCCCAAATTCCCCATTTTTGCCCCCTAAATCCCCATTTTTACCCCCAAATTCCCGATTTCCCCCCAAATTCCCGATTTCCCCGGCATTCCCAGTTTTCGGCGGAGCCCGAGGCGGTGGCGGCGCTGCTGGAGCTGCTGGAGCACCTGGAGCTGGGAATGTTCCGCACCGAGCGCCTGGACAAGGTACCGACCAGTATAAACCAGTATAAACCAGTACGGACCAGTAACGGCCCCCTGGGGCCCTCCCAGTCCATCCCAGTTTATCCCAGTCCCATTCCCAGTCCCATTCCCAGTGCTCCCAGTCCCTCCCAGTCCCTCCCAGTCCCTCCCAGTCCCCCCCAGTTCATCCCAGTCCATCCCAGTTTATCCCAGTCCCAATCCCAGTGCTCCCAGTCCCTCCCAGTCCCTCCCAGTCCCTCCCAGTCCCTCCCAGTCCCATTCCCAGTTTACCCAGTTTACCCAGTTTGTCCCAATCCCATTCCCAGTTTATCCCAGTCCATCCCAGTTACCCCGGTGTCATTCCCAGTGCCTGGAGGCGGTTTTGGGGCGGATCCAGGAGGTTTTTGGGAAGCATTCCCGCCCTTTTCCGGCTCTCTCGGTGCTCCCAGTCCCATTCCCAGTTACCCCAATCCCATTCCCAGTTTATCCCAGTCCATCCCAGTTTACCCAGTGTCGTTCCCAGTGCCTGGAGGCGGTTTTGGGGCGGATCCAGGAGGTTTTTGGGAAGCATTCCCGCCCTTTTCCCGCTCTCTCGGTGCTCCCAGTCCCTCCCAGTCCCTCCCAGTTTGTTCCAATCCCATTCCCAGTTTACCCAGTTTGTCCCAATCCCGTTCCCAGTGCCTGGAGGCGGTTTTGGGGCGGATCCAGGAGGTTTTTGGGAAGCATTCCCGCCCTTTTCCCGCTCTCTCGGTGCTCCCAGTCCCATTCCCAGTTTATCCCAGTCCCATTCCCAGTTACCCCAATCCCATTCCCAGTTTATCCCAGTCCATCCCAGTTTGTTCCCATCCCGTTCCCAGTGCCTGGAGGCGGTTTTGGGGCGGATCCAGGAGGTTTTTGGGAAGCATTCCCGCCCTTTCCCGGCTCTCTCGGCCGCCTCGCGGGCGCTGCGGGCGCTGTGCCACCCCCGGCTGTCCCTGCACGGCCTCGGGGACATCGCCCGGAGCCGCCTGGGGGACACCCTCGGGGACAGGTGCCACCGCCTGGTGACACACCTGCTCCAGGTGAGACATTTGGGGACATTTGGGGGTGTTTGGGGACATTTGGGGTGTTTGGGGACATCGCCCGGAGCCGCCTGGGGGACACCCTGGGGGACAGGTGCCACCGCCTGGTCACACACCTGCTCCAGGTGAGATGTTTGGGGACATTTGGGGTGTTTGGGGTCATTTTGGGGAGATTTGGGGACATTTGGGGACATTTGGGGACAGCCTCGGGGACATTTGGGGTGTTTGGGGACAGCCTTGGGGACATTTGGGGACATTTGGGGACAGCCTCGGGGACATTTGGGGACATTTGGGGTGTTTGGGGACATTTGGGGACATTTGGGGACAGCCTGGGGGACAGGTGCCACCGCCTGGTGACACACCTGCTCCAGGTGAGACATTGGGGACATTTCAGGGTGTTTGGGGACATTTGGGGACATTTGGGGACATTTGCGGACATTTGGGGACACCCTCAGGGACAGGTGCCACCTGCTCGTCACACACCTGATCCAGGTGAGACATTTAGGGGTGTTTGGGGACATTTGGGGACACCCTCGGGGACAGGTGCCACCGCCTGGTCACACACCTGCTGCAGGTGGGACATTTGGGGTGTTTGGGGACATTTGGGGACATTTGGGGACATTTGGGGACAGCCTGGGGGACAGGTGCCACCGCCTGGTGACACACCTGCTGCAGGTGAGACATTTGGGGACATTTGGGGGTGTTTGGGGACATTTGGGGACATTTGGGGACACCCTGGGGGACAGGTGCCACCGCCTGGTGACACACCTGATCCAGGTGAGACGTTTGGGGACATTTGGGGGTGTTTGGGGACATTTGGGGACAGCCTGGGGGACAGGTGCCACCTGCTCGTCACACACCTGCTGCAGGTGAGACACCTGGGGACATTTGGGGACATTTGGGGGTGTTTGGGGACATTTGGGGTGTTTGGGGACATTTGGGGACAGCCTGGGGGACAGGTGCCACCACCTGGTCACACACCTGCTCCAGGTGCGACATTTGGGGTCATTTCAGGGTGTTTGGGGACATTGGGGGACATTTGGGGACATTTGGGGACAGTCCGGGGGACAGGTGCCACCTGCTCGTCACACACCTGCTCCAGGTGAGACATTTGGGGACATTTGGGGGCATTTGGGGACACCCTGGGGGACAGGTGCCACCGCCTGGTGACACACCTGCTCCAGGTGAGACTTTGGGGACATTTCGGGGTGTTTGGGGACATTTGGGGACATTTGGGGACATCGCCCGGAGCCGCCTGGGGGACACCCTCGGGGACAGGTGCCACCACCTGGTGACACACCTGATCCAGGTGAGACACCTGGGGACATTTGGGGACATTTGGGGACATTTGGGGACACCCTCGGGGACAGGTGCCACCTGCTCGTCACACACCTGCTCCAGGTGAGACATTTGGGGACATTTGGGGACATTTGGGGACATTTGGGGACATTTGGGGACATTTGGGGACATTTGGGGGACATTTGGGGACATTTGGGGACATTTGGTGACATTTTTCCCCCCAGGCCGTGTCCCCGGATGAGGAGGACATTTGGGGGGACATTTGGGGACATTTGGGGGGACATTTGGGGACATTTGGGGACACTTGGGGACATTTTCCCCCCAGGCCGTGTCCCCGGACGAGGAGGACATTTGGGGACTGGCGGCCACCCTGACCCGGCTCTCGGTGCTCTTCAGGTGACATTGGGGACATTTGGGGACATTTGGGGACACCTGGGGGGTTTGGGGACATTGGGGGGATTTGGGGGGTGTGGGACAAGGGTGAGGGGTGGCCCCAAATGTCCCCAAAGCCCTAAATGTCCCCAAATGTCCCCAAATTCCCCCGATGTCCCCAATGTCCCCCCAATGTCCCCAATGTCCCCAGTGTCCCCAATGTCCCCAATGTCCCCCCAATGTCCCAAATGTCCCCAATGTCCCCAATGTCCCCAATGTCCCCAATGTCCCCAAACCCCCCTGGTGTCCCCAATGTCCCCAATGTCCCCAATGTCCCCAATCCCCCCAATGTCCCCAAATCCCCCCAAACCCCCCAATGTCCCCAATGTCCCCAATGTCCCCAATGTCCCCAATGTCCCCAATGTCCCCCCAATGTCCCCAATGTCCCCAATGTCCCCAATGTCCCCAATGTCCCCCAATGTCCCCAATCCCCCCAATGTCCCCAATGTCCCCCCAATGTCCCCAATGTCCCCAATGTCCCCCAATGTCCCCAATGTCCCCAATGTCCCCAATGTCCCCAATGTCCCCAATGTCCCCCAATGTCCCCAATGTCCCCAAATCCCCCAATCCCCCCAATGTCCCCAATCCCCCCAATGTCCCCAATGCCCCCAATGCCCCCAATGTCCCCAATGTCCCCAATGTCCCCAATGTCCCCAATGCCCCCAATGTCCCCAATGTCCCCAATGTCCCCAATGTCCCCAATGTCCCCAATGTCCCCCCCACTGTCCCCAATGTCCCCAATGTCCCCAATGTCCCCAATGTCCCCAAATGTCCCCAATGTCCCCAATGTCCCCAGTGTCCCCAATGTCCCCAATGTCCCCCCACTGTCCCCACTGTCCCCAATGTCCCCACTGTCCCCAATGCCCCCAATGTCCCCAATGTCCCCAATGCCCCCAATGTCCCCAATATCCCCAATGTCCCCAATGTCCCCCCAATGTCCCCAATGTCCCCAATGTCCCCAATGTCCCCAATGTCCCCAAATGTCCCCAATGTCCCCCCAATGTCCCCAATGTCCCCAATGTCCCCAATGTCCCCAATGTCCCCAATCCCCCAATGTCCCCCCAATGTCCCCAATGTCCCCAATGTCCCCAATGTCCCCAATGTCCCCGATGTCCCCAATCCCCCAATGTCCCCAATGTCCCCAATGTCCCAATGTCCCCCCAATGTCCCCGGTGTCCCCAATGTCCCCCAATGTCCCCAATGTCCCCAATGTCCCCCGATGTCCCCAATGTCCCCAATGTCCCCAATGTCCCCAATGTTCCCCCAATCCCCCCAATGTCCCCAATGTCCCCAATGTCCCCAATGTCCCAATGTCCCCGATGTCCCCAATGTCCCCAATGTCCCCAATCCCCCCAATGTCCCCAATCCCCCCAATGTCCCTGATGTCCCCCCAACCCCCCCAATGTCCCCAATGTCCCCAATGTCCCAAATGTCCCCAATGTCCCCCAATGTCCCCAACCCCCCCCAATGTCCCCAATGTCCCCAATGTCCCCAATCCCCCCAATGTCCCCAATGTCCCCGATGTCCCCAATGTCCCCAATGTCCCCCCAATGTCCCCAATGTCCCCAATGTCCCCAATGTCCCAATGTCCCCAATGTCCCCAATGTCCCCAATGTCCCCCCAGTGTCCCCCAATGTCCCCAATGTCCCCAATCCCCCCAATGTCCCCAATGTCCCCAATGTCCCCAATGTCCCCACAGTGACCATGACCTGACCCCCTGGGGGCTTTTCGGGCCCCTTTCGGAGCTCCTGAGGCGCCGCCTCGGGAACGGGGACGGAGACAACAGCGTGCCAGCACAGGTGGGGACACACCTGGGCACACCTGGGGACACCTGGGCACAGCTGAGACACACCTGGGCACACCTGGGGACAGCTGGACACACCTGGGGACACCTGGGGACAGCTGGGCACACCTGGGGACACCTGGGCACACCTGGGGACAGCTGGGGGCAGCTGGGACACACCTGGGCACACCTGGGGGCACCTGGGCACACCTGGGCACAGCTGGGACACACCTGGGGGCACCTGGACACACCTGGGCACAGCTGGGGACACCTGGGACACACCTGGGGACACTTTGAGCACACCTGGGCCCACCTGGGGACACTTGGGGACACCTGGGGACACCTGGGATACACCTAGGACACACCTGGGGACAGTTGGGGACACCTGGGACACACCTGGGCACACCTGAGGACACCTGGACACAGCTGGGGGCACCTGAGACACACCTGGGCACACCTGGGGACATGTGGGACACACCTGGGCACAGCTGGGGACAGCTGGGATACACCTGGGCACACCTGGACACACCTGGACACAGCTGGGACACACCTGGGGACACCTGGGGACACCTGGGGACAGCTGGGATACACCTGGGACACCTGGGACACACCTGAGACACACCTGGGACAGCTGGGGACACCTGGGACACACCTGGGATACACCTGGGACACACCTGGGATACACCTGGGACACCTGGGACACACCTGGGGACACCTGGGACACACCTGGGGACACTTTGGGCACATTTGGGGCCATTTTTTGGCCATTTCTGGAAATTTTGGTCACATTTGGGGCATTTTGGGGCCATTTTTGGACATTTTGGTGACATTTGGGGCCATTTTGGGACATTCTGTTCACTTTTGGTCCCATTTGTGGCATGTTTGGGGCATTTTGGTCACATTTGATGCCACTTGGGTCACCTTTTGGCCATTTTTTGCCATTTTGGTGCCATTTTGGTGACATTTGGTGACACTTGGGTCACCTTTTGGCCATTTTGGTCACATTTGGTGACACTTGTGTCACCTTTTGGCCATTTTTGGCCATTTTGATGACGTTTGATGCCACTTGGGTCACTTTTGGGGCTGTTTTAGGACAGTTTGGTCACTTTTGGTCCCATCTGGGGTGGGTTTTTTACCATTTTTGGACATTTTGCTGACACTTGGGTCACTTTTTGGCCATTTTTGGCCATTTTGGTGCCGTTTGGTGACATTTTGGTGACATTTTGGTGCCATTTGGTGGCCGTGTCCCCCCAGGTGGTGATCCCGGCCATCTCCTGCCTCTTCTTCCACTTCTTCTGGGAACTCTCCCGAGTTCCCGACTCCGGAGCCTCCCCGGTGAGGAATTCCCAAAAAAAAACCCAAATTCCCCAAAAAAACCCCCCCAAAATTCCCAAAAAAACCCACCCAAATTCCCCAAAAAAACCCCCAAATTCCCAAAAAAAACCCCCAAATTCCCAAAAAAAACCCCCAAATTCCCAAAAAAACCCCCCCAAATTCCAAAAAATAAACCCCCCCAAATTCCCCAAAATAAACCCCCAAATTCAAAAAAAAACCCCAAATTCCCAAATCCTCCTCATTCCCCCCCAAAATCTCCCTGGATTCCCCCCTGAATTCACCAAAATTCCCTCAATCCACGCCAAATCCCTGAAATTCCCAAATTTCCACCCAAATTCCCGATTTTCCCCCCCAAAATTCCTGATTTCCCCCCAAATTCCTGATTTTCCTCCCCAAATTCTCGATTTTCCTCCCCAAAATCTCGATTTTCCCCCGGAATTCCCAAATTCCCCCCAAATTCCTGATTTCCCCCCAGAATTCCCGATTTTCCTCACGGAATTCCTGATTTTCCACCCAAAATTCCCGAATTTCCACCCAAAATTCCCAAATTTCCGCCCCAAATTCCCGAAATTCCCATTTTTCCAGGAGGATCTGCGGGATCTTCGCTCCCGGGCTCTCCTGCTGCTCTCCCTGTGCTCCCAAATCCCCTAAAACCCCCCAAAAAACTCCCCAAAACCCCCAAATTCCCGAATTTCTGCCCCAAATCCCCAAATTTTCACCTAAAATTCCCAAATTTCCACCCCAAATTCCCGGAATTCCCATTTTTCCAGGAGGATTTGCGGGACCTGCGCTCCCGGGCTCTCCTGCTGCTCTCCCTGTGCCCCCAAATCCCCTAAAACCCCCCAAAATCCCAAAAATACCCCCCAAATCCCCAAATTTCCACCCCAAATTCCCAAATTTCCGCCCCAAATTCCCGGAATTCCCATTTTTCCAGGCGGATCTGCGGGATCTGCGCTCCCGGGCTCTCCTGCTGCTCTCCCTGTGCTCCCAAATCCCCTAAACCCCCCAAATCCCACCCCAAATTCCCAATTTTTCTCCCCAAATCCCCAAATTTTCCCCCAAAATTCCCAAATTTCCTCCCAAATTCCCGGAATTCCCATTTTTCCAGGCGGATTTGCGGGACCTGCGCTCCCGGGCTCTCCTGCTGCTCTCCCTGTGCCAGAGCTGCCTCTCGGAGCCGGAGCCGGAGCTGCGCGAGAAGGTTCCGGAACATTCCCGGAATTTCATTGGTTGGGACTGGGGGGGGGACGACTGGAACATCCCAGAATTCCAGAACATTCCAATAATTTTGGGGCCCGGAACATTCCAGAATTCTGGAACATTCCAAGAATTTTGGGGTCCGGAACATTCCGGAATTCTGGAACATTCCAAGAATTTTGGGGTTCAGAACATTACGGAATTCTGGAAAATTCCAAGAATTTGGGGTTCTGGAACATTCCTGGGATGATTCCGGAACATTCCAGCGTTGTTTGGGGTCCGGAACGTTCCAGAATCCTGGAACATTCCAAGAATTTGGGGTTCTGAATGTTCCGGAATTCTGGAATATTCCAAGAATTTGGGGTTCTGGAACATTCTGGAATTCTGGAACATTCCATGGGTTGGGGTTCAGGAACATTCCTGGGATGAGTCCGGAAGATTCCAGGGGGATTTTGGGGTTCTGGAACATTCCGGGGGGATTTTGGGGTTCCCGGGATGTGTTTGGGGTCTGGAATCCCCACAAATAATACCCAAAAAATCTCCAAAATTTTCCCAAAAAATTAAAAAAAACCTCCGCTCCAAAATTGCCAAAACATCCCCGAAAATTGCCAAAAAACCCCAAAACCTTGAAAAGTTCCTAAAAAAACTCCCAAAAAATTTGAAATAAATCCTCAAAAAATGCCAAAAAGATCCCAAAAAATCTCCAAAAAAATCCAAAAATTCCCCAAAAAATGCCAAAAAAAACCCCAAAAAAATCCCAAAAATGCAAAAATAAATCCCTCAAAAATCCCAAATAAATCCCTGCTGCTCCTGGGCCCGGGGCTGCCCCAAATCCCCAAATAATTCCCAAATAATTCCCAAATAATTCCCATTTTTCCCTCAGGCCCTGCAGGTTCTGCTGGAATTGCTGCTGCTCCTGGTCCCGGGGCTGCCCCAAATCCCCAAATTCCCAAATAATTCCCAAATAATTCCCAAATAATTCCCATTTTTCCCTCAGGCCCTGCAGGTTCTGCTGGAATTGCTGCTGCTCCTGGGCCCGGGGCTGCCCCAAATTCCCAAATAATTCCCAAATAATTCCCAAAGAATTCCCAAATAATTCCCATTTTTCCCTCAGGCCCTGCAGGTTCTGCTGGAGTTGCTGCTGCTCCTGGGCCCGGGGCTGCCCCAAATCCCCAAATAATTCCCAAAGAATTCCCAAAGAATTCCCATTTTTCCCTCAGGCCCTGCAGGTTCTGCTGGAATTGCTGCTGCTCCTGGGCCCGGGGCTGCCCCAAATCCCAAATAATTCCCAAATAATTCCCAAATAATTCCCATTTTTCCCTCAGGCCCTGCAGGTTCTGCTGGAATTGCTGCTGCTCCTGGGCCTGGGGCTGCCCCAAATCCCCAAATTCCCAAAGAATTCCCAAATAATTCCCATTTTTCCCTCAGGCCCTGCAGGTTCTGCTGGAATTGCTGCTGCTCCTGGGCCCGGGGCTGCCCCAAATTCCCAAATCCCCAAATAATTCCCAAATAATTCCCAAATAATTCCCATTTTTCCCTCAGGCCCTGCAGGTTCTGCTGGAATTGCTGCTGCTCCTGGGCCCGGGGCTGCCCCAAATCCCCAAATAATTCCCAAATAATTCCCAAAGAATTCCCATTTTTCCCTCAGGCCCTGCAGGTTCTGCTGGAATTGCTGCTGCTCCTGGGCCCGGGGCTGCCCCAAATCCCCAAATAATTCCCAAATAATTCCCAAAGAATTCCCATTTTTCCCTCAGGCCCTGCAGGTTCTGCTGGAATTGCTGCTGCTCCTGGGCCCGGGGCTGCCCCACGCGCGGCTCCGGCTCAGGGCGGAGGCGGCGCTGGAGGCTCAGGTGGGGCTGGCGCTGCTCGACACCGTCTTCCTGCCCCGGGAGGACAACGAGACACAAGGTGAGACATGGGAATTGTTTGGGATTTTTGGGAAGTTTTTGGGATTTTTTCTGTTTTTTTTTTTTTATTTTTTTCTGATTTTTTCTGAATTTTTTCCGATTTTTTCTTAATTTTTTCAGATTCTTTTCCTTATTTTTTCTGATTTTTTTTCTGATTTTTTTCTAATTTTTTTCGTATTTTTCTCGGATTTTTTTGTGAATTTTTTTCTGAATTTTTTTGGAATTTTTTGGGATGTTTTCGGATTTTTTTCCTGATTTTTTCTGATTTTTTTGGAATTTTTTTGGATTTTTTCAGATTTTTTCTGAATTTTTTCGAAATTTTTTTCAGATGTTTTCAGAATTTTTTTTTTTTTATTTTTTCTGATTTTTTTCTGATTTTTTTCTGAATTTTTTCTGATTTTTTTCTGAATTGTTTTGGATTTTTTTCGGATTTTTTTCGGATTTTTTTCAGATTTTTCTTTAATTTTTTCAGGTTTTTTTCAGATTTTTCCCTGATTTTTTGCTGGTTTTTTCACAGATTTATGGCGACTTTTTTATGACTTATTTAAATTTTATTCTCGGTTTTTACTGAAATTTTTTCTAGGATTTTTTGGGATTTTTTCCGGTTTTTGGGTGTTTTGCAGCTGCCCCGGAGGCGCAGGTGGGGCTGGCGCTGCTCGACACCGTCTTCCTCACCCGGGACGGCAACGAAAATCCAGGTGAGAGGCGGGAATTGTTTGGGATTTTTTGGGAATTTTTTGGGATTTTTTTCTGAATTTTTTCGGATTTTTTCTGAATTTTTTTTGATTTTTTTCAGATTTTTTTCTGAATTTTTTCTGATTTTTTTAGAATTTTTTCTGAATTTTTTCGGATTTTTTCGTGATTTTTTCTGAATTTTTTTCGGATTTTTTCTGATTTTTTTTCGGATTTTTTCCTGATTTTTTCTGAATTTTTTTCATGATTTTTTCTGAATTTTTTCGGATTTTTTCCTGATTTTTTCCGAATTTTTTTCTGATTTTTTCTGAGTTTTTTCAGATTTTTTTCCCCTGATTTTTTTCTGATTTTTTTCTGATTTTTTCTGAATTTTTTCGGATTTTTTCTGAATTTTTTCGGATTTTTTCTGAATTTTTTCGGATTTTTTTCTAGATTTTTTTTCCTGAATTTTTTCAGATTTTTTTCCTAATTTTTTCTGAAATTTTTGTAATTTTTTTTGATTTTTTCTGATTTTTTGGAATTTTTTTTTATTTTTTTCCTATTTTTTCCCGATTTTTTTCTGAATTTTTTGCTGTTTTTTCACAGATTTATGGCGACTTTTTTGTAATTTATTTGGATTTTATTATTGCTTTTTACTGAATTTTTTTCTGGGATTTATTGGGATTTTTGGGGGAATTTTGGGGTTTTCGGGAGTTCTGCCACCTCCTCCTGCCCCGGGGGCCTCTGGGACCCCCAAATTCCCCAAATTCCCGGGATCCCAAAACCCCACAATCCCAAATCCCCAAAATTCCGTCATCCAAGATCCCAAAAATCCCCAGAACTCCCAAAATTCCATGATCCAAGATCCCAAAAATCCCCAAAATTGTCCCAAAATTCCACAACTTCTGAGTGTCAAATTTGGTGATTTCTGTGACCTTTTCCAGCCTTTCCTGCCCCGAAATTCCCGTTTTTCCTCAACCCAGTGACGCCAAACCCCCCAAATTCCCATTCCGGGCATTCCCTAAATTCTGTAAATTCCCGGAATTCCCAGATTTTCCCTTTTTTTCCCCATTTCAGACTCCCCGGAGTCGCTGCAGCGGCGCCGTTCGCTGCTGGCCGCGTTCTGCCGCCTCCTCCTGCTCCGGGGGGTTCTGGGACCCCCTAATTCCCAAAATTCCCATTCTGGGAATTCCTGACATTCCCTAAATTCCCGGAATTCCCAAAATTCCCAAAATTCCGTGATCCAAGATCCCAAAAATCCCCAAAATTCTCCCAAAATTCCACAACTTCTGAGTGTCAAATTCGGTGATCTCGGAGACCTTTTCCTTTCTTTCCTGCCCCAAAATTCCCATTTTTCCTCAACCCAGTGACCCCAAACCCCCCAAATTCCCTAAATTCCCATTCCCAACATTCCCAACATTCCCAACATTCCTGGAATTCCAGGAATTCCCAGATTTTCCCGGAATTCCCGTTTCAGCCTCCCCGGAGTCGCTGCAGCGGCGCCGTTCGCTGCTGGCCGCGTTCTGCCGCCTCCTCCTGCTCCGGGGGGTTCTGGGACCCCCAGATTCCCCAAATTCCCATTCCCGGAATTCCCGGAATTCCCGGAATTCCCGTTTTTTCCCCCCACAGACCCCCCGGAGTCGCTGCAGCGGCGCCGCGCTCTGTTGGCCGCGTTCTGCCGCCTCCTCCTGCGGGGGGCGCTGCCGCTGCGCGCCGCCACCGACCTCTTCAAACACTACGCTAAGGTCACACGGAATGCCGGGAATAGACGGGAATTCTCTGGGAATTCGGGAATTCAGGAATGTTGGGGTTATCTGGGAAATCTGGGAATTATCCAGGAATTCTGGGATTATCCAGGGATTTGGGAATTCGGGGGTTATCCAGGGTTATTCAGGAATTCTGGGGTTATCTGGGGTTATCCGGGAATTTGGGAATGCTGGGGTTATCTGGGAAATCCAGGAATTATCTGGGAATTATCTGGGAATTATCCAGAAATTCTGGGGTTATCCGGGAATTCCACGGTTATACAGGGATTTGGGAACGCCAGGAATTTTGGGAATTATCCGGGAATTCTGGGGTTATCTGGGGATTTGGGAATGCTGGGTATTCTGGGGTTATCCAGGAATTCAGGAATGCTGGGAATTCCAGGAATTCAGGAATTCTGATGGCTGCCGTTCCCTTTTTCCTGGGAATTTTGGGAATTTTTGGCTCCAGGCATTTGGGATTTGGGGAATTTTTGGCTCTGGGCATTGGGGAATTTTGGGAATTCTGATCACCGCCGTTCTTTTTTTCCTGGGAATTTTTGTCTCTGGGCGTTGGGGAATTTCAGGAATTTCGGGAATTCGGGAATTCTGACGCTGCCGTTCCCATTTTCCCAGTTTCCCGGGATTTTCGGGAATTCGGGAATTCTGACGCTGCCGTTCCCATTTTCCCAGTTTTCCGGGGATTTCGGGGACATCCTGCGGGAGACGCTGCGCGAGACGCGACAACGCGACGGCGCCGAGTGGGCGCGGACGCTGCTGCTCAGCCTGCAGCAGGTGCGGAATTCCGGGAAAATCCGGGAAAATCCGGGAATTCCGGGAAAATCCGGAAAAATCTGGGGCTTTTTGGGGGGATTTTCAGCCTTTTTAAGGCGTTTTTTGAGTTTTTTAAATGGATTTTTAGGGGTTTCTTTAAAATTATTTCAGGGTTTTCCAAGAGGTTTCCCATGACCAGGAGAGATTTTTTTAGGAATTCTGGGGATTTTTGGGAATTCTGGGGGAAATCGGGAATTCCGGGAGAAATTTGGGGCTTTTTGGGGGGATTTTCAGCCTTTTTAAAGGCGTTTTTTGGGTTTTTTAAATGGATTTTTAGGGTTTTTTTTTTTTTATTATTTCAGGGGTTTTTGGGGTTTTCCATGAGCAGGAGAGATTTTTTTTTGAATTCTGAGGATTTTTTGGGAATTCTGGGGGAATTTGGGGGATTCTGGGAGGAATTTGGGGCTTTTTTGGGGGGATTTTCGGCCTTTTTTAAAGGGTTTTTTGGGAGGTTTTGGGGGATGTTTTTGGAATTTTGGGGGGATTTTTTGGGAAGTTTTGGGGATTCTTTTGGGATTTTTTTTGGGGGGGAATTTTGGAAGGTTTTTTGGGAACTTTTTGGGATTTTTTTGGTGGGGGGAGGGGTTTTTTTTAGGAATTTTTTTTCTTGTGGATTTCAGGGAATTTTTGTTGATGTTGGGGAATTTTTTGTGGATTTTGGGGAATTTTTTAATGGGAATTTTTTGTGGATTTTGGGGAATCGTGGATTTTGAGGAATTTTTGTTTGATTTTAAGGAATTTTTGTTGGATTTCGGGGAATTTTTGTTGGATTTTGGGGAATTTCTGTTGGATTTTGGGGAATTTTTGGTGGAATATTTTTAGAATTTTTTTGTGGATTTTGGGGAATTTTTTGTAGATTTTGGGGAATTTTTTATGGCAATTTTTGTTGGATTTTTGGGGTATTTTTGTTGGATTTTGAGGAATTTCTGTTGGATTTTGGGGAATTTTTGTTGGATTTTGAGGAATTTTTGGTGGATTTCGGGGTATTTTTGGATTTTGGGGAATTTTTGGTGGAATATTTTTAGAATTTTTTGTGGATTTTGGGGAATTTTTTATAGGAATATTTTGTTGGATTTTGAGGAATTTTTGTTGGATTTTGAGGAATTTTTGTTGGATTTTGGGGTATTTTTGTTGGATTTGGGGGTATTTTTGTTGGATTTCGGGGTATTTTAGTTGAATTTCGGGTTACATTTGTGAATTTTGGACTTTTCCCGTTATTTTTCCCAGCTTTTCACGGAGCTGCTGCTGCAGGAGGGCCCCGCGCTGCGGCGGCTCCCGGAATTCCAGGAAATTCGGGATCTGGGCCGGCGCCTCTCCCTCTTCTTCAGCCTCCGGCACCTGCGGCACCGGCGGCCGCTGCTGCAGCTCCACAGGTTGGGGGGAAAAAGCGGGAATTCGGGAAAATCACGGAATGAATAGCCAAAAAACGGGAATTCGGGAAAAGCCCGGGATTCTGCCACGGGGATTTAGGGAAATCCCGGAGGGAATGGCCAAAAAACGGGAATTCGGGAAAATCACGGAGGGAATGGCCAAAAAACGGGAATTCGGGAAAATCACGGAATGAATAGCCAAAAAATGGGAATTCGGGAAAATCCCGGAGGGAATGGCCAAAATAACGGGAATTTGGGGAAATCCCAGAATTCTGCCACGGGGATTTGGGGCTGGGACAGAGGGAATGGGTGAAAAAAAATGGGAATTTGGGAAAATCCCGGAATTCCGGGATGGGGATTTGGGGATAAAAGGGGCTGGGAGAGAGGGAATGGCCAAAAAATGGGAATTTGGGGAAATTCTGGAATTCTGGGATGGGGATTTGGGGATGGGACAGAGGGAATGGCCAAAAAACGGGAATTCGGGAAAATCACGGAGGGAATGGCCAAAAAATGGGAATTCGGGAAAATCCCGGAATTCCGGGATGGGGATTTGGGGCTGGGAAAGAGGGAATGGGTGAAAATCCGGGAATTTGGGCAAATCCCGGAATTCTGCCACGGGGATTTGGGGCTGGGAGAGGGAATGGCCAAAAAACGGGAATTTCGGGAAATCCTGGAATTCTGGGCGATTTCGGGGTGCTTTTGTTGGATTTTGGGGTGACTTGGGTGGATTTGGGGGTGGATTTGGGCTATTTTGGAGTGCTTTTGTTGTATTTTGGGTGGATTTGGGATATTTTGGGGTGACTTTGGGCTATTTTGGGTGCTGTTGCTGTATTTTTGGGTGGATTTGGGCTATTTTGGGGTGACTTTGCTGTATTTTGGGGTTACTTTGATGTATTTTGAGGTGACTTTGGGATATTTCGGGGTGCTTCTGTTGCATTTTGGGGTTACTTTGATGGATTTTGGGTGGATTTGGGCTATTTCAGGGTGACTTTGGGCTATTTTGGGGTGCCTTTGGGCTATTTTGGGGTGCCTTTGGGCTATTTTGGGTGCTGTTGCTGTATTTTGGGGTGACTTTGCTGGATTTTGGGGTGACTTTGGTGTATTTTGGGGCTCCCCAGCGAGGGGATCACGTTCTCGCTGCTGCCGCCGCCGCGTCTGGGCGCCGTTCCCGGAATTCCGGCGGGATTCCCGCTGAATTTGCCCTTCCTGGAGGTGCTCAGCGAGTTCTCGGCGCGGCTGCAGCGCCCCGACCGCGCACACCTGTGAGGAAACGGATTTGGGGGGTTTGGGGGGATTTGGGGGGTTTGGGGGGATTTTGGGGGGTTTGGGGGGATTCGGGGGATTTTGGGACATTCTGGGGGAAATTTGGGGGGAATTTGGGGAATTCGGGGGGGATTCGGGGGATTTCGAGAATTTGGGGGGAATTGGGGGGGATTTGGGGGGGAAGCTTGGGGATTTCGGGCATTTGGGGGGATTTGGGGGGAATTCAGGGGGATTTCGGGGGATTTGGGGGAGATTCGGGGGAAATCTGGGGAATTCAGGGGGAAATTTGGGACATTCTTGGGGGAAATTTGGGGGGAATTTGGGGGATTTGGGGGGATTCCAGGAATTCGGGGGTTCGGGATTTCGGGTGCATTTCAGGAATTCGGGGGATTTGGGGGCAATTCGGGGGGGATTCGGGGGATTTGGGGAGGAATTTGGGGGGAATATGGGGGAAATTTGGGGGGATTCAGGAATTTGGGGGATTTTGGGAGCAGTTGGGAATTTGGGGAATTCGGGGAGATTCGGGGCAATTTGAGGGGGATTCGGGGGGTTTGGGGGGGATTTGGGGGGAATTTGGGAATTTGGGGGGAATTTGAGGGGATTTGGGGGAATTTTGGGGGGGATTCAGGGGATTTGGGGAATTTGGGGGATTTCAGGAATTCAGGGGAATTTGGGGGGAACTTTGGGGAATTTGGGGGGAATTTTGGAGATTAGGGGGAATTCGGGACATTCTGGGGGAAATTTGGGGGGAATATGGGGGAAATTTGGGGAATTCGGGGGGAATTTGGGGGGAATTTGGGGAATATGGTGGGAATTTGGGGAAAACGTGGGAAATTCAGGGAATTTGGGGAACTTTGGGGAATTCAGGGAATTTGGGGGGAATTTGGGCTGAAATCTAAATTTGGGGCTGATTTTTGGTTGAATATTCTGAATTTTGGGCTGATTTTTGGGTCAATAATCTGAATTTCGGGCTGATTTTTGGGTCAATAATTTGATTTTTGGGTGAATAATCTGAATTTCGGGGTAATTTTTGGGTCAATAATCTGTATTTTGCCCATTCCCTCCGTTCCAGGCTGTCCCTGCTGGAGCGGCGCTGGCGCGAGCTGGGCCTGGGCCCCGATTTTGGGGCGGATTTGGGGGATTTTGGGGCGGATTTGGGGGATTTTGGGGCTCCCCTGCTCTGCTACCGCCGCTCCCTCAGCGCCGCGCCGGGACCCGCCCGCGCCAGGAGAGCCCCGAGGAGCAACGAGAGGCAGCAGAGAGGTGGAAATCGGGAATTTGGGAAAATCCGGGGAAAATTCGGGATTTGGGGGGAAAAATCCCAATTCTGGGATAAAAAATGTGATTTTGGGGGAAAAAAATCCAGTTTTGGGAAGAAAAATCTGAATTTTGGGGGAAAAAATCCAGTTTTGGGACAAAAGATGTGAGTTTTGGGGGAAAAAATCCAGTTTTGGGACAAAAAACTGTGAATTTTGGGACAAAAAAATGTGAATTTTGGGACAAAAAATGTGAATGTTGGGGGAAAATTCTATTAGTGGGGGAAAAGATCTGAATTTTGGGGGAAACAAGTTCATCTTTAGGGGAAAAAATCTCAATTTTGGGAGAAAAAATGTGGATTTTTGGGGAAAGTCTATTAGTGGGGGGAAAAGATCTGAATTTTAGGAGAAAAAAGCCAATTTTAGGAGGATAATCTGAATTTTGGGGGGGAATTCAGAATTCTGGGGGAAAATCTGGAATTTTGGGGGAAAAAATCCAGTTGTGGGAAGAAAAATCTGAATTTGGGGAGGGAATCCGATTTTGGGGGGAAAATCTGAATTTTGGGGGGAAATCTTCATTTTGGGAGGAAAAATCTGAGTTTGGGGGAAAAAAGTCCAATTTTAGGAAGAAAAATCTGGATTTTGGGGGGAAAAAATCTGAATTTTGGGGGGAAAAAATCTGAATTTTGGGGTGGAAAATAGGAATTTTGGGGGGGAAAAATCTGGTAAAAACCTGGAATTTTGGTAAAAATTGTAATTTTTGGTAGAAACCTCTGGGAATTTGGTGTAAAAAGCTGAAATTTGGTTAAAATGTGAATTTCCAGCCCCCAGCTCCAGCCCGTGGCCGCCCACCCCCACCCTGACCTCGACCGCGCTCCGGGGGGGCCCCCAAAAACGCCGCCCCTCCCCCACCCTGCCCAGGTCAGAGCCCCTCCCCCACCCTGCCCAGGTCAGAGCCCCTCCCCCACCCCAAACACACCCCAAAATTTGGGGGGAATCCCCAAAAAAAACCTCAAAAAAAATTGGGGGAAAATCCCCCCAAAAAAACCAAATTTTGGGGGGAAATGCCCAAAAAACACCAAATTTTGGGGGAAAATCTCCCCCCAAAAAACCTCCAAAATTTTGGGGGAAAATACCCAAAAAACCTCCAAAATTTTGGGAGGAAATCCCTCCAAAAAAAACCCCAAAATTTTGGGAGAAAATCCAAAAAAAACCCCAAATTTTTGGGGGGAAATTACAATAAAAAACCCCAAAAATTATGGGACAAAATCCCCACAAAACACGCCAAATTTTTGGGGGAAATCACAAAAAAAACCCCAAATCTTTGGGGAAATCCCCGAAAAAAACCCAAAATTTTGGGGGAACATACAAAAAACCCCAAAATTTTGGGAGAAAAGCCCCCAAAACCCGCAAATTTTGGGTGAAAATCCCAAAAAACCCCAAATTTTGATTTTTTTTTTCCGCCTACAGCAGCGAATCCAAAAGGAGTTGGGAGTCCCGGTGAGGGAATTTGGGAATTTTGGGGGAAATTTCCGAGATTTTGGGGATTTTGGGGGGAAATATTGGGAATTTGGGGGGAATTTTTGGGGAATTCGGGGTGATTCAGGGGAGGAATTTTGGGATTTTTTGGGGATTTTGGTGGAAAATTTGGGAGATTTTGGGGGGAATTGGGAGGGATTTGGGGAATTTTGGGGGGAATTTTGGGAAATTTGGGACTTTTGAGGAGGAGTTTGGGAAATTTTGGGGAGATTTGGGGATTTTTGGAGGTTCCTGGCAGGGAAATTTGGGGGGTTTTGGTGGGATTTGGGATTTTTTGGGGGATTTGGGATTTTGGGGAGTTGAGGATGAAATTTGAGATTTTTGGGGGTTCCTGGGAGAGATTTGGGGTAAATTTGGGGGATTTTGGGGGCAGGGATGGAATTTTGGGGGAATTTTGGGGATTTTTGGGTTTTCCCCCCCAGCCTGAGCCTGATGGAGGAAGAGGAGGAGGAGGAAGAGGAAGAGCAGAGCCCGAACACCCCCAGGGTGAGACCCCAAAAAGCCCCAAAACTCCCAGAATTTGGGGGGAAAAACCCAAAATTTGGGACTAAAAAAAAAACCCCAAAATCTTGGGGGAAAAAACCCCAAAATTTTGTGGAAAAACCCCAAATTTTGGGGAAAAAACACCCAAAATTTTGTGGGAAAAACCCCAAAACTTTAACAAAAAACCCGCAAAATTTTGGGAATAAAACCCCAAACAACCCAAAATTTTGGGAAATCAGAAAATTCTGGAGGAAAACCCTAAAATTTTGGGGAAAAAGTCCAAATTTTGGGAATTTCTCTGTAAAAACTTTGGGAATTCCTCCCCAGACCCCCCTGGAGCCGCCCCGGGACCTTTTTGGCTCCTCCAGCCTCGAGTTCCAGGTGAGATTTTGGGGAAATTTGGGGATATTTTGGGATTTTTGGGGATTTTTGGGGTTTCCCAAAACTTTCACTCCAAAATTCGGCCCCTCCCCTGTTAAAAATGAACATTTTTGGGTGAATTTTGGGCATTTTTGGGGCTTTTCACCCCCAGAGCCTTTGTGAGGATGAAACCCCAAAATTTCCCTTTTTTTTTTTTTTTTTGCCATTTTTGGGTTTTTTTACCCCAAATTTGTGTCCCCGCAATTAAAAAAATCCCAAATTTCTGATGGTTTTGGGCATTTTTGGGGAGATTTTGGGAATTTTTCGGGATTATCCCAAATATTTTGGGGTTTTTCCTCCCTCTCTTCTCTTTCCAGACTTTCTGAAGACGAAATTCCGAATTTCGCTCCGAGTTTTTTTCCCGTTTTTTGGTGTTTTCACCCCAAAATTCTCATTTTTATCCCAGTTCAAACCCCAAATTTGAGATTTTCGAGCCCTTTTTTTGGGAATTTTGGGATTTTTCCCAAATATTTTGGGGTTCCCACCCCTTTTATCTCCTCCAGGTTTTCCCAGGGTGGAATTCCCAAATTCCCACTCGTTTTCCCAATTTTGGGGGTTTTCACCCCAAAATCCAGTTACAAATTGAGCGGTTTTAGAGGTTTTTTTGGGAATTTTTAGGATTTCTCCCAAATTTTTGGGGCTCCCCAACCCTTTCCCTCATTCCAGATTTTCTGGGAACGGAATTCCCAAAATTCCCACTTGGCTTTTTCCCCTTTTTTGCCGTTTTTGCCCCAAAATTCCCCCAATAAAAACCTGCAGCAACTCCTTCGTTTCTGGGCTCTTTATTTGGGAATTTCACGGGAATTTCTCTGGAATTTCCTGGAATTTCTCTGGAATTCCGGGATTTTCCCTGGAATCCCTCTGTCAGAGTTGCAGGACGTAGTGCCGGCTGTGGAATTCTCCGGAATTCCGTGATTTTCCATGGAATTCTCTGGAATCCCTTCCGTCAGAGGCGCAGGACGTAGTGGCGGCTGCGGAATTCTCTGGAATTCTCTCCGGAATTCCATGATTTCTCTGGAATTCCGGCTCACAGTCTCAGGACGTAGTGGTGGCTGTGGAATTGTCTGGAATTCCGGGATTTTCCATGGATTTTCCATGGAATTCTGTCACAGCCTCAGTACGTAGTGTCGGCTGGAGCTGTGATATCTGACCCGTGATTTTCCATGGATTTTCCATGGATTTTCTGGGATTTTCCGTGTCACAATCTCAGGACATAGTGGCGGATGTGGAACTCTCCGGAATTCCGTGATTTTCCATGGATTTTCCGTGATTTTCCCAGGAATTCCATGCTCACAACCTCAGTACATAGTGCTGGCTGGAGCTGTGGTACCGGACCCGGTATTTCCCATGGAATTCCCATGGATTTTCCGGGATTTTCCATGGAATTCTTGGCTCACAGTCTGAGGACATAGTGTTGGCTGCAGCTGCGGTACCGGACCCGTGATTTCCCATGGATTTCCTGTGATTTCCCATGGAATTCCCTGGAATTCCCTCTGTCAGAGCCGCAGGACATAGTGTTGGCTGCAGCTGCGGTACCAGACCCGGGATTTCCCATGGATTTCCCATGGATTTCCCATGGAATTCCCGGGATTTTCCATGCTCACAGTCTCAGTACGTAGTTTCGGCTGTGGAACTCTCTGGAATTCCGGGATTTTCCCATGGATTTTCTGGGATTTTCCCTGGAATTCCGTCACAATCTCAGTACATAGTGTTGGCTGCAGCTCCGGTACCTGACCTGGGATTTCCCATGGAATTCCTGGGATTTTCCATGGAATTCTCAGCTCACAATCTCAGTACATAGTGTTGGCTGCAGCTGCGGTACCGGACCCGTGATTTTCCATGGAATTCCGGGATTTTCCGGGATTTTTCATGCTCACAGTCTCAGTACGTAGTTTCGGCTGTGGAACTCTCTGGAATTCCGGGATTTTCCCTGGAATTCTGTCACAATCTCAGTACATAGTGTTCGCTGCAGCTCCGGTACCAGACCCGTGATTTCCCATGGAATTCCGGGATTTTCCATGGAATTCTGTCACAGCCGCAGTACATAGTGTTGGCTGCAGCTCCGGTACCTGACCTGTGATTTTCCATGGAATTTTCTGGGAATTCTGTGCTCAAAGCCGCAGTACATAGTGTTCACTGCAGCTGCGGTACCGGACCCATCGCGGCGCCGTCCCCGGGAGGAGCCGCAGGAACCGAACGCGGAGCCCCGAGCACGAGAGCCCCGGCAGCTCGAAGGAGGCGTGGGCAGGACCCAGCTCCAGGCGCCACGCCCGGCCCAGCGACGGCAAATCCAGCTGGGAAAAATTCCAGGGGAATTTGGGAATTTTAGGGGATTTTTGGGAATTTTTTGGGAATTTTTTCAGGGAGTTTGGGCGATTTTTCGGTGATTTTTGGCCATTTTTTGTTGATTTTTCAGTGATTTTTGGCGATTTATTCTGACTTTTTCAGGGATATTTGGGAATATTTTTCATTTTTGGGGGATTTTTGGGAGATATTTAGGGATTTGGGGAATTTTTTGCAATTTTTTGGCGATTTCCCAGGAATTTTTGGCAATTTTTCAGCAATTTTTGCAATTTTTTTTGGGAATTTCTTCAGGGAGTTTTGGTGATTTTTCTGGGATTTATTGTGACTTTTTTGAGGGTTTTTGGGAATATTTTACAGATTTGGGGAATTTTTAGGAGATATTTGGGGATTTGGGGAATTTTTGGGATTTTTTTGGGCAATTTTCCAGCAATTTCTGGGCTTTTTGCAGCTTATTCAGCAATTTTTGGGGATTTTTTTAATGGCTACTTTTGGGGATTTTTCCCAGATTTTTGGGACTTTATTGGGATGTTTTGGCCATTTCTGGGGAGTGTTGGGGGATATTTGTGGAGTTTATGGGAATTTTTGGGGTATTTGGGCATTTTTGGGGCTGTTTTGGGGTTTTTGGCAGCTCGAAGGAGGCGTGGGCAGGACCCAGCTCCAGGCGCCAGGCACGGCCCAGAGACGGCAAATCCAGCTGGGAAAAAAATTCCAGGGGAATTCGGGAATTTCAGGGGGTTTTTGGGGCTGTTTTGGGGTTTTTGGGGCTGTTTTGGGGTTTTTGGCAGCTCGAAGGAGGCGTGGGCAGGGCCCAGCTCCAAACGCCACGCCCGGCCCAGCGACGGCAAATCCAGCTGGGAAAAATTAGGGAGAATTTGGGAATTTCAGGGGATTTTTGGGAATTTTTTGGGAATTTTTTTGGTGTTTTTTGGTGATTTTTTGTTGATTTTTCGGTGATTTTTGGTGATTTTTTGTTGATTTTTCAGTGATATTTGGCAATTTATTCTGACTTTTTCAAGGGTTTTTGGGAATATTTTAGAAATTTTGGGAATTTTTGGGAGCTATTTGGGGATTTGGGGAATTTTTGGGAACTTTTTCAGGGAGTTCTGTCGATTTTTTGGTGATTTTTGGCGATTTTTCAGCAATTTTTGAGGATTTCTGGGGGATTTTCTGTGTCTTTCTTTAGGATTTGTTGTGATTTTTTTTGGGAAATTTTTGGGACTATTTTTGAATTTTTGGGAATTTTTGGAGGGGATTTTTGGGGTATTTGGGCATTTTTGGGGCTGTTTTGGGGTTTTTGGCAGCTCGAAGGAGGCGTGGGCGGGACCCAGCTCCAAACGCCAGGCACGGCCCAGAGACGGGAAATCCAGCTGGGAAAAAATATGGGAGAATTTGGGAATTTCAGGGGATTTTTGGGAATTTTTGGGAATTTTTTCGGGGAGTTTTGGTGATTTTTTGGCGATTTTTCGGTGATTTTTGGTGATTTTTTGTTGATTTTTCATTGATTTTTGGCAATTTATTGTGATTTTTTCGGGAATATTTGGGAATATTTTTCATTTTTGGGGAATTTTTGGGATATATTTGGGAATTTGGGGAATTTTTGGGATTTTTTGAGGATTTTTTTGGGTGATTTTCCAGTGATTTCTGGGGTTTTTTGCAGCTTATTCAGCAATTTTTGGGGATTTTTTTAATGGCTTCTTTGGGGCATTTTTCCCAGATTTTTGGGACTTTATTGGGATGTTTTGGCCATTTCTGGGGAGTGTTGGGGGATATTTTTGGAGTTTTTGGGAATTTTTGGGGTATTTGGGCATTTTTGGGGCTGTTTTTGGGTTTTTGGGGGTATTTGGGGTTTTTGGGGCTGTTTTGGGGTTTTTGGGGCTGTTTTGGGGTTTTTGGCAGCTCGAAGGAGGCGTGGGCAGGACCCAGCTCCAGGCGCCACGCACGGCCCAGGGACGGCAAATCCAGCTGGGAAAAATTAGGGAGAATTTGGGAATTTCAGGGGATTTTTGGGAATTTTTTCAGGGAGTTTTGGCGATTTTTCAGTGATTTTTGGCGATTTTTAGGGGGTTTTTGGCCATTTTTTGGGGATTTATTGTGATTTTTTGGGGGATTTTTGGGAATATTTTTCATTTTTGGGGAATTTTTCAGAGGGGTTTGGGGAATTTTTTGGAATTTTTTTACGATTTTCCAGGAATTATTGGCGATTTTTCAGCAGTTCTTGGGGATTTCTGGGGGATTTTCTGTGTCTCCTTTGGGATTTGTTGTGATTTTTTTTGAGAATTTTTGGGACTATTTTTCATTTTCTGGAAATTTTTGGGAGGTATTTGAGCGATTTTTTTGACTATTTTTGGGATTTATTGTGATTTTTTGGGGTGGGGGATTTTTGGGATTATTTTTCATTTTTGGGATTATTTTGGTGATATTTTTAGGGGTTTTGGGTGATTTTTCAGCGATTTTTTTGTGCTTTTTGGATAATTTTTCAGTGATTTTTTGGGGGATTTTTTAGTGATTTTTTTGGAATTTTTGGGGATTTTTTGGGGTGGTTTTGGGGGGGAATTATTGGGAATTTTTTGGGGTGGTTTTGGGGGATTTTGGGGTGGAATTCTTGGGATTTTTGTGGGGTGGTTTTGGGGGATTTTGGGAGGGGATATTGAGGGAATTGTTGGTAATTTTTTGGGGTGGTTTTGGGGAATTTTGGGATTTTTTTGCGAGCCTACCTTGAAGAGGGCCGAGAGCTGGGAGCCGCCCTGGATTTTGGGAATTTTGGGGGAATTTTGGGGGATTTTGGGAGTTTTTTGGGACTGTACCTTGAAGAGGGCCGAGAGCTGGGAGCCGCCCTGGATTTTGGGAATTTTGGGGGGATTTTGGGGGATTTTGGGAGTTTTTTGGGACCGTACCTTGAACAGAGCGGAGAGCTGGGAGCCGCCCTGGATTTTGGGAATTTTGGGGGGATTTTGGGGGATTTTGGGAGTTTTTTGGGACCGTACCTTGAACAGAGCGGAGAGCTGGGAGCCGCCCTGGATTTTGGGAATTTTGGGGGGATTTTGGGGAATTTTGGGGGTTTTTTGGGACCCCACCTTGAAGAGAGCCGAGAGCTGGGAGCCGCCCTGGATTTTGGGAATTTTTTGGGGGATTTTTGGGGGAATTTTGGGGGATTTTGGGACCCTACCTTGAACAGAGCCGAGAGCTGGGAGCCGCCCTGGATTTTGGGAATTTCCCAGCGGATGCTCCGGGAGCCCAAATCCAACTCGGCCGATTGGTCGGGGCTGCTCAGCTCCTGCGAGAGGCTGGGAACGAATTCCCCAAATCCCAAAATTCCACCCAGATCCCAAAAAATTCCACCCCAAATCCCAAAATTCCCCTAGATCCCAAAATCCCCCCCCAGAGTCCAAAATTTCACCCAAAATCCCAAAATTCCACCCAAAATCCCAAAAAATTCCACCCCAAATCCCAAAATTCCTGCCCCAAATCCCAAAATCCTCCCAGAGCCCAAAAATCCCAAAAAATTGCAGCCCAAAATTCCACCCCAATCCCAAAATTCCACCCCGGATCTCAAAATTTGGGATTCCAACCCAAAATTCCACCCCAGAGCCCAAAATTCCACCCAAAATCCCCAAAAAATTCCAGCCCAAAATTTCCCCCCCAGATCCCAAAATTCCCCCCCCCCGATTCCAACAGTCCACCCCAAAATCCCCAAATTCCACCCCGGATCTCAAAATTCAGGATTCCAACCCAAACTTCCACCCCAGAGCCCAAAAAATCCGCTTCAAATTCCCTGAAAATTCCACCCCCAATCCTGAAATTCCACCCCAGATCCCAAAATCCCTCCCAAGCCCAAAATTCCACCCAAAATCCCCAAAAATTCCAGCCCAAAATTCCAACCCAGATCCCAAAATTCCACCCCCCCAGATTCCAAAATTCCACACCCTAGAGCCCAAAATTCCACCCCAAAATTCCCAAAATCCCCAAAGATTCCCAAAATTTCATCCAAATCCCTAAAAATCCTTGGATTTTGCCCCAAAATCCAGATTTTATTCCCAAAATCTGGGATTCAATCCCAAAACTCCCACAAATCCCAAAATGCCCCAAAAAAATCCACCAAAATTCCTCCAGAATTCCCCAAAATTCCCCCAAAATTCCCTCCAATTCCACCCAAAATTTGGGATTCGCCCCCAGAATCCCAAAATTCCCCAAAAATTCCCCAAATTCCGCGTCCCCACCTGGAGACGCCTTTGGGCACCGGGAGCTGCAGGCAGACGTTGATGGCTTGGCTGGAATTTTTTGGGGGAAAATTTGGGGATTTTGGGAAAATTTGGGAATTTCGGGAGTCCCAGGCGGCTGAAAATTCCAGGATTGTCCCAAAAATTCCCAAATTCTCCCCAAATTTCACCTTTTAGGGGGGAGGTCGCAGCGGAGCTTCAAATAAAGGTGGATCCTGGAGGAGGAAAAGGCAAAAATTGGGAAAAATTCCTGGAAATTCCAAAAAAATTCGGGGATTTCCTCAGGGGAAAAAATCCCCCAAAATTCCCAAAAAATTCCCCAGAAATTCCTGGAAAATTCACAACAATTCCCAAAAAGTCACCAAAATATTCCCGAAAATTAAAAAAAAAAATTCCCAAAAAAGTCCCCAAAAAATCGCCAAAAAATTAAAAAAAATTCCTGAAAAATTCCTGAAAGATTCACAAAAATTCCTGAAAATATTACCAAAAATTCCCCCAAAAAAATTCACCATAAAATTCGCAAAAATTCACCAAAAAATTACCGAAAATTCCCAAAAAAATCGCCAAAAAAATCCCAAAAAAATTCCTGAAAAATTCACAAAAAATTCACAAAAATTCCTGAAAAAATTACAAAAAATTCCCCCCCCAAAAAATCACCATAAAACCCCAAAAATTCCCGAAATTCCCCAAAATTCCGGAGTTCAGGGTACCTGTTGGGGGGCTGCGCGCGGGCGGTGGGGAAGAGGCGGAACGGGAGCGGCGCCGGGATCTCGTCCTGCACCTGGTACTGCATCAGCGTCATCTGCACCAAAATTCCCAAAAATTCCTGAATTCCCGACAATTCCCGACGTTCCCAAAAATCCCCAAAGCCACCGGCCGATGCAGCCCCCAAAAATCCCTTTTTTTCCCCCAAAAAATCCCATTTTTCCCCCAAAAATCCCATTTCTGCCCCTAAAAATCCCTTTCCCCCCCAAAAGAAACCCCAAAAATCCCATTTTTCCCCCCAAAAAAACCCCAAAACTCCCATTTTTCCAAAAAAAATCCCATTTTTCCCCAAAAAAACCCTAAACTCCCACTTTTCCCAAAAAAATCCCATCCCCCCCCAAAAAACCCCCAAAACTCCAATTTTTCCCAAAAAAATCCCATTTTCCCCTCCAAAAAAACCCTAAACTCCCATTTTCCCAAAAAAATCTCATTTTCCCCCTAAAAAACACCAAACTCCCATTTTCCCCAAAAAAATCCCATTTTTCCCCCCCCAAAAAAAAACCCTCCAAAATCCCATTTTCCCCCCAAAATTCCCATTTTTCCCCTTAAAAAATCCCCAAAAAATCCCATTTTCCCCATAAAAAACCTCACAAAATTCCCATTTTCCCCCCAAAAATCCCCATTTCCCCGATTCCCCCGAATTCCCCCCAAATTCCCGTTTTCCCGTTCCGGGACCTCTCCGGGCTCGGGCCGCAGGCTGAGGACGCGTCCGGAGCCGAACTCGGCCAGGCTGACGCTGCTGTGGAAGCTGCACTCGTCCACCCGCACCGGCGTGCCGTACCCTGGAACGCCCAAATCCCGGGAATTCCCGAAAATTCCCGAGAATTCCCGGAAAATTCCCGAAAATTCCGGGCGGGTTGGGGCGTTTAAAGTGGCGTTTTGGGGGAAAAAAGGGAAAAAAATGGAATTTCTGAGGAATAAAAAAGGGTTAAAAGTGCACTCGTCCACCCGCACCGGCGTGCCGTACCCTGGAACGCCCAAATCCCGGGAATTCCGGAGAATTCCCGAAAATCCCGGAAAATTCCCGAGGGTTCGGGGCGGGTTTGGGGCGTTTAAAGTGGCGTTTTGGGGGAAAAAAGGGGGAGGAATGGGAAAAAATTGAATTTTTGAGGAATAAAAAAGGGTTAAAAGTGCACTCGTCCACCCGCACCGGCGTGCCGTACCCTGGCAATGCCCAAATCCCGGGAATTCCTGAAAATTCCAGAAAATTCCCGAAAATTCCCGAGGGTTCGGGCGCGTTTGGGGCGTTTAAAGTCGGGTTTTGGGGGAAAAAAGGGAAAAAAAAGGAATTTCTGAGGAATAAAAAAGGGTTAAAAGTGCACTCGTCCACCCGCACCGGCGTGCCGTACCCTGGAATGCCCAAATCCCGGGAATTCCCGAAAATTCCGGAGAATTCCAGAAAATTCCCGAAAATCCCCGAGAGTTCCGGGCGGGTTGGGGTGTTTAAAGTGGCGTTTTGGGGGAAAAAAGGGGCGAAACGGGAAAAAAATGGAATTTTTGAGGAATAAAAAAGGGTTAAAAGTTGATGGGAAGGAGAAAGTTTGGGAATTTTTTGGGAAAATTTGGGAATTCTGGAAAATTCTGGGCGGGCTGAGGGGTGTTTGGGGTGTTGAAAGTGGGTTTTTAGGGGAAAAAATGGGAATTTTGTGAAAATTGGTGGGATTTTTTTGTGGATTTTGGGAGAAATTTGGGGGAAATTTGGGAGGAATTAAAGGGAATTTTGTGAGGTAAAAGGGTCCTGGAAGGGAAAAGAGGTGGATTTGGGCCGATTTGGGGATTTTTGGGGGGAATTTTGGGGGGATTTTTTTGGGTTTTGGGGATTTTTGGGGTGATTTTGGGATTTTGGGGAAGATTTTGGGGTTTTCAGGAATTTTGGGAATTTTGGGGTGGGTCTCACCCCTCAGCTCCGATTTTCCCACACAAAATTCCTCCGTGAGGCCGATCCGCAGCTCTGGGGGGAGCAAAGAGGGGTCAGGGACCCCAAAACCACCCGGGACCCCCCAAAAATCCACCCGGGACCCTCCCCAAATTTTTGGGACCCCCCCAAACCCCCAGGACCCCAAAATTCCCTCAAAATCCCCCAAATTCCCTTTTCCCGCCCTTTTTTCCCCTTCCAGGACCCTTTTCCCCTCATGAAATTTCCTTTAATTCTCCCAAAATTCCCCCAAATCCCCTCAAAATTCCCCCAGAATTTTTGGGACTGTCCAGAATCATTCCAGGACCCCCAAAACCCTCCAAAACCCCACAAAATTCCCCCAAAATTCCCCAAAATTCCCTCAAAATCCCTCAAATTCCCTTTTCCCGCCCTTTTTTCCCCTTCCAGGACCCTTTCCCCCTCACAAAATTCCCTTTAAGTCTCTCTAAATCCCCCAAAATTTCGGGTTTTTTCCCTCACAAAATTGCATTTTCCCCCAAAAATTTCAAATTTTCCTCCCCAAAACCTAAAACTTCTTTTGTTCTCCCCAAACCCCCAAATTTTTCCCCCAAACCCCAAAATTTCCATATTTCACCTCCCAAAATTCTGATTTTTCCCTCCCAAAATCAGATTCTTCCCCCCCAATTTCAATTTGCGCCCCCAATTTTCGATTTTTCTGCCCCCAAAACCCTAAAACTTTTTTCTCCCCAAACCCCCCATAATTTGGATTTTTCCCCAAAATCTGCATTTTTTCCCTCCCAAAATTCGGATTTTCCCACCAAAATGACAATTTTTTCCTCCCAAAATTTCAATTTCCCCCCCCAAATTTCGATCTCCCCTCCCAAAAATGTGGATTATTTTCCCCCAAAATCTCGATTTTTTTGCCCCCCGAAATGTGGATTTTCACCCCAAATTTTCAATTTTTCCCCCAAAATGTGGATTTTTCCCCAAAATCTCGATTTTCTCCCCAAAATCAGGATTTTCCCGGTTGCTGTTACCGGTGCCGGGGGGCAGGAAGGACTTGAGGCGGATCTCGCCCTGCACCTCGACCTTCAGGGGGGAGCCCTGCCCCAAAAACCCAAATTTTGGCGTTTTTTGGGGCAGAAACCCCAAATTCGGGGATTTTGGGGATATTTTGGGGGTTTTTTTGGGTTTTTTGGGCTCACGTTGGCGGCGATGACGACTGAGAGTCGCTCGAGGACGTCCACGAAGAGCTCGGGCCTGGGCGGCTGCCGAGAGATTTGGGGAGATTTGGGATTTTTGGGGGTTTTGGGGGGATTTTTGGGGATTTTATTCAGAATTTTTGGGGTTTTTTTTTTTTTAATTTTTGGGGATTTTTTTGTGGATTTTTAAAAAATTTTCTGGGGATATTTTTGGAATTTTTAGGGATTTTTTGGAGTTTTTTTGTGAATTTAAAAAAAAATTTCTGGGGATTTTTTCAAATTTTTAGGGATTTTTGGGGGATTTTTTTTGGGGGGAATTATGTGGAGATTTTTTTGGGTTTTTTGGGGGGAATTTTTTTGAGATTTTTTTGGGACTCTTTTGAGACTTTTGTGGAAATTTTGGGATTTTGGGGGGAGTGTTTTGGGGGATTCTTTTCTGGAATTTTGGGGGATTATTTGGGAATTTTTGGGGGCATTTTTCTTCATTTTTTTGGGATTTTTTTTTTAGTATTTTGGGGAATTTTTTGGGATATTTTGGGGATTTTTAGGGGGGATTTTTTTGGGGGAGGGGATTTTTTTGGTGGGGGGGTTTTGGTCATTTTTAGCAGATTTTTCTGGGGTTTTTTGGGTGATTTTGGGAATTTTGGTCTGGAATTTCGGGAATTTTGGTCCGGAATTTTGGGAATGTTGGGAATTTTGGGAATTTTGTCTCCCACCTGGTCCCCCCGGGCGGGGGGAAGGGGTCTGGCGGCCGCCGCCCCCGGCGCCACTCGGCTCTGCTGCGTCTCCGCCCCGAACTGCAACAAAACACCAAAAATCCGGGAATTCCCCGGAATTCCGGCACTTTCCCGGGAATTCGGGGAATTTTGGGGAATTTGGGAACGCACCAGCCCCACGGAGCCCAAATCCAGGAGGCTGAAGGGTTTGGGCACCTCCGGCTCCGACTGCACCAGACTCCGCAGGACCTCGGGGGTCGTCGTCTGGATGTGCCCGAAATCCTGGAATTTGGGGAAAATCCGGGAATTTGGGGGGAAATCTGGGAGTTTGGGGGGAAATCCTGGAATTTGGGGGGAAATCCTGGAGTTTGGGGGGAAATCCGGGAGTTTGGGGTGAAATCCTGGAATTTGGGGGGGAAATCCTGGAATTTGGGGGGAAATCCTGGAGTTTGGGGCAAAAATCCTGGAATTTGGGGGGAAATCTGGGAATTCGGGGGGAAATCCGGGAGTTTGGGGGGAAATCTGGGAATTTGGGGGGAAATCCGGGAGTTTGGGGGGAAATCCGGGAATTTGGGGGGAAATCTGGGAATTTGGGGGGAAATCCGGGAGTTTGGGGGGAAATTGGGAATTTGGGGGGAAATCCGGGAGTTTGGGGGGAAATTGGGAATTTGGGGGGAAATCCAGTAATCTGGAGGGAAAATCCTGGAATTTGGGGGGAAATCTGGAAAACTGGGGGGAAATTAAGGAATTTGGGGGGAAATGCTGGAATTTGGGGGGAAATCTGGGAATTTGGGGAGGGAAATCCTGGAATTTGGGGGGAAATCCTGGAATTTGGGGGAAAATCCTGAAATTTGGGGGATTTTTTGGGAGATTTTGAGGGATTTGGGGGGGTCCAAAAGGCCCAAAATGGCCCCAGGACCCCCCAGGTTGGCCCCAAAGGGGCTCCCCAGTAACTCCCAGTTCATCCCAGTGCCTCCCAGTTTATCCCAAACCCCCTCCCAGTCCCTCCCAGTTCCCCCCAGTGCCCCCCAGTCCCTCCCAGTGCTCCCAGTTACCACCAGTTCCTCCAGCAGCTCCCCGACCAGCGCCAGGTTCATTCCCAGACTTTTCTCGCTCAGGGGGCCGCAGAAATCCCGGAGCAGCGTCACCAGCCTGGGACCCAAAATCCCTGAATTTCAGCCCAAAACCCAGCCCAAACGCTCCCAAAAATCCCAGCAAGAATTCCCAAAAATCCCAGAAAGAATTCCCAAAAATCCCAGGAAAAATCCCCAAAAAACCCAGGAAAAAAATCCCCAAAATCCCGGAAAAAACCCCAAAAAACCCTGGAAAAAATTCCCAAAAATCCCAGAAAAATTCCCAAAAACCCCCAGGAAAACATTCCCAAAAATCCCAGAAAAAAAAACCCCAAAAACCCTGGAAAAAAATTCCAAAAAATCCCAGAAAAATTCCCAACAATCCCGGAAAAAGAAATCCCCAAAACCCCAGGGAAAATTCCCAAAAATCCCAGGAAAAAATCCCAAAAACCCCCAGGAAAAAATTCCCAAAAATCGCAGAAAAAAACCCCACAAACCCCGGAAAAAAATCCCAAAAATCCCAGAAAAACCCAAAAATCCTGGAAAAAAATTTTAAAAAATCCCAGAAAAATTCCCAACAATCCCGGAAAAAGAAATCCCAAAAACCCCAGAAAAAGTTCCCAAAAATCCCGGGAAAAAAAATCCCAAAAACCCCGGAAAAAGTTCCCAAAAGTCCTGGAAAAAAATTCCCAAAAATCCCAGAAAAAATTTTTGAAAACCCCCAGGGAAAGTTCCCAACAATCTCGGAAAAAAAAATCCCTAAAAATGAAGGAAAAAAATCTCTTTAAAATCCCTAAAAATGAAGCAAAAAAATCACTTAAAAATCCCCAAAAATGAAAAAAAAAATCTCTTAAAAATCCCTAAAAATGGAGAAAAAAAAATCTTAAAAATCCCTAAAAATGAAGAAAAAAAATCTCTTAAAAATCCCTAAAAATGAAGAAAAAAAAATCACTTAAAAATCCCTAAAAATGAAGAAAAAAAATCTCTTAAAAATCCCTAAAAATGAAGAAAAAAAAAATCTTAAAAATCCCTAAAAATGAAGAAAAAAAATCTCTTAAAAATCCCTAAAAATGAAGATAAAATCTCTTAAAAATCCCTGAAAAATCCCCAAAAAATCCCAAAAAACGCCCCAAAAATCCCCCAAAAATTCCCAAAAAATCCCCCAATTTTCCCAAGCTCCCGGAATTGTCGGAATTTTGGGATTTACCTGTTGAGGAACTCGATGATGGTGAAGGGGGAGGCGTCGCCCTCGGTGCTGGCCCCGAAGAAAAGCCCCCCGTGCCTGACGTGGGCGAAGTGGAGCCCCCCGAGGCTCTGGGGACACAAAACTGCTCAAAAAAACCCAAATTCCACCCCAAAAACCTCAAATCCTGAAAATTCCCCCAAAAAATCCACCCCAAATGCTGAGAATTCCCATAAAAATCCAATGGAATGCCACAAAAATCCACCCCAAAAACACTTCCAGGATATCTGAATTCCACCCAAAAAATCCCTCAATTTCTCCCCAAAATCCCCCCAAAATCCCCTCTCAGTACCTCCCCCAAATCCCCCCCCAAAATGCCTCCAGGACATCCCAAATCCCCCCAAAAAATCCTCAAAACCCCCAAAATCCCCCAATTTCTCCCAAAATCCCCCTCAGAACCCCAAAAAAATTCCCTCAAAATCCCCCTCAGAACCCCTCAAATTCTCCCCAAAATCCCCCCAAAAACGCCCCAAATCCCCCCAAAACCCCGCCAGGATCATCCAAATCCCCTCAGAACCCCCAAAAAATCCTCAAAACCCCCCAAATCCCCCAATTTCTTCCCAAAATCCCCCTCAGAACCCCATAAAATTCCCTCAAAACCCCCCTCAGAACCCCTCAACATTCGCCCCAAATCCGCCTCAGAACGCCCCAAAATCCCCCCGAAACCGCCCCAAAATCCCCCTGAAAACGCCCCAAATCCCCCCAAAACCCCGCCAGGATCACCCAAATCCCCTCAGGACCCCCAAAAAATCCACAAAACCCCCAAATTCCCCCAATTTCTCCCCAAATCCCCCTCAGAACCCCACAAAATTCCCTCAAAATCCCCCTCAGAGCCCCCCAACATTCTCCCCAAATCCCCCTCAGAACGCCCCAAAATCCCCCCGAAACCGCCCCAAAATCCCCCTGAAAACGCCCCAAATCCCCCCAAAACCCCGTCAGGATCATCCAAATCCCCTCAGGACCCCCAAAAAATCCTCAAACCCCCAAATTCCCCCAAATTTTCCCAAAATCCCCCTCAGAACCCCATTAAATTCCCTCAAAATCCCCCTCAGAACCCCCCAAAATTCTCCCCAAATCCCCCCGAAAATGCCCCAAATCCCCCCCAAAACCCCACCAGGATCACCCAAATCCCCTCAGGACCCCCAAAAAATCCTCAAAACCCCCCAAATCCCCCAATTTCTCCCAAAATCCCCCAATTTCTCCCCAAATCCCCTCAGAACTCCCCAAAGTCCCCCTCAGAACCCCTCTAAATTGCCCCCAAAATTCCCCTCAGAACGCCCCCAAATCACCCTGAAAACGCCCCAAAATTCACCAAAATCCCCCAAAAACTCCGCCGAGCTCTTCCAGGACCCAAAAATCCCCAAATCTTCAAATTTCTCCCCAAATCCCCTCAGAACTGCCTAAAATCCTCCTCAAAAAGCCCCAAATCCCCCTCAGAACCCCTCAAAATTCTCCCCAAATCCCCCTCAGAACGCCTCAAAATCGCCCCTAAATCCCCCCGAAAACGCCCCAAAATGGCCCAAAATCCCCCAAATTTCTCCCCCCAGGCCGGGCCGGGCCGGGATTTGCCCAAAATCCGCCGTTTTTGGCCCAAACTGACCTGGAAGGGCGGGGGCTGCTCCACCCCATGGCGGAAAAACTCCGGGACGGGAACGGGGGAGCCCCCCCGGACTGAGGGGGGGGTTAAGGAAATTTGGGGGAAATTTGGGGGGATTTGGGGGAAATTTGGGGGGATTTGGGGGTCTGAAGGAAATTTGGGGGAAATCCGGGGGGATTTGGGGGTCTCAAGGAAATTTGGGGGGATTTGGGGGTCTCATGGAAATTTGGGGGGATTTGGGGGTCTCAAGGAAATTTGGGGGAAATCTGGGGGGATTTGGGGGTCCCGGGGGGGATTTAGGGGGTCCTGGGAGGGTTTAGAGGGTTCCGAAGGGGTTTTGGGGTGGATTTTGGGGTCCCGAGGTGAATTTTGGGGGGATTTGGGGCTGTTTTGGGGTGATTTTGGGGGGATTTGGGGCTGTTTTGGGGGATACAGTCCCGGTGGATCAGGAGATCCCCCTTGGAGCTGAGGATGAAGAGCTGCGAAAGCATCTGAGGGGGGGAGGAGGAAAAACGGGGATCAGAGACCCCAAATTCCCCAAAATCCCCCCAAATCCCCCCAAAATCCCCCAAATCCCCCAAACTGAGCCCCCACCCCCAAATCTGAACCCGCCAAAAACGGAGCCTCCCTCAAAGCCGAGCCCCCCAAACCCCTGAGCCCCCCCCCAGACCCCCGAGCCCCCCAACCCCTCCCCGTCCCCCAAAAATCCCCTCAGGACCCCCCAAAAAACCCCAAATTCCCCCCAAAAAAGCGACGCGGCCCCTTTAAGAGGGGGCGTGGCCAACCCCCCCCCGGACCCCCGAACCTCCGCGCCGCTTCCCGCCGCCGCCGCGCGCAAAGCCCCGCCCACCGTGGGCGTGGCCTCGCCGCGCGTGCACCCCGCTGCGCCTTCCTATTGGCTGATCTGCCCGCGCCTCCGCGCGTCCTCTGTCGTGATTGGGCGGCGCCGCCGTCGCGCGGAGGGCGGCCGCTGCGTTTCGATTGGCCGCGCGGCCGTCACGTGGGCGCGGAGTTTTCGCGCCACTCGCCGTGAGGGGAAGGCGGTGGCGGGAAAAGGGCGGGAGCGGCTGTGAGGGGAAATCGCGATCCTGAGGGGAAATCCTGATCCTGAGGGGAAATCGCGATCGTGAGGGGAAATCGCGATCCTGAGGGGAAATCGCGATCGTGAGGGGAAATCGCGACCCTGAGGGGAAATCGCGATCCTGAGGGGAAATCCTGATCCTGAGGGGAAATCGCGATCCTGAGGGGAAATCGCGGCCGTGAGGGGAAATCGCGATCCTGAGGGGAAATCGCGATCCTGAGGGGAAATCGCGATCCTGAGGGGAAATCGCGATCCTGAGGGGAATATCGCGACAGAGACCCGCGACAGCAGCGGCCGCGCCATGGCCCCGCGCGACTACGACAGCGAGAAAGGTTTGGGGCCAGCGGGGGGCGCGGGGGCTGCGTTATTGACGCGTTATCGACCCATTATTGACCCGTTATTGACCCGTTATTGACCCATTATTGACCCATTATTGACCCGTTCTTGGGACTCCCCCCGACTCGCTCCGTTTTCCCCTCAGAGAAGGCGAAGCGCTTCTTTCAGGAGTTTTACCGGGATGGACCCGACGGCCGCAAGGAGTTCCCGTACCGGGAGCAGCTGGTGAGGGCGGCACCCCCAAATTTACCCGAAATCGCCTCAAATCCCCTCAGGTTTCACCCCGAACCCCCCAAATTCTGCTGAATTCCCTCCCAGCCCCACAAATCCCACCCCAAACCCCTTCCCACCCACCCCAAATCTCCCCAAACCCCCACAAATTGTCATAAACTCCTTTTCACCGCCCCAAATGCCCCCTAAATCCCCCAAATCCTCCCCAAATTCCTTCCAGCCTCCCACAAATCCTCCCCAAAATCCCCATTTTCACATCAAAATCCCCATTTTCAAATCAAAATCCCCATTTTCATCCCGAAATCCCCATTTTCATCCCAACACCCCCATTCTCACATCAAAATCCCCATTTCCACCCCCAAACCCCCTTTTAACCCCCAAACTCCCAATTTTCCCCCCAAACTCCCCCATTTCCCCCCCAAACTCCCCGTTTTTCCCCCCAAACTCCCCATTTCCCCCCAAACTCCCCATTTTCACCCAAATCCCCGTTTTTCCCCCCAAACTCCCCATTTCCCCCCCAAACTCCCCATTTTCCCCCCAAACTCCCCGTTTTCCCCCCAAACCCCCATTTTTCCCCCAAAAACCCCATTTTTCACCTCAAATTCCCCCTTTTCCCACCCAAACTCCCCATTTTCCCCCCAAACTCCCCATTTCCCCCCAAACTCCCCATTTTCACCCAAATCCCCGTTTTTCCCCCCAAACTCCCCATTTCCCCCCCAAACTCCCCATTTTTCCCCCCAAACTCCCCGTTTTCCCCCCAAACCCCCATTTTTCCCCCCAAAACCCCATTTTTCACCTCAAATTCCCCCTTTTCCCACCCAAACTCCCCATTTTCCCCCCAAACTCCCCATTTTCCCCCCAAACTCCCCATTTCCCCCCCAAAGTCCCTATTTTTCCCCCCAAACTCCCCCTTTTCCCACCCAAACTCCCCCATTTCCCCCCCAAACTCCCCGTTTTTCCCCCCAAACTCCCCCTTTTCCCCCCAAACTCCCCCATTTCCCCCCAAACTCCCCATTTCCCCCCAAACTCCCCATTTCCCCCCCTAAATTCCCTTTTTCCCCCAAACTCCCCATTTTCCCCCCAAACTCCCCATTTTCCCCCCAAACTCCCCTTTTCCCCCCCCAAACTCTTCATTTTCCCCCAAATCCTTGTTTTTCCCCCAAACTCCCCATTTTTCCCCCCAAACCCCCATTTTTCACCCCAAACTCCCCATTTTCACCCAAACTCCCATTTTTCACCCCAAAACCGCATTTCAGCACCAAATTTCCCATTTTCACTCCCCAGATTTCCCATTTTCCCCCCAAACTCCTGTTTTTCCCCCCAAACCATCCTTTTTTCCCCCCAGAATCCCCATTTTCACCACAAAATCCCATTTTTCACTCCCCAAACCCCTTTCCCCCCCCAACCCCCATTTTTCACCCAAATCCCCCTTTTCCCCCCAAACTCCCCTTTCCCCCCCCAAACTCCCCATTTTTCTCCCCTTTCCCCCCCCCAAACCCCCTTTTTCCCCCCCAAACCCCTGTTTTTCACCCCAAGCCATCCTTTTTTCCCCCCAGAATCCCCATTTTCACCGCAAAATCCCATTTTTCACTCTCCAAACCCCTTTTCCCCCCCAAACTCCCCCTTTTCCCCCAAAATCCCCGTTTTCCCGCCCAAACTCCCCATTTTTCTCCCTTTTTCCCCCCAAACTCCCCCTTTTTTCACCCAAACTCCCCATTTTCCCCCCAAACCCCGTTTTCCCCCAAATCCCCTATTTCCCCCCAAACCCCCATTTTCACCAAAATCCCCGTTTTTCCCCCCAAACCCCGTTTTCCCCCAAACCCCGTTTTTCCCCCAAACTCCTGTTTTTCCCCCAAACCCCATTTTCCCCAAATCCCGGTTTTTCCCCCCAAACCCCGCAGGCGCTGCTGGCCCGGCGGGAGCGGGTGGCCCTGTGGGTGGCTCTGGACGACGTGGCCGAGGACGAGCCCGAGCTGGCCGAGGCCGTGGTGGAGAACGTCCGGCGCTACGGCCGCGTCTTCTCGGACGCCGTGCACGAGCTGCTGCCCCAGTTCGGCTCTGCTGAGGTCAGGGACCCCAAATTTGGGGATTTTGGGGTTTTTTGGGGGGTCTTTGGGGGGTTTTGGGGGTCTTTAGGGGTTTTTGGGGTGTTTTAGGGTCATAGGGGTCATAGGGGTCAGTGTCCGGCGCTACGGCCGCGTCTTCTCGGACGCCGTGCACGAGCTGCTGCCCCACTTCGGCTCTGCCGAGGTCAGGGACCCCCAAATTTGGGGGTTTTTGGGGAAATTTTTGGGGATTTTTAGGTGATTTTTGGGGTTTTCGGGGGTCTTTAGGGGTTTTTGGGGGGTTTTAGGGTCATAGGGGTCAGTGTCCGGCGCTCCGGCCGCGTCTTCTCGGACGCCGTGCACGAGCTGCTGCCACAGTTCGGCTCTGCCGAGGTCAGGGACCCCAAATTTGGGGATTTTTGGGGAAATTTTTGGGGATTTTTAGGTGATTTTTGGGGTTTTCGGGGGTCTTTAGGGGTTTTTGGGGGGTTTTAGGGTCATAGGGGTCAGTGTCCGGCGCTACGGCCGCGTCTTCTCGGACGCCGTGCACGAGCTGCTGCCCCAGTTTGGGTCTGCTGAGGTCAGGGACCCCAAATTTGGGGATTTTGGGTTTTTTTTGGGAAAATCTGGGGCTTCTGTGGGGTCTTTAGGGGTTTTAGGGGGGTTTAGGGTCATAGGGGTCAATGGGGGACAACGTCCGGCACTCCAGCCACGTCTTCTCGGACGCTGCCCAGGAGCTGCTGCCCCACTTTGGGTCTGCTGAGGTCAGGGAACCCCAAATTTGGGGATTTTGGGGAAATTTTGGGGGGTTTTTAGGAGATTTTAGGGGTTTTGGGGGGGTCTTTAGGGGTTCCCCCCTGAGCCCCCTCCCCAAATTTCCCCTTCCAGGCCGCCCCCCGGGACCCCCTGGACGTGTACCTGGAGCATTTTGGGGTGGTTTTGGGTGGGATTTTTTGGTAATTTTGGGTGGAATTTTGGGATAATTTTTGGTGAGGGGTCCCCCAGTTCCCCCCTGAGCCCCCTCCCCAAATTTCCCCCCCCAGGCCGCCCCCCGGGACCCCCTGGACGTGTACCTGGAGCGTTTTGGGGTGGTTTTGGGGCGTTTTTGGGTGGGATTTTAGTTGTTTTGAAGGGGATTTTTTGGTAATTTTGGGTGGAATTTTGGGGTATTTTTTGGTGAGGGGTCCCCCAGTTCCCCCCTGAGCCCCCTCCCCAAATTTCCCCCCTTCCAGGCCGCCCCCCGGGACCCCCTGGACGTGTACCTGGAGCATTTTGGGGTGGTTTTGGGGCGTTTTTGGGTGGGATTTCGTGGTAATTTAGAATCAAAATTTGGGACAATTTTTGGTGAGGGGTCCCCCAGTTCCCCCCTGAGCCCCCTCCCCAAATTTGCCCCCCACAGGCCGCCCCCCGGGACCCCCTGGACGTGTACCTGGAGCATTTTGGGGTGGTTTTGGGGCATTTTTCAGTGGAATTTTAGTTGTTTTGAAGGGGATTTTGGGTGGAATTTTGGGATATTTTTGGTGAGGGGTCCCCCAGCCCCCTCCTGAGCCCCCTCCCCAAATTTCCCCCCCCAGGCCGCCCCCCGGGACCCCCTGGACGTGTACCTGGAGCATTTTGGGGTGGTTTTGGGGCGTTTTTGGGTGGGATTTCGTGGTAATTTAGAATCAAAATTTGGGATATTTCTTGGTGAGGGGTCCCCCAGTTCCCCCCCGAGCCCCCTCCCCAAATTTCCCCCCACAGGCCGCCCCCCGGGACCCCCTGGACGTGTACCTGGAGCATTTTGGGGGGTTTTGGGGCATTTTTCAGTGGGATTTTAGTTATTTTGAAGGGGATTTTTTGGTAATTTTGGGTGGAATTTTGGGATATTTTTGGTGAGGGGTCCCCCAGTTCCCCCCTGAGCCCCCTCCCCAAATTTGCCCCCCACAGGCCGCCCCCCGGGACCCCCTGGACGTGTACCTGGAGCATCGGCTGCTGCTGGAGCAGCGGGGCCGGGCCGGGGGCGCCCCCCGGACCCCCCAAAATCAGTACCCCCCTGAGCTGCTGCGGCGCTTGTGAGTCTGGGCAGGGCCCTGGGGACCCCAGACCCAATTCCTGGGCACCCCAAAATCCCAAACCCCCCCAGATCCCCTTTTCCTTCATTTTTTCCCCAAATTTCTCTCATTTTCCCTCCCTTTCACTCCCCAATTTTTCCTCATTTCTTCCCCAATTCTCCCCCATTTTCCCCCCTACAAACCCCATTTTTTACCCCAAACACCCATTTTTTACCCCAAATCTCCCATTTTTTACTCCAAACTCTCATTTTCTCTTCTCACAATTCCCATTTTTCCCAAAATCTCCATTTCTTGCCCCAAAGCAAGCTATATTTCCATGCCCCCTCCTGCTCCAAGCCGCTGTCCCCACAGGAGCCCCTACAAACCCCGTTTTTCCCCCTCCAAACCCCATTTGCCCCCAGAATTCCGTGTTTTTTCTCCGATTAACCGATTTTTTTTCTGTTTTTTCCCAAAATGGCCATTTTTCGCCCCAAAGCGAGCTGTATTTCCGCGCCCCGTCCTGCTCCAAGCCGCTGTCCCCACGGGGACATTTTTCCCTCTCCAAACCCCATTTTTCCCACACAATTCCATTTTTTTTCCCCGATTAACCCCATTTTTTCTGTTTTTTCCCAAAATCTCCGTTTTTCGCCCCAAAGCGAGCTGTATTTCCGCGCCCCCTCCTGCTCCAAGCCGCTGTCCCCACAGGAGCCCCTACAAACCCCATTTCCCCCCACATTTCCAGATTTTTTCCCCCATTAACCCCATTTTTTCTGTTTTTTCCCAAAATGGCCGTTTTTCGCCCCAAAGCGAGCTGTATTTCCGCGCCCCGTCCTGCTCCAAGCCGCTGTCCCCACAGGGACATTTTTCCCCCTCCAAACCCCATTTTTCCCCCACAATTCCAGATTTTTTCCCCTTTAAACCCCATTTTTTCTTTTTTTTCCCAAAATCGCCGTTTTTCGCCCCAAAGTGAGCTGTATTTCCGCGCCCCGTCCTGCTCCAAGCCGCTGTCCCCACAGGAACCCTACAAACCCCATTTCTCCCCCTCCAAACCCCATTTTTCCCCCACAATTCCGGGTTTTTTCCCCCGATTAACCGATTTTTTTTCTGTTTTTTCCCAAAATCGCCGTTTTTCTCCCCAAAGCGAGCTGTATTTCCGCGCCCCGTCCTGCTCCAAGCCTCTGTCCCCGCGGGAGCTGCGCGCCGGCAGCATCGGGGCCCTGGTGACCGTGCAGGGGATCGTCACCAGGGCCAGCGAGGTGCGGCCGCTGCTGCGCGTGGCCACCTACAGCTGCGACCAGTGCGGCGCCGAGACCTACCAGCCGGTACTGGGAGGGACTGGGACAAACTGGGAGTGGGTTTGGGGGGATTTGGGGCGGTTTTGGGGGGATTTGGGGCAGTTTCAGGGGGTTTGGGGGCAGTTCTGGGAGCTCAGTGCCACCTACAGCTGCGACCAGTGCGGCGCCGAGACCTACCAGCCGGTACTGGGAGGGACTGGGATATACTGGGATATACTGGGACAAACTGGGAGTGGGTTTGGGGGGATTTGGGGCAGTTTCAGGGGGATTTGGGGCAGTTTCAGGGGGTTTGGGGACAGTTCTGGGGGCTCAGTGCCACCTACAGCTGCGACCAGTGCGGCGCCGAGACCTACCAGCCGGTACTGGGACGGACTGGGATGGACTGGGACATACTGGGAGGGACTGGGAATGGGTTCGGGGGAATTTGGGGCGGTTTTGGGGGGATTTGGGGCAGTTTCAGGGGGATTTGGGGCAGTTTCAGGGGGTTTGGGGACAGTTCTGGGCAATCAGTGCCACCTACAGCTGCGACCAGTGCGGCACCGAGACCTACCAGCCGGTACTGGGACGGACTGGGATATACTGGGATGTACTGGGATATACTGGGATATACTGGGAGTGGGTTTGGGGGGGATTTGGGGTGGTTTTGGGGGGATTTGGGGCAGTTTCAGGGGGTTTGGGGACAGTTCTGGGGGCTCAGTGCCACCTACAGCTGCGACCAGTGCGGCGCCGAGACCTACCAGCCGGTACTGGGACAAACTGGGATATACTGGGATGGACTGGGATATACTGGGAGTGGGTTTGGGGGGATTTGGGGCGGTTTTGGGGGGATTTGGGGCAGTTTCAGGGGGTTTGGGGACAGTTCTGGGCTCTCAGTGCCACCTACAGCTGCGACCAGTGCGGCGCCGAGACCTACCAGCCGGTACTGGGACGGACTGGGATATACTGGGAGGGACTGGGATGGACTGGGAGTGGGTTTGGGGGGATTTGGGGCAGTTCTGGGGGGATTTGGGGCAGTTCTGGGGGGATTTGGGGCAGTTTCAGGGGGTTTGGGGACAGTTCTGGGGGCTCAGTGCCACCTACAGCTGCGACCAGTGCGGCGCCGAGACCTACCAGCCGGTACTGGGACATACTGGGATATACTGGGATATACTGGGATATACTGGGAGTGGGTTTGGGGGGATTTGGGGCAGTTCTGGGGGGATTTGGGGCAGTTTCAGGGGGTTTGGGGCAGTTTCAGGGGGATTTGGGGCAGTTTCAGGGGGTTTGGGGACAGTTCTGGGAGCTCAGTGCCACCTACAGCTGCGACCAGTGCGGCGCCGAGACCTACCAGCCGGTACTGGGACAAACTGGGAGGGACTGGGATGGACTGGGATGGACTGGGAGTGGGTTTGGGGGGATTTGGGGCAGTTTCAGGGGGATTTGGGGCAGTTTCAGGGGGTTTGGGGACAGTTCTGGGGTCTCAGTGCCACCTACAGCTGCGACCAGTGCGGCGCCGAGACCTACCAGCCAGTACTGGGACGGACTGGGATGGACTGGGATATACTGGGAGTGGGTTTGGGGCGGTTTTGGGGCAGTTTCAGGGGGTTTGGGGACAGTTCTGGGGTCTCAGTGCCACCTACAGCTGCGACCAGTGCGGCGCCGAGACCTACCAGCCGGTACTGGGACAAACTGGGAGGGACTGGGATGGACTGGGATATACTGGGAGTGGATTTGGGGCGGTTCTGGGGGGATTTGGGGGGATTTGGGGCAGTTTCAGGGGGTTTGGGGACAGTTCTGGGGGCTCAGTGCCACCTACAGCTGCGACCAGTGCGGCGCCGAGACCTACCAGCCGGTACTGGGACATACTGGGATGGACTGGGACAAACTGGGAGGGACTGGGAGTGGGTTTGGGGGGATTTGGGGCGGTTTTGGGGCAGTTTCAGGGGGATTTGGGGCAGTTTCAGGGGGTTTGGGGGCAGTTCTGGGGGCTCAGTGCCACCTACAGCTGCGACCAGTGCGGCGCCGAGACCTACCAGCCGGTACTGGGACAAACTGGGATATACTGGGAGGGACTGGGATGGACTGGGAGTGGGTTTGGGGGGATTTGGGGCAGTTCTGGGGGGATTTGGGGCAGTTTCAGGGGGTTTGGGGACAGTTCTGGGGGCTCAGTGCCACCTACAGCTGCGACCAGTGCGGCGCCGAGACCTACCAGCCGGTACTGGGACGGACTGGGACAAACTGGGAGGGACTGGGATGGACTGGGATGGACTGGGATATACTGGGAGGGACTGGGAGTGGGTTTGGGGGGATTTGGGGCAGTTTCAGGAGGTTTGGGGACAGTTCTGGGGGCTCAGTGCCACCTACAGCTGCGACCAGTGCGGCGCCGAGACCTACCAGCCGGTACTGGGATGGACTGGGATGGACTGGGATGGACTGGGATATACTGGGATGGACTGGGAGGGACTGGGAGTGGGTTTGGGGGGGTTTGGGGCAGTTTTGGGGCAGTTCTGGGGGGATTTGGGGCAGTTTTGGGGCAGTTTCAGGGGGTTTGGGGACAGTTCTGGGGGCTCAGTGCCACCTACAGCTGCGACCAGTGCGGCGCCGAGACCTACCAGCCGGTACTGGGATGGACTGGGACGAACTGGGAGGGACTGGGACGGACTGGGAGGGTTTTTTATGGAATATTTGAGGTTTTGGGGCAGTTTCAGGTGGATTTTTGGGGGAATTCTCTGAGTTTTTGGGGTCTCTCCCCTCACAGATCGATGGCAGCCTTTTCTAGAGGAACTTCTGGGGGTCTTGGGGGGTAGTTTTAGGGTCTTTGGGAAATTTTTGGGGTTCAGGTGGATTTTTGGGGTTTGGGTGGGATTTTTTGGGGGGATTGTTTGACTTTTTGGGGTTTTTTCCCCTCACAGATCGAAGGCGCCATTTTCCCACCTATTCCAGGGGCACTTCTGGGGATCTCGGGTGGAAATTTTGTGATCTTGGGTAGATTTTTTGGGATTCAGGTGGATTTTGGGGGTTCGGGTGGAATTTTTTTGGGGATTCTTTGAGTTTTTGGGGTCTCTCCCCTCACAGATCGAAGACGCCATTTTCCCACCTATTCCAGGGGCTCTTCTGGGGGTCTCAGTGGAAAATATTTTGGATTTTGTGTGGATTTTTTGGGGTTCAGGTGCATTTCTTTGGGTTCAGGTGGAATTTTTGGGGTTCAGGTGGGATTTTTTTGGGTTCGGGTGGGATTTTTTGGGGGGATTGTTTGACTTTTTGGGGTTTTTTCCCCTCACAGATCGAGGGCCCGACCTTCACGCCGCTGCTGCTGTGCCCGAGCCGGGAGTGCCAAACCAACCGCTCGGGGGGACGGCTCTACCTGCAGAGCCGCGGCTCCAAATTCACCAAATTCCAGGAGCTGCGCATCCAGGAGCACGTGAGTCAGGGGGGATCCCCAGAAAACCCCAAAATCCCAAAAATTCCCTCAGGAAACGCCAAAATCCCCTCAGAAATGGCTCCAAAATGGCGCCCGGGGGCTGCAAAATGGCGCCCGGGGGCTGGGAATTGGCTCCAGATCCACCAAATTCTGGGAATTTTGGATTCAGGAGCTCCTGAGTCAGGGGGGATCCCCGAATTCCTGACAGAACACCCCAAAATCCCAAAAAATCCCCTCAGGAAACGCTAAAATCCCCTCAGAAATGGCTCCAAAATGGCGCCTGGGGGCTGCAAAATGGCGGCCGGGGTCTTAAAATTGGCTCCAAATCCACCAAATTCTGGGAATTGTGGATTCAGGAGCTCCTGAGTGAGGGGGGATCCCCGAATTCCTGACAGAAAACCCCAGAATCCCAAAAAATCCCCTCAGGAAATGCCAAAATCCCCTCAGAAATGGCTCCAAAATGGCGCCTGCGGGTTGCAAAATGGCGGCCAGGGCCTTAAAATTGGCTCCAAATCCACCAAATTCTGGGAATTGTGGATTCAGGAGCTCCTGAGTGAGGGGGGATCCCCGAATTCCTGACAGAAAACCCCAAAATCCCAAAAAATCCCCTCAGGAAACTCCAAAATCCCCTCAGAAATGGCTCCAAAATGGCGCCTGGGGGCTGCAAAATGGCAGCCAGGGTCTTTAAAATGGACTCCAGGCTTTTAAAGTTGGCTCCAAATCCACCAAATTCTGGAATTTTGGATTCAGGAGCTCCTGAGTGAGGGGGAATCCCCGAATTCCTGACAGGAAACCCCAAAATCCCAAAAAATCCCCTCAGGAAACACCAAAATCTCCTCAGAAATGGCTCCAAAATGGCGGGTGGGGCCTGCAAAATGGACTCCAGGGTTTTAAAGCTGGTTCCAAATCCACCAAATTCTGGAATTTTGGATTCAGGAGCTCCTGAATCAGGGAGGATCCCCGAATTCCTGACAGAAAACCCCAAAATCCCGACAGAAAACCCCAAAATCCCCAAAAAAATCCCCTCAGGAAATTCAAGAATTGCCTCAGAAACGGCTCCAAAATGGCGCCCAGGGGCTGCAAAATGGACTCCAGGGTTTTAAAGCTGGCTCCAAATCCACCAAAATCTGGGAATTTTGAATCCAGGAGCTTGTGGATAACGGGGGATCCCAAAATCCCCTCAGGAAACTCCAAAATCCTCCCAAATTCCCTCAAAATCGGATTAAAAATGGCGGCCGGGGCGTTCAAGATGGCGGCGGGGCCCCTCAGGCGGGCGCGGGTGGGTGCGAGCGGTCCCAAAACGGGGGGAAACGGCCCCAAAAACCCCGTCTGGGCTCAGGTGTGTGACGGGTGCCCCTGTGCCCGCAGTCGGACCAGGTGCCCGTGGGTCACCTGCCGCGCTCGCTGTCGCTGCACCTGAGCGGCGCCAACACGCGCCAGGCCCAGCCCGGCGACCACGTCCGCGTCACCGGCGCCTTCCTGCCCCTGCTGCGGCCCGGCTTCCGGCAGGTGACACAGGTGAGTGCGCCCAAAATGTACCTGGGTACACCCAAAACACACCTGAGACCCCAAAAACCTCACCTGGGCACGCCCAAAACTCACCTGGGCACACCCAGAGCTCCCCTTCCTGCCCCTGCTGCGGCCCGGCTTCCAGCAGGTGACACAGGTGAGTGCACCCAAAATGTACCTGGCACACCTAAAATGTACCTGGCACACCCAAAATGTACCTGGGCACACCCAAAACTCACCTGAGACCCCAAAAACCTCACCTGGGCACACCCAGAGCTCCCCTTCCTGCCCCTGCTGCGGCCCGGCTTCCAGCAGGTGACACAGGTGAGCGCACCTGGGCACGCCCAGAACGCACCTGAGACCCCAAAAACCTCACCTGGGCACGCCCAAAACACACCTGGGAACGCCCAAAATACACTTGGGAACATCCAAAACTCACCTGGGCACATCTGGGGGTGGAATTTGCCCCCAGAATTCCCATTTTTGTCCCCAAATCCCCATTTTTTACCCCAAAAACCATGGATTCCTGTCAGAGACCTTCCTGGAGGGGCATCACCTCCTTCAGCCTCACCAAAAATCCCCATTTTTCCCCCAAAATTCCTGTTTTCCCCAAAAATTCCTGGTTTTCCCCCCAAAATTCCCATTTTTCTTCCCAAGTCCTGTTTTTTTTCCCAAAATCCTGGTTTTTTGCCCCAAACCAGGGCCTGCTGTCCGAGGCCTTCCTGGAGGGGTGTCACCTCCTCCAGCCTCACCAAAAATCTCCATTTTCTCCCCCTAAATTCCTGGTTTTCCCCCAAAATTCCTGTTTTTTCCCCCAAAATTCCTGTTTTTTTTTTTCCAAATCCCTGGTTTTTACCCAAAATCGCGGTTTTTCGCCCCAAACCAGGGCCTGCTGTCCGAGACCTTCCTGGAGGGGCACCACCTCCTCCAGCCTCACGAAAAATCCCCATTTTTCCCCCAAAATTCCTGGTTTTTTCCCCAAAATTCCCGTTTTTTTTTTCCAAATCCCTGGTTTTTACCCAAAATCGCGGTTTTTCGCCCCAAACCAGGGCCTGCTGTCAGAGACCTTCCTGGAGGGGCACCACCTGTCTCCAGCCTCACCAAAAATCCCCATTTTTCCCCCCAAATTCCTGTTTTTTCCCTCAAAATTCCCATTTTTTTTCCCCAAATTCCCATTTTTTTTCCCAAAATCCTGGTTTTTCGCCCCAAACCAGGGCCTGCTGTCCGAGACCTTCCTGGAGGGGCACCACCTGGCCAAGGTGAACAAGAGTGAGGAGGAGGAGGGGGAGGGAGCGGAGCTGAGCCCCGAGGAGCTGCAGGAGATCACGGGCACAGGTGAGATCTGGGGCCAAAAACCGGGATTTTGGGCAAAAAACGGGATTTGGGAAAAAATGGGGGGGTTTGGGCAAAAAAAATGGGGATTTTGGGCAAAAAATGGGGATTTTGGGCAAAAAATGGGGATTTTTGGGAGGGAAATCAGGATTTTGGGACAAAAATGGGGATTTTTAGAGGGCAGAAAGAGAATTTTAAGGCAAAATATGGAGAATTTTGGGGGGAAAGGGGATTTTGGAGGAAAAAGATGTGGATTTTTAAAGGAAAAATGGGATTTTTTTTTTTTTTTTTTATGGAAAAAAGGTGGATTTGGGGAAAAGGGGGAATTGGGGAATTTCTTTTGGTCATTCCAGTTGATTTTCAGGCAATTTCAGCCAATTTTGGGAATTCTGGGGCAATTCCAGCCGATTTTGGGGCCATTTGAGCCATTTTTGGGGTTCCTGAGCTGATTTTGGGGTCGTTTGAGCCGATTTTGGGGTCCCTGAGCAGATTTTGGGGCCGTTTGAGCCGATTTTGGGGTCCCTGAGCAGATTTTGGGGCCGTTTGAGCCGATTTTGGGGTTCCTGAGCAGATTTTGGGGCCGTTTGAGCCATTTTTGGGGTCCCTGAGCAGATTTTGGGGCCGTTTGAGCAGATTTTGGGGTTCCTGACCCCGGAATTCCCGATTTTCCCGTTCCAGGGGAGGATTTTTACGGGAAGCTGGCGGCCTCCCCTTGGCAATTCTGGCCAATTTTGGGGCCATTTGAGCCATTTTTGGGGTCCCTGAGCCGATTTTGGGTCCGTTTGAGCTGTTTTTGGGGCCGTTTGAGCCGATTTTGGGGCCGTTTGAGCCAATTTTGGGGCCGTTTGAGCAGATTTTGGAGCCATTTGAGCCATTTTTGGGGTCCCTGAGCAGATTTTGGGGCCATTTGAGCCATTTTTGGGGTCCCTGAGCAGATTTTGGGGCCGTTTGAGCCGATTTTGGGGCCGTTTGAGCCAATTTTGGGGCCGTTTGAGCAGATTTTGGAGCCATTTGAGCCATTTTTGGGGTCCCTGAGCAGATTTTGGGGCCATTTGAGCCATTTTTGGGGTCCCTGAGCAGATTTTGGGGCTGTTTGAGCAGATTTTGGGGTCCCTGAGCAGATTTTGGGTCCATTTGAGCCATTTTTGGGGTCCCTGAGCAGATTTTGGGGCCATTTGAGCCGATTTTGGGGCTGTTTGAACCATTTTTGGGGTCCCTGAGCAGATTTTGGGTCCGTTTGAGCAGATTTTGGGTCCGTTTGAGCAGATTTTGGGGCCGTTTGAGCCGATTTTGGGGCCGTTTGAGCAGATTTTGGGGCCGTTTGAGCAGATTTTGGGGTCCCTGAGCAGATTTTGGGGTATTTAGAGCCGATTTTGGGGTTCCTGACCCCGGAATTCCCGATTTTTCCCGTTCCAGGTGAGGATTTCTACGGGAAGCTGGCGGCCTCCATCGCCCCCGAGATCTTCGGGCACGAGGACGTGAAGAAGTCGCTGCTGCTGCTGCTGGTGGGCGGCGTGGAGAGGAGCCCCCGCGGGATGCGCATCCGGGGTGAGCGGAACCCGGGAAAAACACGGGAATATCCCGGGAAAAACACGGGAAAAACACGGGAATATCACGGGGAAAACATGGGAATATCACGGGAATATCACGGGGAAAACATGGGAAAAACACGGGAAAAACACAGGAAAAACATGGGAATATCCTGGGGAAAACACGGGAATATCCTGGGAAAAACACGGGAATATCACGGGAAAACACGGGAATATCCTGGGAAAAACACGGGAAAAACACGGGAATATCACGGGGAAAACACGGGAATATCACGGGAATATCAGGGGGAAATCCAGGGAAAAACACGGCAATATCATGGGAAATATCCTGGGGAAATCACGAGGAAATCCGGGGAAAATCACGGGAAATATCCCAGAAAAATCATGGGGAAAGCACGGGGAAATCCTGGGAAATGTCCCGGGAAAATCACAGGAAATATCCCAGAAAAATCATGGGGAAATCATGGGAGTATCAGGGGGGAAAACACGGGAAAAGCATGGCGAAACTCACAGGAAAATCATGGGGAAAATCCTGGGAAAAGCACAGGGAAATCATAGGAAAAGCAGGGGAAAATAATGGGAAAAGCATGGGGAAATTTGGGAAAAGCACAGGAAATATCCTGGAAAAAGCTCAGGAAAATCACATGAAAGTCCAGAGGAAATATCAGGGAAATCCTGGGAAAATCAGGGGGAAGAAATCCTGGAAAAAGCAGGGGAAAATCCTGGGGAGATCACAGGGAAATCCAGGGAAATATGGAAAAGCGTGGGAAAAGTACAGGAAAATCTTGGGAAACATCCCAGAAAAAAATCCTGGGAAAAGCACAGGAAAATCCTGGGAAATCTTGTTTCCTGTTTTCTCCCTTTTCCCCCCTTTTTCCTCTTTTCCCAAATCTGTGGGGTTTTTCCCTAAATCTGGGGATTTTTGCCCTAAATTTGTTTTTTTTCCACTAGATCTGGATTTTCCCCCTTTTTTTCTCCTAAATTTGTTTTCTTTTGCCCTAAATCTAGGTTGGTTTTGGTTTTTTTCCCTAAATTTGTTTTTTTTTCCCCAGGGAACATCAACATCTGCCTGATGGGGGACCCGGGCGTGGCCAAGTCGCAGCTGCTGACGTACATCGACCGCCTGGCGCCGCGCAGTGCGTGCTTCCTCCCGCTCCTCCTCCTCCCCTTCTCCTCCTAATTTCCTTCCTCCTCCTCCTTTCCTTCCTTCCTCCTCCTACTCCTCCTCCTTTCCTTCCTTCCTCCTCCTCCTCCTCCTCCTCCTCCTCCTCCTCCTCCTCCTCCTCCTCCTCATCCTTTTCTTCCTCCTCTCCTTCCTCCTCCTCCTCCTCCTCCTCCTCCCCCTCCTCCTCCTCTCCTTCCTCCTCCTTCTCCTTTTCTTCCTCCTCCTCCTCCTCCTCCTCCTCCTCCTCCTCCTCCTCCCCCTCCTCCTCCTCTCCTTCCTCCTCCTTCTCCTTTCCTTCCTCCTCCTCCTCCTCCTCCTCCTCCTCCTCCTCCCCCTCCTCCTCCTCTCCTTCCTCCTCCTTCTCCTTTCCTTCCTCCTCCTCCTCCTCCTCCTCCTCCTTTCCTTCCTTCCTTCCTCCTCCTCCTCCTCCTCCTCCTCCTTTCCTTCCTTCCTTCCTCCTCCTCCTCCTCCTCCTCCTCCTCCCATTTCATGCCCATTTTTCCCATTTTTTACCAATTTTTCCTGTTTTTTCCCCCAACCCAGGCCAGTACCCAATGGGGTGTGGCTCCTTGGGCGTGGGGCTGATGGTGGCCATGTCCATTTTCACCCATTTTATGCCCATTTTTACCCATTTTCACCCATTTTATGCCCATTTTTACCCATTTTCACCCATTTTATGCCCATTTTCACCCATTTTTACCCATTTCATGCCCATTTTATGCCCATTTTTACCCACTTTATGCCCATTTTTCCCCATTTTCACCCATTTTTTCCCCATTTTTCCCCAGGCCAGTACACGACGGGCCGCGGCTCCTCGGGCGTGGGGCTGACGGCGGCCGTGCTGCGCGACCCATTTTTAACCATTTCATACCCATTTTCCCCCATTGTACGCCCATTTTTTCCCCATTTTTTCCCCGTTTTTACCCATTTTCCCCCCGTTTCTCCCCAAACCAGGCCAGTACACGACGGGGCGCGGCTCCTCGGGCGTGGGGCTGACGGCGGCCGTGCTGCGCGACCCATTTTTAACCATTTCATGCCCATTTTACACCCATTTTTCCCCATTATTTCCCCATTTTTACCTATTTTATATAAATTTTTACCATTTTTTCCCGTTTTTTCCCCAATCCAGGCCAGTACACGACAGGCCGCGGCTCCTCGGGCGTGGGGCTGACGGCGGCCGTGCTGCGCGACCCATTTTTAACCATTTCATGCCCATTTTTTACCCATTTTTCCCCATTATTTCCCCATTTTTACCCATTTTTGCCCATTTTCACTCATTTTTTCCCTGTTTCTCCCCAAACCAGGCCAGTACACGACGGGGCGCAGCTCCTCCGGCGTGGGGCTGACGGCGGCCGTGCTGCGCGACCCATTTTTAACCATTTCATACCCATTTTTACCCATTTTATGCCTATTTTCACCCCATTTTTACCCATTTTTCCCCGTTTTTGCCCATTTTCACTCATTTTTTCCCCATTTTTCCCTGTTTCTCCCCAAACCAGGCCAGTACACGACGGGGCGCGGCTCCTCCGGCGTGGGGCTGACGGCGGCCGTGCTGCGCGACCCATTTTTAACCATTTCATGCCCATTTTCCCCCATTGTACACCCATTTCATGCCCATTTTTAACCATTTTTTCCCCATTTTACCCCATTTTCTCCCCAAACCAGGCCAGTACACGACGGGCCGCGGCTCCTCGGGCGTGGGGCTGACGGCGGCCGTGCTGCGCGACCCATTTTTAACCATTTCATGCCCATTTTTTCCCTGTTTTTAACCATTTCATGCCCATTTTTTCCCAGTTTATATAAATTTTCCCCATTTTCACTCATTTTTTCCCCAGGCCAGTACACCACAGGCCGCGGCTCCTCGGGCGTGGGGCTGACGGCGGCCGTGCTGCGCGACCCATTTTTAACCATTTCATACCCATTTTTTCCCAGTTTATATAATTTTTTCCCATTTTTTCCCATTTTTTCCCCATTTTCCCAGGCCAGTACACCACAGGCCGCGGCTCGTCTGGCGTGGGGCTGACGGCGGCCGTGCTGCGCGACCCATTTTTAACCATTTCATGCCCATTTTCCCCCATTGTACACCCATTTCATGCCCATTTTTAACCATTTTTTCCCCGTTTTTACCCATTTTTTCCCCAAACCAGGCCAGTACACGACGGGCCGCGGCTCCTCGGGCGTGGGGCTGACGGCGGCCGTGCTGCGCGACCCGCAGAGCGGCGAGCTGGCGCTGGAGGGCGGCGCGCTGGTGCTGGCCGACCGCGGCGTGTGCTGCATCGACGAGTTCGACAAGATGGCGGAGGGGGAGCGCGTGGCGCTGCACGAGGCGCTGGAGCAGCAGAGCGTGGCCGTGGCCAAGGCGGGCGTGGTGGCGTCGCTCAACGCGCGCTGCGCCGTGCTGGCCGCCGCCAACCCCGCGCTCGGCCGCTACGACCCGCGGCGCAGCCTGGAGCACAACCTGCAGCTGCCGGCCGCGCTGCTCTCGCGCTTCGACCTGCTCTGGCTGCTGCAGGACCGGCCCCAGCGCGACCGCGACCTGCGGTGGGCGCCAAGGGGGGTTGGGGTCAATGGAAGAGGCTTGGGGTCAATGGGAGAGCCTTGGGGTTGAGTTTGGAACCAATGGGAGGGGTTTGGGGTCAGTGGGAGAGTCTTTGGGTCGGGTTTGGGGGCAGTGGGAGGGTCTTGGGGTTAGTGGGAGAGTCTTGGGGTCAATGGAAGGGGTTGAGGTTGGGTTTGGGGTCAAGGGGAGAGATTGGGGTTGGGTTTGGGGTCAATGGGAGAGTCTTGCGGTCAATGGGAGGGGTTGGGGGTCAATGGGAGAGTCTTGGGGTCAATGGGAGGGTCTTGGGGTCAGTGGGAGGGGTTTGGGGTCAGTGGGAGGGGTTTGGGGTCAGTGGAAGAGGCTTTGGGTCAGTGGGAGGGGTTTGGGGTGGGTTTGGGGTCAATGGGAGGGGTTTGGGGTTCATTTTGGGGTCAATGGGAGGGCTTGGAGTCAATGGGAGAGTCTTGGGTCAATGGGTTGGGTTTGGGGTCAGTGGGAGGGGTTTTGGGTTGAGTTTGGGTCAATGGAAGAGTCTTGGGGTTCATTTTGGGGTCAATGGAAGAGGCTTTGTGTTGGGTTTGGGGCCAATGGGAGGGGCTTGGGTCAATGGGAGGGGTTGGGGTTCATTTTGGGGTTAATGGGAGGGGTTTGGGGTCAGTGGGAGGGGTTTGGGGTCAATGGGAGGGGTTGGGGTCAATGGGAAGGGTTTGGGGGCAGTGGGAGAGTCTTTGGGCCAATGGGAAGGGTTTTGGTTGGGTTTGGGGTCAGTGTAAGAGTCTTGGGGTCAATGGGAGGGGTTTTGGTTGAGTTTGGAATCAATGGGAGAGTCTTGGGGTCAATAGAAGAGGCTTTGGGTTGGGTTTGGGGTCAGTGGGAGGGGTTGGTTTGGGTTTGGGGTCAATAGGAGGGGTCAGCGGGAGGGTCTTGGGGTCAGTTGGGGAGTCTTGGGGTCAATGGAAGAGTTTTGGGGTCAATGGGAGGGTTCGGGGTTGGGTTTGGGTCAATGGGAGAGTCTTTGGGTCAATGGATGAGGTTTGGGCTCAGTGGAAGGGGTTTGGGGTCAATGGAAGAGTTTTGGGTTGAGTTTGGGGTCAATGGAGGAGTCTTTGGGTTGGGTTGGGTTGGGTTGGGTTTGGTTGGAGAGAGCCCCAGAATTGCCGATTTTCCTCCCAAATTTCCCAAAATCGCTGTTTTTTGCCCCGATCCAGCCTGGCCCAGCACATCACCCGCCCCAAACCCACTGGGATGGACTGGGCCAAACTGGGACGAACTGGGACAAACTGGGACGGACTGGGAAGAACTGGGATGAACTGGGATGGGTCCCCCAATTGCCAAAATTCGTGAATTTCCCAAAATCGCCGTTTTTTGCCCCATTCCAGGCTGGTCCAGCACATCACCCGCCCCAAACCCACTGGGAATGTCCTGGGCCAAACTGGGATGGACTGGGACAAACTGGGACAAACTGGGATGAACTGGGATGGGTCCCCCAATTGCCAAAATCCGTGAATTTCCCAAAATCGCTGTTTTTTGCCCCGATCCAGGCTGGCCCAGCACATCACGTACGTGCACCAGCACTGCCGGGAGCCCCCGAGCGCCTTCCGGCCCCTGGACATGAAACTCATGAGGTGGGTGCCACCAAAATACACTGTTTTAGCCCCAAAATTCACATTTTCCACCACAAAATCCACTTCTTTAGCCCCAAAATCCACATTTTAGCCCCAAAATCCACATTCTTAGCCCCAAAATTCGCCTTTTTAGCCCCAAAATTCGCCTTTTTATCCACAAAGTTCACCTTTTTCACCCTGAATTTCACCTTTATCACCCCAAAATTCACCTTTCCCTTCCCCGATTCTGCATTTTTAATCCCCAGATTTCACCTTTTCCTCCCCAAATTCCATATTTCTTCCTGAAAACTCAACTTTCCACCCCAAATTTCACCTTTTTCACCCCAAAATTCACCCTTTTGTCCCCAAATTCACTTTTTTATCCCCAAATTCATCTTTTTATCCCCAAATTCACCTTTATGACCCCAAAATTCATCTTTTCACCCTAAATTTCACCCTTTTATCCCCAAATTCACATTTTTCATCTCAAAATTCACCTTTTTACCCCAAAATTCCCCTTTTCCACCCCAAAATTCACCTTTTTAACCCCAAAACTCACCTTTTCACCCCAAATTTCAGCTTTTTCACCCCAAATTTCACCTTTTCCTCCCCAAATTTTGCCGTTTTCTCCCGTGACCTCCTCAGTTCCCCCCCAGAATTCCATTTTCCCAAAATCCCAGTTTTTCCCCTCTTTTCAGTCTCTCACTAATTTAACTTTCCCCAATTTTCCCAAAACCCCGTTTTTTACCCCAAACCAGTCTCTCACTAATTTAACTTTCCCCAATTTTCCCAAAATCCCATTTTTTCCCCCCAAACCAGTCTCTCACTAATTTAACTCTCCCCGATTTTCCCAAAATCCCGTTTTTTTCGCCCCAAACCAGTCTCTCACTAATTTAACTTTCCCCGATTTTCCCAAAATCCTGTTTTTTTGCCCCAAACCAGTCTCTCAATAATTTCAATGTTCCCAAAATCGGTGTTTTTCCCCCCAAACCAGTCTCTCACTAATCTGAATCCCCCCAATTTTCCCAAAACCCCATTTTTTTGCCCCGAACCAGTCTCTCACTAATCTGAATCCCCCCAATTTTCCCAAAACCCCGTTTTTTTACCCCAAACCCATCTCTCACTAATTTAACTCTCCCCGATTTTCCCAAAACCCCGTTTTTTCCCCCCAAACCAATCTCTCACTAATTTAACTTTCCCCAATTTTCCCAAAATCCCGGTTTTTCGCCCCATTCAGGCGGTACCTGTGCGCGTGCCGGCGGCGCTGCCCGCGGCTGCCCGAGGCGCTCGGCGAGTTCCTGACGGCCGCGTACGTGGAGCTGCGGCGGGAGCGCGGCCGCGGCCTCTACACCTCTGCCAGGACCCTGCTGGCCGTGCTGCGCCTGTCCACCGCCCTGGTAATGACCTCTGACCCCGAGTGACCATCACTGACCAGCACTGACCCCCAGTGACCATCACTGACCATCAGTGTCCCCGTGGTCAGGGGTCATTTACACCCCTGCCAGGACCCTGCTGGCCGTGCTCAGGCTGTCCACTGCCCTGGTAATGACCCTGAGTGACCTCTGACCCCGAGTGACCATCACTGACCCCGAGTGACCAGCACTGACCAGCACTGACCATCACTGACCATCACTGACCGGCACTGACTGACCCTGTCCCCGTGGCTCAGGGGTTATTTACACCCCTGCCAGGACCCTGCTGGCCGTGCTCAGGCTGTCCACTGCCCTGGTAATGACCCTGAGTGACCCCCAGTGACCTCTGACCCCGAGTGACCAGCACTGACCCCCAGTGACCATCACTGACCAGCACTGACCATCAGTGTCCCCGTGGCTCAGGGGTTATTTACACCCCTGCCAGGACCCTGCTGGCCGTGCTCAGGCTGTCCACTGCCCTGGTAATGACCTCTGACCCCGAGTGACCATCACTGACCCCCACTGATCATCACTGACCATCAGTGTCCCCGTGGCTCAGGGGTTATTTACACCTCTGCCAGGACCCTGCTGGCCGTGCTGCGCCTGTCCACCGCCCTGGTAATGACCTCTGACCCCGAGTGACCATCACTGACCATCACTGACCATCACTGACCATCACTGACCGGCACTGACTGACCCTGTCCCCGTGGCTCAGGGGTTATTTACACCCCTGCCAGGACCCTGCTGGCCGTGCTGCGCCTGTCCACTGCCCTGGTAATGACCCCCAGTGACCTCTGACCCCGAGTGACCATCCCTGACCCCGAGTGACCATCCCTGACCATCACTGACCGGCACTGACTGACCCTGTCCCCGTGGCTCAGGGGTTATTTACACCCCTGCCAGGACCCTGCTGGCCGTGCTGCGCCTGTCCACTGCCCTGGTAATGACCTCTGACCCCGAGTGACCAGCACTGACCATCACTGACCATCACTGACCCCCACTGACCAGCACTGACCGGCACTGACCAGCACTGACCAGCACTGACCATCACTGACCATCAGTGTCCCCATCCTTCAGGGGTCATTTACACCCCTGCCAGGACCCTGCTGGCCGTGCTCCGGCTGTCCACTGCCCTGGTAATGACCTCTGACCCCGAGTGACCAGCACTGACCATCACTGACCCCCACTGACCAGCACTGACCATCAGTGTCCCTGTGGCTCAGGGGTTATTTACACCCCTGCCAGGACCCTGCTGGCCGTGCTCAGGCTGTCCACCGCCCTGGTAATGACCTCTGACCCCCAGTGACCATCACTGACCCCGAGTGACCATCACTGACCCCGAGTGACCATCACTGACCAGCACTGACCAGCACTGACTGACCCTGTCCCCGTGGCTCAGGGGTTATTTACACCCCTGCCAGGACCCTGCTGGCCGTGCTCAGGCTGTCCACTGCTCTGGTAATGACCTCTGACCCCAAGTGACCATCACTGACCCTGAGTGACCCCGAGTGACCCCCACTGACCCCGAGTGACCCCACTGACCCTCCCGGGCTTTGCTGCCCTGGGGCTGTTTATGCACCTGCCAGGACCTTGCTGGGCCAAACCAGCCCCAAATGGACCCAAAAAAGGCTCCAAATCTGCCCCAAATTAACACAAAATCACCCCAAAATCGGCCCAAATGACCCCAAATTAACGCAAAATTGACCCAAAAAAAGGCTCCAAATGACCCCAAATTAACGCAAAATCACCCCAAAATCGGCCCAAATGACCCCAAATTAACACAAAATCAGCCCAAAATTTGGGGGCATTTTGGGGCTGATTTTGGGGTTTTTGGGGACAGGATTATGGGGTATTTTGGGGCAGAATTTTGGGGTGATTTTGGTGGTTTTGGGGCAGGATTTTGAGCTGATTTTGGGCTGATTTTGGGACAGAATTTGGGGTGAATTTGGCTGGTTTTGGGGCAGGATTTTGGGGTGATTTGGGGGAGGATTTTGGGGTGAATTTGGCCGTATTTGGGGCAGGATTTTGGGGTGATTTTGGGCAGGATTTTGGGGTGATTTTGGTGTATTTGTGGCAGAATTTGGGGCAGGATTTTGGGCTGAATTTGGCCGGTTTGGGGCAGGATTTTAGGCTGATTTTGGGCTGATTTTGGGCCGGTTTTGGTGTGAATTTGGCCGTTTTTGGGACAGAATTTGGGCTGATTTGGGGCAGGATTTTGGGGTGAATTTGGCTGTTTTGGGGCAGGATTTTGGGCTGATTTTGGGCTGATTTTGGGGTGAATTTGGCCGATTTTGGGCTGATTTGGGCCGATTTTGGGGTGAATTTGGCCGATTTTGGGGCAGGATTTTAGGCTGATTTTGGGGTGATTTGGGCAGGATTTTGGGCTGATTTGGGGGTGAATTTGGCCAATTTTGGGGCAGGATTTTGGGGTGAATTTGGGGCAGGATTTTGGGCTGAATTTGGGGCAGGATTTTGGTGTGAATGTGTCCGATTTTGGGGTGAATTTGTCCGATTTTGGGGTGAATTTGGCCGTTTTTGGCGCAGGCGCGGCTGCGTCTCGGGGCGGTGGTGGAGAAGGACGACGTCACTGAGGCGCTGCGGCTGCTCGAGGCCGCGAGAGACTCACTGCGGGGCGACTCCGAGCCCGTTCCGAGGTAAAAACACCCGATTTTGGGCAAAAACACGGGATTTTGGGAAAAAACGGGAATTTGGGGGAAAAACGGGAATTTTGGGCGTGTTTGGGTTACCAGGGTTGGGGGAATTTGGGGTTTTTTGGGGAATATTTGGGATTTTCGGGACCCCAGGACTCCCTCCGGGGCGACCCCGAGCCCGTTCTGAGGTGAAAACACCCGATTTTGGGAAAAAACGGGAATTTGGGGACAAAAACCAGGAATTTTGGGTGTGTTTGGGTTACTGGGACTGGGGGGAATTTGGGGTTTTTTGGGGAATATTTGGGTTAAATCCCGGCGGATTTGGGGAAATCTTTTGAGTTTTTTGGGGTTAAATCTCAATGGATTTGGGTTTTTTTTGGGGTAAATCCCGGTGGATTTGGGGAATTTCTCGGGGTTTTTTTGGGTTAAATCTCAGCGGATTCGGGGAATTTTTTGGGTTAAATCTTTGTGGTTTTGGGGAATTTTTTGGTGTAAATATTGGCGGATTTGGGGAATTTTTTGGGTTGAGTCTCAGCAGATTTGGGTTATTTTTTGGGTTAAATCTCAGGGGATTTGGGGAAATTTCCGGGGTATTTTGGGTTAAATCTTGGCGGATTTGGGTAATTTTTTGGGTTAAATATTGACGGATTTGGGTAATTTTTTGGTGTAAATCCCAGCGGAGTTGGGTAATTTTTCGGGTTAAATCCCAGCGGATTTGTGTAATTTTTTGGGTTAAATCCTGGCAGATTTGGTTAATTTTTTGCTGCAAACCCCGTCAGACCCGTGTTAATTCCCCATTTTTCCCCGTGTTTGTTCCCCCAGGTGCCCGCGGCCGTCGGAGGCGATTTTCGGGGTCCTGCGGGAGCTGGGGGGGCCCGGGGGGCGCTCGGTGCCCCTCCCCCACGCGCTGGAGGTGCTGGGGGCGCGCGGCTTCACCCCCGCCCAGGTCAGCGCCGCCCTGGCCGAGTACGAGGGGCTGGACGTGCTGCAGGTGAATCCCGCCAGGACACGCGTCACCTTCGTCTGAAAAACACAAAAAATACCCCAAAAAATCCGTGAGTTTGGGCAAAACTGCGAAAACCCCGCAAAAATCACACAAAAAATGGCCAAACTACCCCCAAAAAACGGCCAAAATTCCCCAAAAATCCCGAATTTTGGGGGCTGGACGTGCTGCAGGTGAACCCAGGGAGGACACGCATCACCTTCGTCTGAAAAACACAAAAATACCCCAAAAAATAAGTGAGTTTGGGCAAAACCGCGAAAATCCAAAAAAAACGGCAAAACCCCCGCAAAAAACGGCCAAAATACCACAAAAATCCCGTATTTTGGGGGCTGGACGTGCTGCAGGTCAACCCAGGGAGGACACGCATCACCTTCGTCTGAAAATACCTAAATCAACCCAAAATATCCGGGAGTTTGGGCAAAACAGCGAAAATTCCATAAAAAACGGCGAAAATACCACAAAAAAATGGCCAAAATCCCCCCCAAAACGGCCAAAATCCTGAATTTTGGGGGCTGGACGTGCTGCAGGTGAACCCAGGGAGGACCCGCATCACCTTCGTCTGAAAATACCAAAATCAACCCAAAAAATCCGGGAGTTTGGGCAAAAGGGGGAAAATTCCGCAAAAAAGGCAAAAATCCCACAAAAAATGGCCGAAATTCCCCAAAAAAATGCCCAAAATCCCGAATTTTTGGGGGTTAAAGTTGCTGCAGGTGAGCCCAAAGCTCATCTGGTATCCCAGAATTCCAGAGAAAAGCCCCAAAATTCAGGGAAAAATGGGAAAATTGCCCCAAAAATTTCCCTGGAAGCCCAAAAATCAAAGCAGGGACCCCAAAATCCCCCCCAGGTTTTTATTTTTGTGCTTTTTTTGTAGCAATAAATGGATTTTTATCAATAAAAAAGTTTAAATTTCTCCATTTTGGGTCGTTTCTTTGTTCTCCCTCCTCTCAGAACCCCCCCTAACCCAAAAAGCCCCAAAAATCCCATTTTCCACCCCAAAAATTCCCATTTTCCACCGAGAAATCCCAAATTCCAGAGGGGGAATCCCAAATAATTCCCGGAGTTTCCTCCATAAAAACCCTTAAAAAAAAAAACCTCCTAAAAATCAGATTTCTCCATCTCAAACTCCACTTTTTTCACCCAAAAACCCCCGAATTTGGGACCCCCCCAAATTCCAGAATTTTCCATCGGGATCCCCCCAAATTCCGGAATTTTCCCAAATTTTTGGGGTTCCCAAAGCCCAAAAAAGACTCAAAACCCCCAAATTTCCTCTTTTAAATCCAATTTTATTGCCCGAAGTTCCCCTAAAATTCCAGGATGGTTTTTGGGGTGAATTGGGGCATTTTTGGGGCAGTTTTTGGGACATTTTTTGGGGTGATTTGGGGCAGTTTTGGGGCATTTCAGGGTGGTTTTTGATGCATTTTTTGGGGCGATTTGGGGCAGTTTTTGGGGCAGTTTTGGGGCTGTTTTTGGGGCATTTCAGGGCAGTTTTTGGGACATTTTTTGGGGTGATTTGAGGCAGGTTTTTGGGAGTTCAGGGTGGTTTTTGGGGCGATTCGGGGTTGTTTTTGGGGCAGTTTTTGGGGCGATTTGGGGCAGGTTTTGGGGCTGTTTTTGGGGTGATTTGGGGATGGTTTTGGGGCAGTTTTTGGGGTAATTTCAGGTGATTTTGGGGTCTCTAGAAGAAGAGGCCGCGCATGCGGCGGCCGATGCCCTGGCGGTCGTAGAGGACGTTGAGTTTGTTTTTGGGACATTTTTTGGGGCAGTTTTGGGGCAGTTTTTGGGGCTGTTTTTGGGGCATTTCAGGGCTGTTTTTGGGGCAGTTTTTGGGGTAATTTTGGGCAGTTTTGGGGTCTCTAGAAGAAGAGGCCGCGCATGCGGCGGCCGATGCCCTGGCGGTCGTAGAGGACGTTGAGTTTGTTTTTGGGGCAGTTTTGGGGCTGGTTTTGGGGCTGTTTTTGGTGCTGTTTTGGGGCCATTTCAGGGCGGTTTTTGGGGTGATTTCAGGCGATTTTGGGGTCTCTAGAAGAAGAGGCCGCGCATGCGGCGGCCGATGCCCTGGCGGTCGTAGAGGACGTTGAATTTGTTGACGAACTGGTTCATGGTGTTGCAGGTCTTGGTGATGGTGCCCAGATACGCCATCAGCCCCACGTCGTTGCATTGCTGGGGGAAAAAACGGCAAATTTGGGAAAATTCAGGAATTTTCGGGAATTCCCCCAAAAATCCCCAAAGTTTCGGGGCCTCCCGGGGAGGTTTTGGGGCCTGGGGAACCCCCGGGAATTCCTGAGGGCGGAAAAGGGGAAATTTTGGGGGTCTCGGGGGGGTTTGGGGGCTCCTTCCCAAAAATTGGGGGATTTTGGGGATGTTCCCAAAAAATCCCAGAGGCTTTGGGGCTTTCTGGGTGTTTTTGGGGCCTGGGAAATCCGGGAAACGCCCCCAAAAATTGCTGAGGGTGGAAAAGGGGAAATTTTGGGGGATTTGGGTGCGTTTGGGGTTGATTTTGGGGTGGTTTTTGGGGAGGATTTTGGGGTGGACTTTGAGGATTTTGGGGTGGACCTGGGGCAGATTTTGGGGATTTTGGGGTGGATTTGGGGCAGATTTTAGGGAGGATTTTGGGGTGGGTTTGGGGCAGATTTCGGGGATTTTGGGGTGGATTTGGGATGGGTTTTGGGATAGATTTAGGGGATGGATTTGGGGCAGATTCTGGGGTGGATTTGGGGCAGGTTTGGGGCAGATTTTGGGGAGGATTTTGGGGATTTTAAGGAGGATTTTGGGCAGATTTTGGGGAGTATTTTGGGGTGGGTTGGGGGCAGATTTTGGGGTGGATTTGGGGGATTTTGGGGAGGATTTTGGGCAGATTTTGGGGTGGATCTGGGGGATTTTGGGGAGGATTTTGGGGAGGATTTTGGGCCGGGTTCGGGGCAGATTTTGGGGTGGGTCTGGGGGATTTTGGGGCAGATTTTGGGGTGGATTTGGGGGATTTTGGGGCCCTCACGTCGTAGAAGTCGGTTTTGAACTTGTCGGTGCTGAGCACGGGCAGGCAGTGGCACAGGGCGCACGCCTCCCGCAGGATCTCGTGGTTGAACGGAACCTCCCCTAAAAAAAAACAAAATTTTGGGGCCCAAAACCCCAAAATTTGGGCTCAGACACACCTCAAAACCAGAGACAACAAAAAACCCCAAAATTCTCCCAAAAAACCCCAACCCCCTCCCCCCAGACAGCTCCAAACACCCCAAAATCTCCTCAGGACTCCCCCAAAGATTCCCCCAAAATTTGAGGTCAAGGAAACCCCAAAAAACCCAAATTTGGGGGAAGGGACCCCAAAAATGGACCAAGACCCCCCCAGGAGTCCCCAAAATTGGGATTAGGAACCCAAAATTGGGGTAAGGGCCCTCAAAATGACCCCAAACCCACCGAAAATCCATAAAAAAAACCTCAAAAATGGATCAGGAGTCCCAAAAAAACCCAAAATTTGGGGTCAGGGAGTCAAAAATCCCCCCAGGACCCCCCAAAACCAATCCAGGACCCCCTGAGCCCCCCAGGGCCCTCCCAGAGACTCCAAAGCCCCGAAAAAATCTGGGAAAAAACTCAGAATTTGGGGGAAATCCCTGAAATTTGGGAGAAAACCTTCAAATGTGGGGAAAAACCCCAAAAACGAAAGAAAAACGCTGCAAAAAATTAATGGAAACCCCCAGAAAATGCAGAAAAAAACAAAACAAAAAAAAAATTGGGAATATCCCTGGAATTTGGGATAAATCTTTCAAAATTTGGTATAAAAGACTGGAATTCAGGAAAAACCCCCAAAAAAATTCAGAAAAATTTGAAAATTAATTTAAAAATTAATAAATACAAGGGAAAAAAACCCCAAATTTTGCTAAAAATGCCCTGAAAATTCAGGGAAAAAATCCTAAAAATTCCGTTGCTCTGCAGAGACCCCAGACCCCCCCGAGTTTTGGGAAAAGCCCCAAAATTTGGGTTTTTGGCCCCGGTGCTCACCGGCCTCGGCGGCGCGGACGTACTCGAGGATGAGGCGGACGCGGCTGTGCAGCATCTTGATGGCGCTGTGCTGGGCAATCAGGTGCTCCGCCACTTTTCGGGGAAAATTTGGGGGTTTTTGGGGCTTTTTGGGGGGTTTGGGGATGGCAGAAACCCCCCCAAGAGTCCAGCAGGGAAAAGAAAAAAAATCGCCACGAAAAAAGCCCCAAATCCTCCCCCAAACCCCCAAAATCCTCCTCAAAAAGCCCAAAATCCACCCCAAAAATCCTCCCCAAAATCCAGAAATCCACCCCCAAAATCCTCCCCAAAATGCCCTCAAGAAACCCCAAATCCACCCCAAAAATCCTCCCCAAAAAACTCCAAATCCATCCCAAAAATCTCCCCCCAAAATCTCATCAGAAAACCCCAAATACACCCAAAAATCCCCAAATCCCCCCAAAACCCCCAAATTTTCCCCACCCCAAAATCCCCAAACCCCCCCAGGGCTGTGCTGGGCAATCAGGTGCTCCGCCGCTTTTTGGGGAAAATTTGGGGGTTTTCGGGGCTTTTTGGGGGGTTTGGGGATGGCAGAAACCCCCCAAAGAGTCCAGCAGGAAAAAGCCCCAAATCCACCCAAAAATCCTCCCCAAAAACTCCAAAATCCTCCTCAAAATCCCCAAATCCACCCTAAAAATCCTCCCCAAAATGCCCTCAAAAAGCCCCAAATCCACCCCAAAAAATCCTCCCCAAAATGCCCACAAGAAATCCCAAATCCACCCAAAAAATCCCCCCCAAAAATCCTCCCCAAAATCCACCCCAAAAATCCTCCCCAAAATGCCCTCAAGAAACTCCAAATCCTCCCAAAAACCCCAAAATCCTCCTCAAAAAGCCCCAAATCCACCCCAAAAAATCCTCCCCAAAATGCCCACAAGAAAACCCAAATCCACCCCAAAAATCCCCCCCCAAAACCCCCAAAAATCCCCAAATCCCCCCAAAAATCCTCCCCAAAATGCCCTCAAAAAAAACCCCAAATCCACCCCAAAAATCCCCCCCCAAAATCCCATCAGGTTTTGGGGTGAAATCCGGGGGTTTTTGGGGTGAAATCCAGGGGTTTTTGAGATGAAATCCAGGGTGATTTTTGGGGTGAAATCCGGGGGTTTTTGGGGTGAAATCCGGGGGTTTTTGGGGCTGTTTCAATGGGGTTTTTGGGCTATTTTTGGCGGAATTTCGGGTTTTCCCGCAGCAGATTTTTGGGGTTTTTTTGTGCTGCAGCTCAGCCCGTTCCAGGGTGGATTTTGGGGTGAAACCCGGGGTGATTTTTGGGGTGAAATCCGGGGGTTTTGGGGATGAAATCCAGGGTGATTTTTGGAGTGAAATCCGGGGTGATTTTTGGGATGAAATCCGGGGGTTTTTGGAGTGAAATCCGGGGTGATTTTTGGGGTGAAATCCGGGGGTTTTGGGGCTGTTTCAATGGGGTTTTCGGGGTATTTTTGGCGGAAATTTGGATTTTCCCGCGGCAGATTTTTGGGGTGTTTTTGTCAGCCCGTTCCTGGGCTGGATTTTGGGGTGAAACCCGGGGATTTTGGGGCTGTTTCAATGGGGGTTTTGGGCTATTTTTGGCGGAATTTCGGGTTTTCCCGCGGCGGATTTTTGGGGTGTTTTTGTCAGCCCGTTCCTGGGTGGATTTTGGGGTGAAACCCGGGGATTTTGGGGCTGTTTCAATGGGGTTTTTGGGGCTGTTTCAATGGGGATTTTGGGGCTGTTTCAATGGGGTTTTTGGGCTATTTTTGGCAGAATTTTGGGTTTTCCCGCTGCGGATTTTTGGGGTGTTTTTGTCAGCCCGTTCCTGGGTGGATTTTGGGGTGAAATCCCGGGATTTTGGGGCTCACCCGTGCTGTTCTCCCCTCCGCCCGTGGCCGTCATCCTGGCCACGTGGTCCACGCCGATCCTCTCGGCCTCCTCGGTGGCGAGCGTGTACGGCAGCTCGGCAAAGAGCATGGTGGCCTGGGTGCCAGAACGGCCCAAAATGGCCCGAAATTACCCCAAAACGGTCCCGAAACTGCCCCAAAATTACCCCAAAACGGTCCCGAAAACTGCCCCAAAATTACCCCAAAATGCTCACAAAAATTACCCCAAAATGGCCCCAAAACTGGCCCAAAATTACCCCAAAATGGTCCCAAAAATTGCCCCAAAATTAGCCCAAAATGGTCCCAAAAATTGCCCCAAAACTAGCCCAACATTGGCCCAAAACAGCCCCAAAATTACCCCAAAATGCACCCAAAACTGGCCCAAAATTACCCCAAAATGCTCCCCAAAATTGCCCCAAAACTAGCCCAACACTGGCCCAAGACAGCCCCAAAACAGCCCCAAAATTAACCCAAAATGCTCCCAAAACAGCCCCAAAACAGCCCCAAAATGGTCCCAAAAATTGCCCCAAAACTAGCCCAACACTGGCCCAAAACAGCCCCAAAACAGCCCCAAAAACGGCTGCAAAACTGACCCAAATTTGTCAGAAAAGTGCCCCAAAATTGTCCAACAACGGCCCCAAAATTGTCCGAAAACGGCCCCAGAATTGGCCCGAATTTGTCCCAAAATTACCCCAAGATTGGCTAAAAACAGCCCCAAAACTGTCCCAAAATTATCCCAAAACTGGCCCAAAATTGCCCTGAAATTGTCCCAAAACAATGGCCCCAAAACTGGCCCAATTTTGTCCCAAAATTGCCCCAAGATTGGCCAAAAATGGCCCCAAAATTGGCCCAAAATTATCCCAAAATGGTCACAAAATTGGCCCAAAATATCCCCAAAATGGTCCCCAAATTGTCCCAATTCGGCTCCAAAATTGGCTCAAAATTGGCCCAAAACAGCCCCAAAACTCAACCAGATTTCCCCAACACCCCCAAATTTCATCAAATTTCCCTCACATTTCCCCAAATCCCCCCGAATTTCCCCAAAATCCCCCCAAAATTGCCCAAAACCCCCTGAAGTCCCCCCAGTTTCCCAAAACTCCCCCAGAATCCCCCAAATTTCACCAAAATCCCCGAAAAATCCCCCAAATTTTCCCCAAATCCCCTGAAATTTCCCCAAACTCCCCCAGAATTCCCCAAATTTCACCAAAATCCCCCAATTTTCCCAAATCCCCTGAAATTCCCCCAAACTCCCCCAGAATTCCCCAAATTTCACCAAAATCCCCGAAAAATCCCCCAATTTTCCCCAAATCCCCTGAAATTTCCCCAAACTCCCCCAGAATTCCCCAAAGTCCCCAAAATGCCCCAATTTTCCCCAAACTCCCCCAGAATCCCCCAATTTCCCCAAAACGCCCCGATTTTCCCCAAACTGACCTCGCCGTTGATGATGTCGATGACGGACTCGAAGACGCTCACGGGGAGCTGAGGGGGGGGAGGGGTCAGCCCCAATTTTGGGGGTCCCAGAAATTCAGGAAACCCCAAAAATGGGGATTTTTCCCTCATTTTGGGGTGTTTTTCCCAAATTTGGGGGTTTTTGCCCCAAACTCACGTCGGTGTGCTTGGTCATGGGGTTGAGCTTCAGGAACAGGGGGCTCTCGATGATCTCACACACCTGGGGGAAAATTCACATTTTTGGGGTGAAACCCACCCAAAAAAATCCCAAAATGTTCCCAAATTCCGGTGGGGAGCCTCGAAGTGTTCCCCAAAATTGAGAAAAAGGCAAAATTCCAACGGAAACGGGGAAAAAATGGGGGGAAATGGGGAAAATGTCGCTCCAAGGGGACTGAAATAGCCCAAAATGTCCCAAAAGTGCAGAAAGGAACCCAAAATCCCATCAGGAGCCCCCAAAAATCAGATCAGGAACCCAAAATCCTCAAAAATCCCCAAAAGAGCCAAAAATTCCCTCAAATCCTTCCCAAGGCCCCCCAAATTCCCCAAAATTTCCTCAAATTTCCTCAAATCCCCCAAAATCCCCTCAATTCACCAAAATCCCTTCAAATGCCCCCAAAAATTCCCCAAATCCCCTCAAATCCCCCAAAATTCTCCCAAATCTCCCCAAAATCCCCTCAATTCTCCTCAGTTCTCCCAAAATCTCCCAAAATTCCCCAAACCCCCCAAAATCCATCTCAGGACTCTAAAACCCCCCAAAATCCCCTCAATTCTCCCCAAAATTCTCCCAAAATCCCCCAAAATCCCCTCAATTCCCCCCAAAATTCTCCCAAAATCCCCTCAACCCCCCAAAATTATCCAAAATCCCCCAAATCCCCTCAATTCCCCCCAAAATTCTCCCAAAATCCCCTCAATTCCCCCCAAAATTCTCCCAAAATTCCCCAAAATCCCCTCAACCCCCCCAAAATTATCCAAAATCCCCCAAATTCCCCTCAATTCCCCCAACATTCTCCAAAATCCCCCCAACCCCCCAAAATCCCCCGAAATCCCCCCAAACTCCCCAGACCTGTTTGTGCACGTGGATGTCGGCGGGCTCGGGGGGCCCCCCCGTCGTGTACCACCCCAAAAACTCCAGGTCCTTGAACACCTGCTTGACTTTTGGGGCGAAAAACACGGATTTGGGACCCCCCGGCAGCCAGGAACCCCAAACTCCAACAGGAGACCCAAAATCACCTCAAATTGCCTCAAAATCCCCCCAGGAACCCCAAAATTCCACAAGGAGACCCAAAATGCCCCAAAAGCACCTCAAAATCCCACCAGGAACCCCCACATTCCACCAGGAGCCCCAAAATCACCTCAAAATCCCCCCAGGAACCCCAAAATTCCACAAAATCACCTCAAAATCCCCCCAGGAACCCCAACATTCCACCAGGAGACCCAAAATCCCCAAAAATCACCTCAAATCACCTCAAAATCCCACCCAGGAACCCCAAAATTCCATCAGGAAACCCAAAATCCCCCCAAATTCCCTCAAATCACCTCAAAATCCCCCCAGGAACCCCAAAATTCCCCAAAATCACCTCAAATCACCACAAAATCCATGCAGGAGTCCCAAAATTCCCTAAATCACCTCAAAATCCCCCCCAGGAACCCCAAAATTCCCTCAAATCACCTCAAAATCACTCGGGAGCCCCAAAACGCCTCAAATCCTCTCTGGAAGCCCAACATTCCTTCAGGATCCCCAAAATCCCCACAAAACCCCCCAAAATCAACTCAAAACCCCAAAACCCTTGGAATTTTCCCAAAATCCCCGGAATTTCCCCCAAAATCCCCTCTCACACTGCTCCTCCTTGGTGTAGTAGTACTCCTTGTCCACGAGCAGCACTCCCAAAATCCCCTCGAAACTCCCCAAAATCAACTGAAAACCCTCCAAAACTCCCCAAAATCCCCGGAATTTTCCCAAAACCCCTCAGAATTTTCCCAAAACCGCCGGAATTTCCCCCAAAATCCCTTCTCACACTGCTGCTCCTTGGTGTAGCAATACTCCTCGTCCACGAGCAGCGCTCCCAAAATCCCCTTGAAACCCCCACAGAATCCCCTCGAAACCCCCCAAAATCCCCGGAATTTTCCCAAAAATCCCCAGAATTTTCCCAAAAACCCCAGAATTTTCCCAAAATCCCCGGAATTTGCCCCAAAACGCTCACACTGCTCCTCCTTGGTGTAGCAATACTCCTTGTCCACGAGCAGTGCTCCCAAAATCCCCTCAAAACCCTCCCAAATGCCCCCAAAGTGCCCACAAAACCCCCCAAATCTCTTCAAAATTCCCCCAAATCCCCAGAATTTTCCCAAAACCCCCAGAATTTCCCCCAAAATCCCCTCTCACACTGCTCCTCCTTGGTGTAGCAGCGCTCCTTGTCCATGAGCAGCACTCCCAAAATCCCCTTGAAACTCCCCCAAATCTCATTGAAACCCCCCCAAAATCCCCGGAATTTTCCCAAAACCCCCGGAATTTTCCCAAAAATCCCCAGAATTTTCCCAAAATCCCCAGAATTCGCCCCAAAGCGCTCACACTGCTCCTCCTTGGTGTAGTAGTACTCCTTGTCCACGAGCAGCGCTCCCAAAATCCTCTCAAAACTCTCCCAAAACTCCCCAAAATCAACTCAAAACACCACAAAATCCCCTCAAATTCCCCAAAAACCCCCAGAATTTTCCCAAAATCCCGGGAATTTGCCCCAAAACGCTCACACTGCTCCTCCTTGGTGTAGTAGTACTCCTTGTCCACGAGCAGGGCGGGCCCGGCGCCGTGAGCCAGGAGCTCGAAGGAGTTCATCACCTCGATGTTCCGGCCCTCCTGCCGCCCGATCAGCGCCCCGATCACTGCGGTTTGGGGCGAATTCAGCCGATTTTGGGCAATTTGGGGTTTTGGGGGTTTTTTTACGGGGGAATTTGGGGTTTTTGGGGCCATTCGGGGCAGATTTTGGGGTTCATCACCTCGATGTTCCGGCCCTCCTGCCGCCCGATCAGCGCCCCGATCACTGCGGTTTGGGGCGAATTCAGCCGATTTTGGGCAATTTGGGAAATTTGGGGTTTTTAGGGGGGAATTTGGGGTTTTTGGGGCCATTCGGGGCAGATTTTGGGGTTCATCACCTCGATGTTCCGGCCCTCCTGCCGCCCGATCAGCGCCCCGATCACTGCGGTTTGGGGTGAATTCAGCCGATTTTGGGCAATTTTGGGCAATTTGGGGTTTTTAGGGGGGTTTTGGGGGTTTTTGGGGGGGAATTTGGGGGTTTTGGGGGCCATTCGGGGCAGATTTTGGGGTTCATCACCTCGATGTTCCGGCCCTCCTGCCGCCCGATCAGCGCCCCGATCACTGCGGTTTGGGGCGAATTTGGGGGATTTTGGGCAATTTGGGAAATTTGGGGGTTTTTAGGGGGGAATTTGGGGGTTTTTGGGGCCATTCGGGGCAGATTTTGGGGTTCATCACCTCGATGTTCCGGCCCTCCTGCCGCCCGATCAGCGCCCCGATCACTGCAGTTTGGGGTGAATTTGGGGGATTTTAGAGGGTTTTGGGGTGGATTTGGGGCAGAATTTGGGTTTTTTGGGGCACATTTGGGGCAGAATTTGGGTTTTTTCGGGCACGTTTGGGAGAAAATTTGGGGTTTTTTGGGGCAGAATTTGGAGTTTTTGGGGCAGTGTTTGGGGCAGTATCTGGGGTTTTTTTGCGGCAGAATTGGGGTCAGAATTTGGGGTTTTTTTGTGTCAGAATTTGGGGTTGTTTGTGTCAGAATTTGGGGTTGTTTGTGTCAGAATTTGGGGTTGTTTGTGTCAGAATTTGGGTTTTTTGGGGCAGTGTTTGGGGCAGTGTTCGGGTTTTTTTTTTGTGGCAGAATTTGGGTCAGAATTTGGGGTTTTTTTGTGTCAGAATCGGGGTTTTTGTGTCAGAATTGGTGTTTCTTGTGTCAGAATTGTGGTTTTGGGGTCAGAATTGTGTTTTTTGTCTCAGAATTTGGGGGTTTTTGTCTCAGAATTGGGGTTTTTTTGGGGCAGTGTTTGGGGTTTTTTTTTCAGCAGATTCTGAGGTCAGAAATTGGGGTTTTTTGTGTCAGAATTGGGGTTTTTTGGGGCAGTATTTGGGGTTTTTTTTTGCAGCAGATTTTGGGTCAGAATTTGGGTTTTTTTGTGTCAGAATTGTGGTTTTGTGTCAGAATTGTGTTTTTTGTGTCAGAATTGTGTTTTTTTGTGTCAGAATTCGGGTTTTTTTGGGGCAGTGTTTGGGTTTTTTTTTTCCAGCAGATTTTGGGTCAGAATTTGGGTTTTTTGTGTCAGAATTGGTGTTTTTTGTGTCAGAATTGGTTTTTTTTGTGTCAGAATTCGGGGTTTTTTGGGGCAGTGTTTGGGGCAGTATTTGGGGTTTTTTTTGCAGCAGAATTTGTGTCAAAATTGGGTTTTTTTGGGGGTCAGAATTGGGTTTTTTGTGTCAGAATCAAGGTTTTTGTGTCAGAATTGTGTTCTTTGTGTCAGAATTCGGGTTTTTTGTGTAAGAATTGGTGTTTTTTGTGCCAGAATTGTGGTTTTTGTGTCAGAATTGGGGTTTTTTGTGTCAGAATTGGGATTTTTTGGGGTCAGAATTGTGTTTTTTGTGTCAGAATTGGGGTTTTTTTGGGGCAGTGTTTGGGGTTTTTCTTGCAGCAGATTTTGGGTCAGAATTTGGGGTTTTTTGTGCCAGAATCGGGGATTTTGGAGCCCGTACCCACCCTGGCCGTTGCGTCCCTCCTGGGAGCGCAGGCGGATCCAGTGGTCCGAGATGTTGAGGATGACCAGCGGGTGCAGAGCCACGGCCACGCTGCCGGTCACTCCTCCGGCCATCACCTGTGGCGTGCCTGCGGAAAGCCGGGAATTCTGAGGGAAATTCAGGAATTTCGGGAATTCTGGGGGGGTTTGGAGGGAATTCTGAGGGAAATTCGGGAATTCTGAGGGGAAATTCGGGAATTTCAGGAATTCCAGGGCCACGGCCACGCTGCCGGTCACTCCTCCGGCCATCACCTGCGGCGTGCCTGCGGGAATTCCGGAATTCTGAGGGGAAATTTGGGGATTTCGGGGGAGATTTGGGAATTCTGGGGGGGTTTGGAGGGAATTCTGGGGGGAAATTTGGGAATTTTGGGGGGAATTCAGGAATTCTGGGGGGTTTGGAGGGAATTCTGAGGGGAAATTCGGGAATTCTGGGGGGAAATTTGGGAAATTCAGGAATTCCAGGGCCACGGCCACGCTGCCGGTCACTCCTCCGGCCATCACCTGCGGCGTGCCTGCGGGAATTCGGGAATTCTGAGGGAAATTTGGGAATTCTGGGGGAAATTCGGGAATTCTGGGGGGGTTTGGAGGGAATTCTGAGGGAAATTTGGGGATTTTGGGGGAAATTTGGGAATTCCGGGGGGAAATTCGGGAATTCTGGGGGGAATTCAGGAATTCTGAGGGAAATTTGGGAATTTTGGGGGGAATTCGGGAATTCTGGGGGGAATTCGGGAATTCTGGGGGGAAATTCGGGAATTTTGCAATTTGGAGGGAATTACCAATGCTCTGGGGCCATTTCCAGGGTTTTTCAGGTCATTCCCAGGATTTGGGGGCCATTCCTGGTAATTTGGGGCCATTCCTGTTAATTTTGGGGCCATTCCTGAAGTTTTGGGGCATTCCTGGTAATTCTGGGGCCATTCCCGGGATTTTGGGGTTAATTCCTGGGATTTTGGGGACATCCCCAGGGATTTTGGGGTTAATTCCTGGGATTTTGGGGCCATTCCCGGTAATTTGGGGCTATTCCCGGTAATTTTAGGGCCATTCCCGGGGGATTGGGGACTTTCCCTGTGTTTTTTCCCCTCACGATCTCGATTTTTTCCCCTCCCGGTGCCATCCCCGGTCCCCGTTATTCCTGGGGCCATTCCCGGGATTTTGGGGTTAATTCCTGGGATTCTGGTGCCATTCCCGGTAATTTGGGGCTATTCCCAGTAATTTTAGGGCCATTCCCAGGGGTTTTGGGACTTTCCCTGAATTTTTCCCCCTCACGATCTCGCCCCTCCCGGTGCCGTTGCCGGTGCCATTCCCGGTAACCCCCCCCGCCGCTCCCGGCGCCCCGGCCGTTACCTGCCCCATCCACCTCCATGCCGCCGTTGCTCCCGCCGCTGTTCCCGGTGCCGTTCCCGGTCCCGGTCCCGTTCCCGGTTCCCATCCCGGGGCCCCCCCCGCCTCCTCCTCCCGCCGCCGCCGCCATCTTGGCGCCCTCACGGGGCATGCGCCATCAGCTGGGGGGCGGGGCTTGGCCACGGCGCGTTGTGATTGGACAACGCTATGAGAGGGCGGGGCTTCCTCGAGCCGGGGCTGTGAGGCGAAGTTTTGATTGGAGGTGATCCAAGGGGCGGGGTTTAAAAAGGGCGGGATGTGAGAGCGGAGTTCTGATTGGTCAATGCTTGAGGGGTGTCCCCCAAAAAGGGGCGTGTCCCCCCAAAAAAGGGGGTGTCCCCCAAAAAAGGGGCGTGTCCCCCCAAAAAAGAGTGTCCCCCAAAAAAGGGGGTGTCCCCAAAAAAGGGGCGTGTCCCCCCAAAAAAGGGGGTGCCCCGGTAAAAGGCACCGCTGGGATTCGAACCTAGGATCTCCTGGTTACTAGACAGTCGCTTTAACCAAATAAACCCCTAAAAATCGCCGGTTTTCACACAAAATTCGGGTGGTTTTTTTCCCAAAATTAGGGTTTTTTTCCTCAAAATTCAGGGGTTCCCCACAAATGGAGTGTCCCTGATTAAATGAGGGGGTGTCCCCCCAAAAAAGAGGTTGCGGGGACAAAAGGCACCGCTGGGATTCGAACCGAGGATCTCCTGGTTAATTTAACCAAATAAGCCCCTAAAAATGGAAGTTTTTCACCCAAAATTCGGGGTTTTTCGTCCAAATCCGAGTTTTATCTTCTTAATAGAGAGGTGACCGTTAAACTGGGGGTGTGCCCCCAAAAAAAGGGGGTGCGGGGACAAAAGTCACCGCTGGGATTCGAACCCAGGATCTCCTGTTTACTAGGCAGGCGCTTTAACCAACTAAGCCCCAAAAAATCGCGGTTTTTGCCCAAAATTCGGGGTTTTATCCCCAAAATCGTGGTTTTTCAGCCCAAACGGATTGCCCCCATTAAACTGGGGGTGTCCCCCCCAAAAAAGGGGGTGCGGGGACAAAAGGCACCGCTGGGATTCGAACCCAGGATCTCCTGTTTACTAGACAGGCGCTTTAACCAACTAAGCCACGGCGCCGCCTGCCCCGCTCGCGCCGCCGGCTCCTTCCCGCGCCTGCAGCGCGCATGCGCGGGGGCGGCGGCGAGGGGGGGTTGGGGGGATTTTGGGGGAGTTTTTGGGGAATTTTGGGGGGATTTTTTTGGGATTTTGGGGGGGATTTTTGGGGTGGTTTTGGGGGGATTTTAGGGGGATTTTCTGGGGGGGGTTTGGGTGGGATAAAGGGGGATTTTGGCGGAATTTTGGGGTGGTTTTGGGGGGATTTTTGGGGTGATTTTGGGGGGATTTTGGGGGGATTTTTAGGAGATTTTAGGTGGGATAAAGAAGGATTTGGGGGGAATTTTTGGGGGGGATTTTGGGGTGATTGTGGGAGGATTTTGGGGGGATTTTGGGGGGACTTTGGGGGGATTTTTGGGGTGATTTTGGGGTGTTTTTGGGGGGGTTTTGGGGTGATTTTGGGGGGATTTTTAGGAGATTTTAGGTGGGATAAAGGGGGATTTTAGGGGCATTTTTTGGTGGATTTTAGGTGGGATAAAGGGGGATTTTGGGGGGATTTTGGAGGGATTTTGGGGTGATTTGGGGGAGATTTTGGGGTGGCTTTGGGGTGGTTTTGGGGGGGATTTTGGGGGGATTTTGGGGTGGTTTTGGGGCTGAATTTTGGGGAAATTTTGTTGTGATTTTGTTGTGATTCTGGGGGGATTTTGAGGGGGATTTTTGGAGGGATTTTTGGGGGATTTTGATAATTTTGGGGCGGATTTTTGGGGGTGTTTTGGTGATTTTTGGGGGGGGGGTCCCGAGTGACCCTTGGGGGGTGGGGGAGGGGCGTCCCCCCCCCCAACGGTCGCCATAGCAACGGGGGGGTGGGGGGGGGGATGCCGTTGCCGCGGTTGCCATGGCAACGTTTGGGGGTGGGGGGGGATCCCGCCTTTCCCCTCCCCCACCCCGGGGTCACCCCCAAGGACGGGGGGGGGGGAGGGGATGGGGGGGGGAGGGGCGGGGTCGGCTCGTGCCGCCCCTCCCCCCCCACCCGACGCCACACGTGACGCGGCGGTGACGTCACGGGCCCCCCCTCCCCAAAAAAAAGGCGCGTGGGATCGCCGGGGTGGGGGAGGGGCGGGGGGGGCGATGCCGCAGGGTGAATCATCGGGGGGGGAGGGGCGGGGGGGCGGGGGGCCCGCGTGAGGTCCCGGGGACCCTATGGGGCCCTATAGAGCCCTATGGAACCCTATAGAACTCTATAGAGCCCTATGGGGCCCTATAGAGCCCTATGGAACCCTATGGAGCCCTATAGAGCCCTATAGAACCCTATAGAGCCCTATAGATACCCCCGGACCCTATGGAGCCTAGGGAACCCTATAGATCCCTATGGAACCCTATAGACACCCCCAGTCCCTATGGAGCCTATGGAGCCCTATAGACACCCCCGGACCCTATGGAGCCTATGGGGCCCCATAGATACACCCAGACCCTATAGAGCCCTATAGACACACCCGGACCCTACAAAACCCTATGGGGCCCTATAGACACACACGGACCCTATGGAGCCCTATGGGGCCCTATAGATCCCTATGGAACCCTATAGACACCCCCAGTCCCTATGGAGCCTATGGAGCCCTATAGGTCCCTATAGACACCCCCGGACCCTATAGATCCCTATGGAGCCCGATAGACACCCTCAGACCCTATGGAGCCTATGGGGCCCTATAGATCCCTATAGAGCCCTATAGACACACCCGGACCCTATAGAACCCTATGGGACCCTATAGACACCCCCGGACCCTATGGAGCCTATGGGGCCCTATAGAGCCCTATGGAACCCTATGGAGCCTATGGGGCCCTATAGATCCCTATGGAACCCTATAGACACCCCCGGACCCTATAGAGCCCTATAGACACCCCCAGACCCTATGGAGCCTATGGGGCCCTATAGATCCCTATGGAACCCTATAGAACCCTATAGACATACCCAGACCCTATAGAACCCTATGGAGCCCTATAGACACCCCCGGACCCTATGGGGCCCTATAGATACCCCTAGACCCTATAGAGCCCTATAGACACCCCCGGACCCTATGGGGCCCTATAGACACACCCGGACCCTATGGAGCCTATGGGGCCCTATAGATCCCTATGGAACCCTATAGACACACCCAGACCCTATAGAACCCTATAGAGCCCTATAGACACCCCCGGACCCTATGGAGCCTATGGGGCCCTATAGAGCCCTATGGAACCCTATAGAACCCTATAGGCACCCCCGGACCCTATGGAGCCCTATGGGGCCCTATAGATCCCTATGGAACCCTATAGACACATCCGGACCCTATAGAACCCTATGGAGCCCTATAGGCACACCCGGACCCTATAGAACCCTATAGACACCCCCAGACCCTATAGAACCCTATAGACACCCCCGGACCCTATGGGGCCCTATAGATACCCCCAGACCCTATAGAAGCCTATAGACACCCCCAGACCCTATAGAGCCCTACGGGACCCCATAGAGCCCTGTAGGACCTTATAGAGCAACCCGGACCCTATAGAGCCCTATAGGGCCCAATGGAGCCCCCCGGACCCTATAGAGCCCCATAGAGCCCTATAGACACCCCCAGACCCTATAGAACCTTATGGAGCCCTATAGACACACCCGGACCCTATGGAGTCCTATGGGGCCCTATAGAGCCCCATAGGTCCCTATAGACACCCCTGGAACCTATAGAGCCCTACAGGACCCTATAGAGCCCCATAGCCCCCACAGCCCCTATAGCCCCTATAGCCCCTATAGCCCCTATAGCCCCCACACCTCCCACAGCCCCTATAGCCCCCACAGCCCCCATAGCCCCCACAGCCCCTATAGCCCCCACAGCCCCCATACCCCCTATAGCCCCCACAGCCCCTATAGCCCCTATAGCCCCCACAGCCCCTATAGCCCCTATAGCCCCTATAGCCCCCACAGCCCCTATAGCCCCTATAGCCCCTATAGCCCCCACAGCCCCTATAGCCCCTATAGCCCCCATAGCCCCCACAGCCCCTATAGCCCCTATAGCCCCCACAGCCCCTATAGCCCCCACAGCCCCTATAGCCCCCACAGCCCCCATAGCCCCTATAGCCCCTATAGCCTCTATAGCCCCTATAGCCCCCACACCCCCTATAGCCCCTATAGCCCCCACAGCCCCCACAGCCCCCACAGCCCCCACAGCCCTTATAGCCCCCATAGCCCCTATAGCCCCTATGGCCCCTATAGCCCCTATAGCCCCTATAGCCCCTATAGCCCCCACAGCCCCCACAGCCCCTATAGCCCCTATAGCCCCTATAGCCCCCATAGCCCCTATAGCCCCCACAGCCCCCACAGCCCCCATAGCCCCTATAGCCCCTATAGCCCCTATAGCCCCCACAGCCCCTATAGCCCCTATAGCCCCTATAGCCCCCACAGCCCCTATAGCCCCTATAGCCCCCATAGCCCCTATAGCCCCTATACCCCCACAGCCCCCACAGACCCCACACCCCCTATAGCCCCTATAGCCCCCACAGCCCCTATAGCCCCCACAGCCCCTATAGCCCCCACACCCCCTATAGCCCCCATACCCCCCCCTCTGGCCCAGCCCCCCCCGCTCCATCCGGGCCCCCCCGCCCCTCCCCCCCCGCAGCTGCATTGGTGACTCACCCCGGCCGCAGTGCCGGGGGGGGCACCTATGGGGGCTATAGGGGCCGCGGGCACCTACCGGGGCCTATAGGGACCCACAGGGTGAGGCACGGGGCCCTATGGATGTATAGAGACCCATAGGAACCCATAGGGGCGGCTATAGGGGCCTGCGGGCACTCGTGGGGTCACAGGGAGCCACGGGGACCTATAGGGACCTATTGAGAGCTATGGGGAGCTATAGGGACCCACAGGGAGAGGCACGGGCACCTATGGATGCACAGGGACCCATAGGGGCAGCTATAGGGGCCTGCAGGCACCCACGGGCCCATGGGGAGCTACAGGGACATATGGAGATGTATAGGGATGTATAGAACATGAATGGGGACATATAGAATGTGTAGGAGGATGTAGAACGTGTGTAGGGACATATAGGATGTGTACAGGGATGTATGGAATGTGTACAGGGATGTATAGAACGCGTATGAAGACATATGTAACACGTAGGGGGACATATAGAACATGTATGGGGACATATAAAATGTTTGTGGGGATGTCTAAAACGTGTATGGGGACGTATAGAACATGTACAGGGACATATAGAATGTGCATGGGGATGTATAGAACATGTGTAGGGGTATGTAGAGCATGTATAGGGATATATAGAACATATATGGGGACATATAGAACATGTACAGCGGCATATAGAACGTGTATGGGACATATAGAATGTGTACAGGGACATACATATAGTACGTGTAAGGGGACATATAGAACATGTATGGGATGTATAGAATATGTACAGGGACGTCTAGAGTGTGTATGGGGATTTATAGAATGTATATAGGGACGTATAGAATGGGTATGGGGACATATAGAACATGTACAGGGGTGTATAGAACGTGTACAGGGACGTATAGAAGGTGCAAAGGACATATAGAACACGTATGGGGGCGTGGAAGCAACGCAGCCCCTATAGGAGCACCTATAGATGGGTGCGGCGCCTATAGACGGACGGACGGACGGACACCGGGCGGGGTGTAGGGGCTGCGCAGGGATCTGGAGGGGTCTATAGGGAATCCATAGGGGTGTGTAGGGGCCTAGAGGGGTGTAGGGGGCCTCCGTGCGTGTCACAGCCCCCCCGAAATTCACTGCCCCCGCCCCATTGACCTCCATTCATCCCCCCCAGACCCATTCATGCCCCACCCCATTAATCCCCAGCCCCAATTTACCCCCATTCATCCACCCCAGACCCATTCATGCACTGCCCCATTCATTCCCCCAACCCCATTCATTCACTCCAGCCCCATTCATCCCCCCCAGCCCCATTGACCCCCATTCATCCATCCCCCAGACCCATTCATGCCCCACCCCATTCATTCACTCCAGCCCCATTCATCCCCCCCCAGCCCCATTGACCCCCATTCATCCCCCCCAGACCCATTCATGCCCCACCCCATTCACCCCCTGCCCCATTCACCCCCATTCATCCCCCCAGCCCCATTCATGCCCTGCCCCATTCATTCACTTCAGCCCCATTCATCCCCAGCCCCAATTTACCCCCATTCATCCCCCCCCCCGCCCCATTCACCCCATTCATCCCCCCAGACCCATTCATGCCCTGCCCCATTCATTCACGCCCAGCCCCATTATCCCACCCATTCACCCCCTGCCCCATTCACCCCCAGCCCCAATTTACCCCCATTCATTCACCTCCAGCCCCATTCATGCCCTGCCCCATTCATCCCCATTCACCCCCAGCCCCAATTTACCCCCATTCATCCCCCCCAGACCCATTCATCCCCCCACCCCATTCACTCCCCACCCCATTCATCCCCCCACCCCATTCATCCCCCCCCACCCCATTCACCCCCCCAGCCCCGCCCCACCCCCCCTCCCCCTCCCATTCATCCCCCGCTGTTCATTCATCCCTCCGCGGCGGGTCTCTCTGCGCATGCTCCTTTCCCCCCCCCCCCCACGACCCCACCCCTTTTTTCCCGGGCCCGGCCGGATTTTATGAATGGGCCATTGACGTCATCGGAGACCCCCCACGTGGGGCCGCGCGCGTATAAAGGGGGCGGAGCGGCGCTGTCCGCGGTGCTGAAGGGCGAAACGACGCCGCGACCACCGCGACCCCCCCCCGAATTTCCCCTTCTCACCGCGACCCCTCCCTTCACCTCAACCCCTCCCCCCCCTCCCTTTCGCGACCCCCCCCTCCCCCCACCCTCCTCACCGGGATCAACCCCCCCCCGCCCCCGCTTCGAGCCCCCTCCCCCACCCTTATCAAGACCCCCCCCCTTATTTTTGGCATCCCCCCACACCGAGCGCCGCCCCCTCCCCAGGCTGGAAAAGGGGGGGGGGATCCCCCGGAACAGCCGAGACCCCCCCGGAGCCGGTAAGAGCCGCCCCTCCCCCATTGGGATTTGGGGGGGGGGGAGGGGGGGATTGGGTGGGGTCCCCCCTCCCCCCACCCCCACCTCCACCCCCACCCCCACCCCCACCCCCCATGGGGGGTTTTTTGGGGGGTTTTTTGGGGGGTTTTTTTGGGGGGTTTGAGAGTGCGAGGAGCGCGTGGGCGCGGGGGGAGGGGGGGATGGGCACGCGTGGGTGCGATGCCGGAGGGGGGGATGGGTGGGGGATGGGCGTGGGTGTGGCCGTGGGGGTTCCCGGGGGTGGGGGAGGGGAGGGGGAGTGGGAAGGGGTGGGGGAGGGGGGGGCGCTCACGTGCGGGTGGGCGCGCGGGCGCGTGAGCGGGCGTGTTCACACGTGTGTGTCTGTGCGTGTTCACACGTGTGTCTGTGTGTGATCCAGGTGTGTTCACACCCATCTGTGTCCGTGCGTGTTCTGAGCGTGAGTGTGCGTGATCCAGGTGTGTTCACACCTGTGTATGTTCCAGGCATGTTCACACATGTGTGTGCGTGTGATCCAGGTGTGTTCACACCCGTCTGTGTGTTCACACGTGTGTGTGTGCGTGTTCCAGGTGTGCTCACACCTGTGCGTCGGTGCCATCCAGGTGTGTTCACACCTGTGTATGTCCCAGGCATGTTCACACGTGTGTGTTTTCCAGGCGTTCTCACACCTGTGTGTGTCCACACGCGTGTGTGCCATCCAGGTGTGCTCACACCCGTGAAGTTCCATGTGTGTTCTGTGTGCACACACCTGTCAGTGCGTGTTCACACCTATCCGTGTGTCTGCACACGTGTCCGTGTGTGTGTTCACACCTGTGCATGTGTTCTGTGTGTGTCACTGTGTGTCACCCTCTGTGTGTCACCGTGTGTGTGTCACCCCATGCGTGTCACCCTGTGTGTGTCACCGTGAGTGTTTGTGTGTTCCCCCGGTGTTCACACCTGTGTGTGTGTTTTGTGTGTGTGAGTGTGTGTCACCCCGTGTGTGTCACCCTGTGGGTGTCACCGTGTGTCACCGTGTGTCACCCTCTGTGTGTCACCCCGTGTGTGTCACCCTGAGTGTGTCACCGTGCGTTCACCAGGTGTTCACACCTGTGTGTGTGTGTGTTCTGTGTGTGTCACCTGGGAATGTGTCACCCTCTGTGTGTGTCACCCTGTGTGTCACCATGATGCGTCACGCTGTGTCACTGTGTGTTACCCCGTGTGTGTCACCCTCTGTGTGTCACCCTGTGTGTGTCACCATGAGTTCCCCAGATGTTCACACCTGTGTGTGTGTTTTGTGTGTGTGTGTGTGTGTGACTGTGTGTCACCCTCTGTTTGTCACCGTGTGTCACCCTGTGTGTGTCACTGTGTGTCACCCCATGTGTGTCACCCTGAGTGTGTCACCGTGTGTGTGTCACCGTGTGTCACCGTGTGTCACCCTCTGTGTGTCACCCCGTGTGTGTCACCCTGTGTGTGTCACCGTGTGTCACCGCGAGTGTGTGTGTGTGTGTTCCACAGGTGTTCACACCTGTGTGCTCACACCTGGGGGGATCCTTGGGGGTGACAGAGGCGACATGGGGGGGTGTCCTGGGGGTCCCAGAGGGTCCTGGGGTGTCCTGGAGGGTCCCAGGGGGTCCCTGAGGTGTCCTGGGGTGTCCTGGGGGGTCCTGTGGAGGCCCAGGGGGTCTCTGGGTGTGTCCTGTGGGGTCCCTGGGAGTCCTTGAGGGGGTCCCTGGGGGTGTCCTGGGGTGTCCTGTGGGGTCCCAGGGGGTCTCTGGGGGTGTCCTATGGGGTCCCAGGGGGTCTCTGGGGGTGTCCTATGGGGTCCCAGGGGGTCCCTGGGGTGTCCTGGGGGGTGTCCTGGGCTGTCCCGGGGGGTGTCTTGGGGGTCCTGGGGTGTCTTGGGGTGTCCTGGGGATGTCCTGAGGTGGTCCTGGGGTGTCCTGGAGGGTATCCAGGGGGTCCCAGGGGGTCCCTGGGGTGGTCCTGGGGGGTCTCAGGCGGTCCCTGAGGTGTCCTGGGGCACCCCCAGAGATGGGGTCGATGACAAAACCACCAACACATTTGCGACAGGGTCGGGGTCTCCACCCCCACCCCCACCACGGGTTGGGGGGGACAACCCCACCGAGAAGGGACCCCCAAATCGAGGTGGTCACCCCTATATTTCCCCACCCCCCAAATTTCTTCCAGGCGCCATGACGGCCCCACCGCGCCCATTGCGCAGCGCCGCCCTCCTGCTCTCCATCACCCTCCTGGTGCAGAGCCGCCCCCAACCCACCCCACAACCCCCCCGGAGCAGCCCCCAGACCCCTCCTCACCCCCTCTCCAAGCGCTCCCCACCACCACCACCACCACCAGCGGGAGGTCACCATCAGTCGCAGGTGTTGAAGGAACTGGAAGAACTGGGGCGGCTCCGCGCCGAAGCCAAACGGGACCGGCAGCGGGACCGGGAGCGGGAGCGGGAGTCGGGCTGGGCCAGCTCGCGGCAGCTGCGGCAGCAGCAGAGTTTGGAGCACCGGCTGCTGGAGAGGCGCTACCAGGAACTGGCCGAGAGCCGGCGGCAGGCCCAGGCCGCGCGGAAAGCGGCGGCCGAAGAAGAGCGTTTGGCCGATTTGGCGTCGGATCTGCTGCTCCGGTACCTCCTGCGCGGCCCCGGCGCCGGCGTGGCAGAGGATAAGCGATCCGAGGAGGAGGAGGAGGAGGAGGAGGTGGAGGAAGGGTTCGGGGAGAACGGCAAGGATGGGTTCGGTCTCGGTGGGGAGGTCAACGGTGAGATCGGCGGCTACAAGGGGAAGGAGAGGTTTGGGATCGGTGATGAGATCAGCGATGAGCTCAACGATGAACTCAACGATGACCTTGGTGGCCACCAAACCTACAACAGCAAGGACCGGTTTGACCTTGGTAATGACCTCAACGATGACCTTGGTGGCCACCCAACCTACAAGACCAAGGACAGGTTCAACCTCGGTAATGACCTTGGCAATGACCTCAACGATGACCTTGGTGGCCACCAGACCTACAAGACCAAGGACAGATTCAACCTTGGCAATGACCTCAACGATGACCTCGGTGGCCACCAAACCTACAAGGCCAAGGACCGGTTCGGCCTCAGAAATGACCTCAACGATGACCTCGATGGCTACAAGACCAAGGACAGATTTGGCCTCAGAAATGACCTCAACGATGACCTCGATGGCTACAAGGCCAAGGACAGATTCGACCTCTCCAACGACCTCGCCGGCTACAAGGGCGGCTACGACGCCAACGACGCCAACGAGGTCTTCAAGGTCAACCGCCGCTTCAAGGTCAAACCCGGCACCAACGAAGACTTGAAGGCCAACGATGGTGACAACTTCAAGATCAGGGGCGGCTTCGACAACGCCGCCGACGACCTCAACGGCAACGGCGGCTTGGAGGACAACGAGATCCTCCCGGCGCGCGGCCACCGGATGCCGGCGCGGGGTAACCGGATCGCGGCGGCGGAGGAGGAAGAAGATGAAGAAGAAGAGGCGACCACCGGCGATTCGGAGGAGGTGTCGCCGCAGGATCCGGCCGAGGTGGACGAGCTGGACCCCGGCACCATCGACCAGCTGATCGAGCTGTCCAGCCGGCTGCACCTGCCGGCCGATGACGTGGTGGACATCATCCACGACGTGGAGCAGAAGCGCAAGGAGGAGGCCGGGCTGGGCTTGGCCATGGCCGGTATGGGCGTGGTGGCCGTGGAGCCACCACCGAAACTCGGCCGACCCCCCAAATCGCGGCTCCGACCCCCACCGGAGCCGATCCCGGCGAGGACTTTCCTGCCGGTCCCACCCCGGCGCCCCCCGCCCCCGCTGAGGGACCGCCAGGTGGAGAAATATCTGGAGAGGGTTTTGGGGAGCCCCCCCCGGGGGTAGCCGTGACCCCAAAATCCCCCGATCCCACCCCAAAAAAACCCCCCCTCCCCCATGCTCGGGTGTGTTGTCCCCTCCCCCGTCCGGGGTGGTCCCAGTGCCACCAGTTGGGTTCTCCCAGTTGTCCCAGTTCCCATTGTGGAGTCCCCACCCCCCCACCCCCGTCCTGTCCTGGAACTGGTTCCAGTTCCCCTCCCCCCCTTCTCCCAGTTAATCCCAGTTCTGCCCAGTCCTGGCTCCGGTTTCCCACTGTTCGGCCCCAGTTCTGACCAGTTCCTCCCAGTCCCTCCCAGTTTATCCCAGTTCCAGCCCCAGTCCTTCCCAGTCTCTCCCAGTCCCTCCCAGTCCCTCCCAGTCCATCCCAGTTTATCCCAGTTTGTCCCAGTCCATCCCAGTCCATCCCAGTTCCCTCCCAGTTCCCTCCCAGTCCCCCCCAGTTCCCTCCCAGTTCCCTCCCAGTTCCCTCCCAGTCCATCCCAGTCCCTCCCAGTCCCATTCCCAGTCCCTCCCATTTCCCCCCAGTCCCTCCCAGTTTATCCCAGTCCATCCCAGTTTATCCCAGTTTGTCCCAGTCCCTCCCAGTCCCCCCCCAGTCCATCCCAGTTCCCCCCAGTCCCTCCCAGTTCCCCCCCAGTCCTCCCCAGTCCCTCCCAGTTTATCCCAGTCCCTCCCAGTCCCCCCCCAGTTCCTCCCAGTTCCCCCCCAGTCCCTCCCAGTCCATCCCAGTTCCCCTTTAACTCCTCCCAGTCCCTCCCAGTCCCTTCCCAGTTTATCCCAGTCCATCCCAGTTCACTCCCAGTTTATCCCAGTCCATCCCAGTCCCTCCCAGTCCCTCCCAGTCCATCCCAGTTCCCTCCCAGTCCCTCCCAGTCCCTCCCAGTTCCCTCCCAGTCCATCCCAGTTCCCTCCCAGTCCCTCCCAGTCCCTCCCAGTTCCCTCCCAGTTTATCCCAGTCCCTCCCAGTTCCCCGCGGGGGGGTTGCCTGTAAATAACCCCCCAATCACGAATTTTGCTAACGAATAAAAGCGACTATTTTAGTACGAGTTATTCCCGTTTTTTGGGGGGTGGGGGGGGGGGAAATTTGGGGGACCCCCCCAGGGTAAAACAGCCCCACAAGGGGTCAAAGCAACCCCAAAAAGTGAAAAAATTACCCCAAAAAGTGAAAAAATGACCCCAAAATGAGAATAAATGAAAAATAATCCCCAAAAAAGGATAAAACAATTCCCAAAAGGATAAAATAATCCCAAAAAATGGATAAAATCCCTCGAAAAAGGATAAAATAATCCCCAAAAGGGATAAAATTATCCCTAAAAAAAGAGAAAATAACCCAAAAAATGATAAAATAACCCAAAAGAAGAGAAAATAACCCAAAAAAAGATAAAATAACCCAAAAAAACCAGAAAATAACTCATAAAAGAGAAAATAACCCAAAAAAAAGAGAAAATAACCCAAAAAAAGAGAAAATAACCCCAAAAAATCACCAAACTCACCTCGAGTCTCCACAGATTTTATTCCAAATTTTTTTTTTTTGGGGGGGGAGACCGTGACCCCATAATTGAGAGGGGGGGGGTCCCTAAAAATTTGGGGGGGGTCCCCAAAAAATTTTGGGGGAATAAATTCCAAGAATCCCCCTCCCCCAACCCCCAAAAAAAGCAGCTGTGGGAAATTTGGGGGGGGGGGGAACCCCCAAATTTGGATCCCAACCCCCTCCAAAAAAATTTGGGCAACCCCCCCCCCCAAAAAATTTGGGGACCCCCCCAAAAAATTTGGGGACCCCCCCCCAAAAAATGTGGGGACCCCCCCTTATAGATATATTTACAATTTGGGGGGGTCACAGGGGGGTGTCCCCTCCCCCCCCCAGGCTGGGATTGGTCCCATGGGGCTGTGGGGGGGGTCCCCAAAATTTTGGGGGGGAGGGGAGCCAAAAATTTTAGGGGGGGGTCCCCAAAAATTGGGGTGGGGGGGGCTACGCCAGCCCCATTTCCTCCAGGACGCTGCGGGGGGATTCGTCCTCCTGTGGGGGGAAAGAAGGGGTTAAAATTTGGGGGAAAAAAAACAAAATTTGGGGGGAAAAGGGGGGAAAAAACCCAAAATTTGGGGGGAGGGAACGGGGGGAACTAAATCCTACAATTTGGGGGGGAAAATACCCAAAAAATTGTAGGGGAAGGGTGGGAATGAACCCTAAAATTTGGGGGGAAAGAGGGAAATGAACCCCAAAATTTGGGGGGCAAAAAACCCCAAAAATTGGAGGGGAAAGGGGGGAAAACCCCAAAATTTTGGGAGGAAAAAAACCCAACAATTGGAGGGGAAAGGGGGGAACTAAATCCTAAAATTTGGGGGGGAAAGGGGGGAAAAAACCCAAAATTTGGGCGGGAAAAGGGGGGAACTAAATACTAAAATTTGGGGGGGAAAATGGGGGGATGAACCCCAAAATTTGGGGGGGAAAGGGGGGAAGTAAATCCTAAAATTTGCGGGGGAAAGGGAAGGTGAACCCCAAAATCTGGGGGGGAAAGTGGGGGAAAAAACCCAAAATTTGGGGGGGGAAAGGGGGGAACTAAATTCTAAAATTTGGGGGGAAAAGAGGGGGGGTGAACCCTAAAATTTGGGGGGCAAAAAAACCCAAAATTTGGGGGGGAAAGGTGGGAATGAACCCCCAAATTTGGGGGGGAAAGGGGGAACTAAATCCTAAAATTTGGGGGAGAAAGAGTGGAAAAAACCCAAAATTTGGGGGGCAAAAAACCCCAAAAATTGTAGGGGAAAGGGGGGGAATGAACCCTAAAATTTGGGGGGGAAAGGGGGAAAAACCCACAATTTGGGGGGAAAAAGGGGGGATGAACCCCAAAATTTGGGGGAAAGGAATCCCCCATGGATTTTTGGGATCCCACTAAGAACCTCCATGGATTTTTGGGGTCTCCATGACCCCATGGATGGTCCATGAAGGATTTTTGGGGTGTCCATGACCCTACAACCCAAAAACCCCAAGAATTTTTGGGATCCCACCAAAAACCTCCATGGATTTTTGGGATCCCACCAAGAACCTCCATGGATTTTGGGGTCTCCACGACCCCATGGATGGTCCATGAAGGATTTTTGGGGTCTCCATGACCCACCAAGAACTTTCGTGGATTTTTGGGGTCTCCATGACCCCACGGATGGTCCATGAAGGATTTTTGGGGCCACCATGACCCTACAACCCAAAAACCCCATGAACTTTTGGGACCCACCAAGAACCTCCAGGAATTTTTTGGATCCCACCAAGAACCTCCATGAACTTTTGGGACCCACCAAGAACCTTCGTGGATTTTTGGGACCCACCAAGAACCTTCGTGGATTTTTGGGGTCTCCATGACCCTACAACCCAAAAACTCCAGGAACTTTTGGGACCCACCAAGAACCTCCATGGATTTATGGGGCCACCAAGACCCTACAAGGTCCCCCCAGGATTTTGGGGTGTCCCCACCCCCTCCCGGTGGATTTTTGGGAATTTTTGGGGTGTCCTCACCTCCTGCAGCAGGTCCGCCTGCTCGATGGCCTTGAGGACGCTCTTCTTGGAGGTGTCCTGGATCTCGCCGCCCATCACGAACTCGTCCAGGATGAAGTAGGCCTTCTCGAAGTTGAAGATGATGTCCAGCTCGCACACCTGCCCGGGAGGTCACCGCTGCCTTGGGGACACCCCGGGGACACCCCCGGTGTGGGGACGTTCGGCTCACGGGGGTGGAAGTGGCCGGAGGGGACATCGGGTGGCCCTGGTGGCCCTGAGGGGCTCCTGGAGAACTTTGGGGTGGCCCTGGTGACCCTGAGGGGTTCCTGGAGAACTTTGGGGTGGCCCTGGTGACCCTGTGATGACCCTGAAACGTTTCTGGTGTCCCCGAGGTGTCTCTGATGACCCCAGGATGTCCTTGAGATGTCTCTGAGGTGACCCCAGGATGTTCTTGAGGTGTTCCTGATGTCCCCGAGGTGTCCCTGACCACCTCGGGCTGTCCCTGAGGTGTCCCTGATGACCCTGAGGTGTCCCTGGTGACCCTGGGATGTCCCTGAGATGTCTCTGAGGTGACCCCAGGATGTTCTTGAGGTGTTCCTGATGTCCCCGAGGTGTCCCTGACCACCTCGGGCTGTCCCTGAGGTGTCCCTGATGACCCTGAGGTGTCCCTGGTGACCCTGGGATGTCCCTGAGATGTCTCTGAGGTGACCCCAGGATGTCCTTGAGGTGTCCCTGATGTCCCCGAGGTGTCCCTGACCACCTCGGGCTGTCCCCGCGGTGTCCCTGATGACCCTGAGGTGTCCCTGAGGTGTCCCTGATGACCCTGAGGTGTCCCTGGTGACCCTGAGGTGTCTCTGAGGTGTCCCTGATGACCCTGAGGTGTCCCTGGTGACCCCGGGATGTCCCTGAGATGTCCCTGATGACCCCGGGTGTCCCCAAGGTGTCCCTGGTGACCCTGGGATGTCCCTGAGGTGTCCCTGATGTCCTTGAGATGTTTCTGATGTCCCCGAGGTGTCCCTGGTGTGTCCCTGATGTCCTTGAGATGACCCCAGGATGTCCTTGAGGTGTTCCTGATGTCCCTGTGGTGTCCCTGACCACCCCGGGCTGTCCCTGAGGTGTCCCTGATGACCCCAGGCTGTCCCTAGTGACCCTGGGATGTCCCCGAGGTGTCCCTGATGACCCCAGGATGTCCCTGAGATGTCTCTGAGGTGATCTCAGGATGTTCTTGAGGTGTTCCTGATGTCCCCGTGGTGTCCCTGGCCACCCCGGCATGTCCCTGGTGACCCTGGGATGTCCCTGGTGACCCTGGGATGTCCCTGGTGTCCCTGGGATGTCCCTGGTGTCCCTGGGATGTCCCCGCGGTGTCCCCCGGCCGCGTCCCCACTCACGCTGCCGAAGTACTTGTCCAGCAGCTCCACGTAGCGGTGGATGAGCTCCAGCGTGATCAGCTCGTTGTCCTGGCCCTCGATGGCGCAGCAGAAGTAGAGGCTGGCGTACCTGGGGGACAACGGCCAGATGGGGACATCCCCGTGGCCACCAAATCCCACCGGGGCACCCAACCATGGTCAATCCAACCATGGTTAACCCAACCATGGTCATCCCAACCATGGTTAACCCATCATGGTCAATTCATGAAGATCAACCCAACCATGGTCAACCCAACCATTGTTAACCCATCATGGTCAATCCATCATGGTCAACTTATGAAGATCAACTCAACCATGGTCAACCCAACCATGGTCAACCCAACCATGGTTAACCCATCATGGTCAACTCATGAAGATCAACCCAACCATGGTCAACCCAACCATGGTCAACCCATCATGGTCAACTCATGAAGATCAACCCAACCATGGTCAATCCAACCATGGTTAACCCATCATGGTCAACTCATGAAGATCAACCCAACCATGGTCAATCCAACCATGGTTAACCCAACCATGGTTAACCCATCATGGTCAACTCATGAAGATCAACCAAACCATGGTCAACCCATCATGGTCAATCCAACCATGGTCAACCCATCATGGTCAACTCATGAAGATCAACCAAACCATGGTCAACCCATCATGGTCAACCCATGAAGATCAACCCAACCATGGATAACACAACCATGGTCAACACAACCATGATCAACCCATCATGGTCAACTCATCATGGTCAACCCAACCACGGTCAACCCATCACAGTTACCTCATGAAGATCAACCCATCATGGTCAATGCAACCATGATCAACTCATGAAGGTCAACCCAACCATGGTCAATCCAACCATGGTCAACCCATCATGGTCAACCCAACCATGGTCAATCCAACCATGGTCAACCCATCATGGCCAACCCAAGCATGACCAACCCATCATGGTCAATCCAACCATGGTCAACTCATCATGGTCAACCCATCATGGCCAACCTAAGCATGACCAACCCATCATGGTCAATCCAACCATGGTCAACTCATCATGGTCAACCCATCATGGTCAATCCAACCATGGTCAATTCAACCATGGTTAACTCATCATGGTCAACTCATGAAGATCAACCCAACCATGGTCAATCCAACCGTGGTCAACCCAACCATGGTCAATCCAACCATTGTTAACCCATCATGGTCAACTCATGATGATCAACCCAACCATGGTTAACCCATCATGGTCAACCCAACCATGGTCAACCCATCATGACCAACCCATCATGGTCAACCCATCATGGCCAACCCATCATGGTCAACCCAACCATGGTCAACTCATCATGGTCAACCCATCATGACCAACCCAACCATGGTCAATCCAACCATGGCCAACCCAACCATGGCCAGCCCAACCATGGCCAGCCCAACCATGGTCAACTCATCATGGTCAACCCATTATGGCAACCCAAGCATGACCAATCCATCATGGTCAATCCAACCATGGTCAACCCATCATGGTCAACCCATCATGGCCAACCCAACCATGGTCAACTCATCATGGTCAACCCATCATGGCCAACCCATCATGGTCAATCCAACCATGGTCAGCCCATCACGACCAACCCAAGCATGACCAACCCGCCATTTTGGCTCAGAAAATCGCCTTTTTTTTTTGGCCAAAACCCCTTTTTTGGACACAAAGTCGCTTTTTCTTCAACTCTTTTTTTTTTGACGACCCGAACTCAATTTTTGGGATTTTTTTGGGGGGTTTTACCTCTTGTAGACCACCTTGAGGTCCCTCCACTCGAGGAAGGAGCACATTTTGGGTTTCCTGGCCAGCACCACCTGCATCAGCTCCCGCACCATCTTCTTCTTGTCCTTGTCGGCCGTGGCCAAGTACCACTTCTGCAGCCTCAGTTTCCCTTGGCGGCTGAACAGCAGCATGAACCGCATCTGGGGGGGTGGGGGTCACTGGGAGGGACTGGGATGGACTGGGAGGGGCTTTGGGGGGGATTTTGGGGAGTTTTGGGGGATTTGGGGGAGTTTTGCGGAGATTTGGGGAATTTGGGGGAAGTTTTGAGGCAGATTTGAGGTGGTTTTGGTGGGATTTTGGGGGTTTTGGGGTCACTGGGAGGGGTTTGGGGAGGATTTTAAGAGATTTTTGTGGGGATTTGGGGAGATTTTAGGGAATTTGGGGGGATTTAGGGGAATTTTGGGGGATTTTGGGGGGATTTAGGGGAATTTTGGGGGGGATTTTGGGGGATTTTGGGGGGGATTTTGGGGAGGTTTGGGGTCACTGGGAGGGAATGGGAGTGACTGGGAGGGGGTTTGGGGAGGATTTCAAGGGATTTTGGGGGGATTTGGGGGGATTTTGGGGGGATTTGGGGAGTTTTTGGGGGATTTTGGGGAGTTTTGGGGGAATTTTGGGGGGATTTAGGGGAATTTTGGGGGGGATTTATGGGAAGTTTTGGGGTCACTGGGAGGGAATGGGAGCGACTGGGAGGGGGTTTGGGGAGGATTTCAAGGGATTTTGGGGAGGGATTTGGGGAGTTTTTGGGGGATTTTGGGGGAATTTTGGGGGGATTTAGGGGAATTTTGGGGGGATTTAGGGGAATTTTGGGGAGTTTTGGGGTCGGGACCAGGGGATTTCTCAGCCTCAGTTTCCCTTGGCGGCTGAACAGCAGCATGAACCGCATCTGGGGGGGTGGGGGTCACTGGGGGCACTGGGATGGACTGGGATGGACTGGGAGGGGCTTTGGGGGGGATTTTGGGGGATTTGGGGGAGTTTTGGGGAGGTTTTGGGGGATTTCGAGGAGTTTTGGGTGAACTTTGAGTGGAATTTTGGGGGGATTCGGGGTGGTTTTGGGGGGATTTGGGGAGATTTTGGGGGATTTTGGGGAGGTTTTGGGGGATTTGGGGGAGTTTTGGGTGGTTTTGGGGGATTTGGGGGAGTTTTGCGGAGATTTGGGGAATTTGGGGGAAGTTTTGAGGCAGATTTGAGGTGGTTTTGGTGGGATTTTGGGGGTTTTGGGGTCACTGGGAGGGGGTTTGGGGAGGATTTTAAGAGATTTTTGGGGGGATTTGGGGAGATTTTGGGGGATTTTGGGGGGATTTAGGGGAATTTTGGGGGGGATTTTGGGGGATGTGGGGGAATTTTGGGGGGGATTTTGGGGAGTTTTGGGGTCACTGGGAAGGAATGGTGCGACTGGGAGGGGGTTTGGGGAGGATTTCAAGGGATTTTGGGGGGATTTGGGGGGATTTTGGGGGATTTTGGGGGAATTTTGGGGAATTTTGGGGGGATTTAGGGGAATTATGGGGGGGATTTTGGGGGATGTGGGGGAATTTTGGGGGGGATTTTGGGGAGTTTTGAGGTCACTGGGAGGGAATGGGAGCGACTGGGAGGGGGTTTGGGGAGGATTTCAAGGGATTTTGGGGGATTTGGGGAGATTTTGGGGGATTTTGGGGAATGTGGGGGAATTTTGGGGAATTTGGGGGAGGATTTTAAGGGATTTGGGGGAATTTTGGGGTAAATCGAGTGGGATTTGGGGTGGTTCTGGGGGGGATTTGAGGGAATTTTGCGGGGAGTTTGGGGGGGATTTGGGGGAGTTTTGGGGAGATTTGGGGAATTTGGGGGAAGTTTTGAGGGGATTTGGGGTGGTTTTGGGGGAATTTTGGAGGATTTTGTGGATTTTGGGGGAGTTTTGGGAGATTTGGGGTCACTGGGAGCACTGGGAGGGGGTTTGGGGAGGATTTTGGGTCTGGGGATGGATTTTGGGTCTGGGATGGATTTTTTGAGAGATTTTAGGGTTTGGGGCTGGATTTGGGGTCTGGGGATGGATTTTGGGGGGGGATTGGGGCAATTTGGGTCTGGGGATGGATTTTTGGAGATATTTTGGGGGGCTTTGGGGTCTGGGGATGAATTTTGGGGAGATTTTGGGGGATTTTAAGGCCTGGAAAAGGATTTTGGGGAGATTTTGGGTCTGGGTATGGATTTTGGGGTCTGGGGATGGATTTTTTGAGAGATTTTGGGGGATTTTAGGGGATATTTGGGGTTTGGGGATGGATTTGGGGGGAATTTGGGGTCTGGGGATGGATTTTGGGTGATTTTGGGAAGATTTTGGGTCTGGGGATGGATTTTGGTGTCTGGGGATGGATTTTTTGAGATATTTTGGGGTTTGGGGCTGGATTTTGGGGTTTGGGGCTGGATTTTGGGGAGATTTTGGGTCTGGGGATGGATTTTTTGAGAGATTTTGGGGGATTTTAGGGAATTTTAGGGTTTGGGGATGGGCTTTGGAGGAATTTTGGGTCTGGGGATGGATTTTGGGTGATTTTGGGAAGATTTTGGGTCTGGGGATCGATTTTGGGGTCTGGGGATGGATTTTTTGAGAGATTTTGGGGTATTTTAGGGGATTTTAGGGTTTGGGGATGGATTTTGGGAAGATTTTGGGTCTGGGGATGGATTTTGGGTGATTATGGGAAGATTTGGGGTCTGGGGATGGATTTTGGGTGATTTTGGGAAGATTTTGGGTCTGGGGATGGATTTTTTGAGAGATTTTGGGGGATTTTAGGGGATTTTGGGGTTTGGGGATGGATTTTGGGGAAATTTCGGGGGATTTGGGGGGGGTGGGGGAGGGGTCACGTAGGAACGGCCCCACCCGGTGGGAACCCCCGGGGTCACGTGCTCAGAGGTCAAAGGTCACCCCCGAGGTCACGACCACCCCCCCAAATTCACGCCTCACGTGACCGCCCCTCCCCAACCACGTGACCGCCGCGCCCCCCGCTCACCATGGCGCCGTGTCCCGGGGGAGAAGCCGCGGCCGGGGCCGGGACCGGGGGCCGGGGAGGGTCGGGGGGGGTCCGGGAGGGGGTCCCGGAGGGGTCCCGGGGGTCGGGGGGGGTCGGACGGGGCCGCTCCGCGCCTCCGGCAGCGCCGCGCCGGGCCCGCCGCTTCCGGGTGTGACGTCAGCGCGCATGCGCCGGGCCGCGGCGTGTCGCCATGGTAACGGGAAAAGGGGCGTGGTCTGGGGAGAGGTTACCGCTGAGTGGGCGGAGCGTTTCCATAGCAACGGGGAAAGGGGCGGGGCTTGTCGCTAAGGTAACGGGGGCGCTTCCCGCCAAGGGGGGGTTGCCATGGTAACGGGGGAGGGGCGTGGCCTAGCGCCGAGGGGCGGGGCTGTTGCCTCGGCAACGGTTGCTATGGGGACGTTGCTATGGCAACGGAGGGGGATTTGGGGGGAAAAAAGGAGAATTTGGGGTCCTGGGGATGGAGGTGACCATTGGGACATGGTGGTGACCACAGCCCCGGGACAAAGTGACCCCATGATGGGTTTTGGGGTGACCCCCGATATATTAAAACTCTCCCCAATAAATTACAGCTCCCCCCGACCCCTCCGGACCCCAATTTTGGTGTGCTCCAATTTTGGGGTGACCCATTTTTGGGTGACCTTGGTTTGGGGTGTCCCAATTTTGGGGTATCCCATTTTTTGGGTGCTCCAAGTTTGGGAGTCCCCCATTTTTGGGATGTTCCCTTTTTGGGCATCCCAATTTTTGGGTGTCCCAATTTCGGGGTATCCCAATTTCGGGGTATCCCCATTTTGGGGTATCCTATTTTGGGGTTTCCCAATTTTGGGGTATCCCATTTTGGTGGTATCCCATATTTAGGGTTGTCCCAATTTTCGGGTGTCCCAGTTTTGGGGTACCCCAATTTCAGGGTATCCCAATTTCGGGGTATCCCCATTTTGGGGTATCCCCATTTTGGGGTATCCCATTTTTGGGGTATCTCAATTTTGGGATATCCGATTTTTAGGGTATCTCAATTTTGGGTTATTCCCATTTTTGGGGTATTCCCATTTTGGGCTGTCCCAAATTTTGGGGTGTCCCCATTTTTGGGGTGCCCCCGGGGCGCTCAGGGATCCATCACCTGCCCCACAAAGAGGACGGCGCCTGTGGGGGGAGAAAGGGGTCAGAGACACCCCCAGACCCAAATCTGTGGGGCAGAGACCCCGAAAACCCCCAAAATTCCCCAAATCCCCAAATATCTCCTGTCCCCTGTCCCACATCCTGATGGGATCAGAGCGCGACCTTGGACACACCTGGACAATCCCATGGAGACACCAGGACGTGCCCTGAGGAACCTCCTGAACCTCGCGGGAGTGCCACCGGGTGACAAAGGACACCTGGCGTCCCTTGTCACCACACGTGCCGGGAAAGGGCGGTGGCACCCGTCACGGCGCATTCCTGGCGCCCGCGGTGTCGCTTTCGCTTCTCCACCTCCTTTTATTGCGACCAAAGGTCTTCTCCAGGTGTCCTCGTTGTCCCCAGTCGCGCTCCGCCCGCGCTCGGGGACGGATCCTCGCGTCCATCGCTGTCCCCAACTCCGGTGACGCGCGGCCATGGGGCGGCTGTGGGGCGGCCCGGCCGCGCTCTGCGTCTGCGTCCTGCTGGTCCTCACAGGTGGGAGATGGTGGCACTGGGGCGCGTCACCCACCCGTGGTGGCATTGGGATGTGTCATCCACTCGTGGTGGCATTAGGACATGTCCCCACCCATGGTGGCATTGGGTTGTGTCACCCATGGTGGCGCTGGGACATGTTCCCCACCCATGGTGACATTGGGATGTGTCACCCACCCATGATGGCACTGGGATGTGTCACCCGTGGTGGCACTGGGATGTGTCCCCACCCATGGTGACACTGGGACATGTTCCCCACCCATGGTGGCGCTGGGATGTGTCACCCACCCATGGTGGCACTGGGATGTGTCACCCATAGTGGCACTGGGACATGTTCCCCACCCGTGGTGGTGCTGGGACATGTCCCCACCCATGGTGACATTGGGATGTGTCACCCATAGTGGCGTTGGGATGTGTCCCCACCCATGGTGACATTGGGATGTGTCACCCACCCATGGTGGCACTGGGATGTGTCACCCATGGTGGCACTGGGATGTGTCATCCACCCATGGTGGCACTGGGGCATGTTCCCCACCCGTGGTGGCATTGGGATGTGTCACCCGTGGTGGCGCTGGGATGTGTCACCCATGGTGGCACTGGGACACGTCACCCATGGTGGCGTTGGGACATGTTCCCCACCCATGGTGGCACTGGGATGTGTCCCCACCCATGGTGGCACTGGGATGTGTCATCCACCCATGGTGGCACTGGGATGTGTCCCCACCCATGGTGGCACTGGGATGTGTCATCCACCCATGGTGGCACTGGGATGTGTCACCCGTGGTGGCATTGGGATGTGTCCCCACCCATGGTGGCGCTGGGATGTGTCACCCATGGTGGCGTTGGGACATGTCCCCACCCATGATGGCACTGGGATGTGTCACCCATGGTGGCGCTGGGACATGTTCCCCACCCATGGTGGCACTGGATGTGTCACCCATGGTGGCACTGGGATGTGTCACCCACCCATGGTGGCGCTGGGACACGTCACCCACCCGTGGTGGTGCTGGGATGTGTCACCCACCCATGGTGGCATTGGGATGTGTCACCCATGGTGGCATTGGGATGTGTCCCCACCCATGGTGGCACTGGGATGTGTCACCCATGATGGCACTGGGATGTGTCACCCATGGTGGCACTGGGATGTGTCACCCACCCATGGTGGCGCTGGGATGTGTCACTCACCCATGGTGGCACTGGGACATGTTCCCCACCCATGGTGGCACTGGGATGTGTCACCCACCCATGGTGGCCCTGGGACATGTTCCCCACCCATGGTGGCACTGGGATGTGTCACCCATGGTGGCATTGGGACATGTTCCCCACCCATGGTGGCACTGGGATGTGTCACCCATGGTGGCATTGGGACATGTTCCCCACCCATGGTGGCATTGGGATGTGTCACCCATGGTGGCATTGGGACATGTTCCCCACCCATGGTGGCATTGGGATGTGTCACCCATGGTGGCATTGGGTTGTGTCACCCATAGTGGCGCTGGGACATGTTCCCCACCCATGGTGGCACTGGGACACGTCACCCATGGTGACGCTGGGACATGTCCCCACCCATGGTGACGCTGGGACATGTCCCCACCCATGGTGGCACTGGGATGTGTCATCCATGGTGGCATTGGGACATGTCCCCACCCATGGTGGCACTGAGATGTGTCACCCATGGTGGCACTGGGGTGCGTCACCCACCCATGGTGGCACTGGGACACGTCACCCATGGTGGTATTGGGACATGTTCCCCACCCATGGTGGCGCTGGGACATGTCCCCACCCTAGGTGGCACTGGGGCGCGTCACCCACCCGTGGTGGCACTGGGACATGTCCCCACCCATGGTGGCGCTGGGACATGTCCCCACCCATGGTGGCGCTGGGACATGTTCCCCACCCATGGTGGGAGGGCTCCAGAACCACGAGTGGGGATGTTGTGGATGGGGGTCTTTGGAGGTCCAGGGGTCTTTGGGGAGTTCAGGGGTCTTTGGAGGTCCAGGGGTCTTTGGGGGGTCCAGGGGTCTTTGGGGGAACCCAACTGGTGGGTTCAGGATCCAGTTGGGGTCTTGGGAGTGTCTTTGGAGAACCAAAGGTTGGGGGGATGTTGTGGATGGGGGTCCTTGGAGGTCCAGGGGTCCTTGGAGGTCCAGGGGTCTTTGGGGGTCCAGGGGTGTCTGAGGGGGGTCAATGGATCTTTGGGGTCAGGGGGTGTTGGGATCCCACTGGGGGGTCTTGGGAGCCAACGGGGAATCCTTGGGGCATCTTTGAAGAACCAAAGTTGGGTTTTTGGGGGGTGTTGGTCTGTGGTGGCCGAGGGTCTTGGGGTGTCCAGGGGTCTTTGGGGTGGATCCAGGGGTCTTTGGGAGAGGTCAATGGATCTTTGGGGTCACGGGGTGGTGGGATCCCACTGGGGGGTCTTGGGGGTGCTTGGGACATTTTTGGAGAACGAAGGGTGGGGCGTTGGGAAGCGTTGCTCTGTTGTGGGTGGAGGTCTTGGAGGGGGTCCAGGTGTCTCTGGGGTGGGTCCGTGTGTCCTTGGGGCTCTGCAGGATTTGGGGGTCCGTGGGGTTTGGGAGATGTTGGTGAGGTCGGACTGGGCAAGTCCTACACATGTAGGAGATGGTGGGATGGCCACCACAAAGGGCGTGGTTGTGTTGTCCAGGGGTGACCGGGGACACCATTTCTCCAGCTGGCGCTGATCCAGCAGACGGGAGCAGCACCGTGACGACGAGCTTCAGCGACTCAACCACCTTGACTTCCACCAGCCCACCAACCCACTCCACCACCACGGCAACGCTGTCCAGAACCAAGGCAACCCCACCCACCACCAGCAGCTCGACTGAGTCCTCCACCACCTCAACCACGACCACCACACCAACCCCATCCACCACCACCACCACCACCAGCAGCTCGCCTGGGTCCTCCAGCACCTCACCCACCTCAACCACCACCATCTCAACCCCATCCAGCACCACCAGCAGCTCGACTGAGTCCTCCACCACTACCACACCAACCCCATCCACCACCACCACCACCACCAGCAGCTCAACTGAGTCCTCCACCACCTCACCCACCTCAACTGTCACCACCACCTCAACCCTGTCCACCACCACCACCAGCACCAGCAGTTCAACTGCGTCCTCCAGCACCTCACCCACCTCAACTACCACTACCACACCAACCCTGTTGACCACCACCACCAGCACCAGTTCAACTGGGTCCTCCACCACCTCACCCACCTCAACTGTCACCACCACATCAACCCCATCCACCACCAGCAGCTCGACTGAGTCCTCCACCACCTCAACCACTACCACCACACCAATCCCGTCCACCACCACCACCACCAGCAGCAGCTCAGCTGGGTCCTCCACCACGTCACCCACCTCGACTGCCACCACCACACCAACCCAGTCCACCACCACCACCACCAGCAGCTCCACTGCGTCCTCCACCACCTCACCCACCTCGACCACCACCACCACACCAACCCTGTCCACCACCACCACCACCACCAGCAGCTCGCCTGGGTCCTCCAGCACCTCACCCACCTCAACTGTCACCACCACCTCAACCCCATCCACCACCAGCAGCTCAACTGAGTCCTCCACCACCTCAACCACGACCACCACACCAATCCCGTCCACGACCACCACCACCAGCAGCAGCTCAGCTGGGTCCTCCACCACATCACCCACCTCGACTGCCACCACCACACCAACCCCATCCACCACCACCACCACCACCAGCAGTTCAACTGGGTCCTCCACCACCTCACCCACCTCAGGGACCCCCACCCAGTCAACTCCATCCACCACCTCCAGCAGCTCAGCTGCGTCCTCCACCACCTCATCAACTTCGACTGCCACCACCCCATCAATCCTGTCCACCACCACCACCACCACCAGCAGCTCAGCTGGGTCCTCCACCACCTCTCCCACCTCGACTGCCACCACCACATCATCCCCATCCACCACCACCACCACCAGCAGCAGCTCCACTGTGTCCTCCAGCACCTCACCCACCTCGACTGACGCCACCACCTCAACTCCGTCCACCACCATGTTAACCCCGTCCTCCACCACCACCACTACCATCAGCAGCTCCACTGTGTCCTCCACCACCTCACCAACTTCAACTGCTACCAGCACATCATCCCTGTCCACCACCACCACCACCTCCACCAGTTCAACTGAGTCCTCCACCACCTCACCCACCTCAACTGTCACCACCACCTCAACCCCATCCACCACCAGCAGCTTGACTACGTCCTCCAGCACCTCACCCACCTCGACCACCACCACCACACCAACCCTGTCCACCACCACCACCACCAGCAGCAGTTCAACGGTGTCCTCCACCACCTCACCCACCTCAACTGTCACCACCACCACCTCCACCCCATCCACCACCCCGTCATCCCTGTCCACCACCACCACCACCACCACCACCAGTTCAACTGGGTCCTCCACCACCTCACCAACCTCGACTGCCACCACTGTGTCAAACCCGTCCAGCACCACCTCCATCCTGTCCACCTCCACGTCATCCCCATCCACGACCACCACCACCATCAGCTCAACTGCATCCTCCAGCACCTCACCCGCCTCAGCCACCACCACCTCAACCCCGTCCAGCACCACGTCATCCCTGTCCACCACCACATCATCCCCATCCACCACCACCACCAGCAGCAGCTTCACGGTGTCCTCCAGCACCTCACCAACTTCGACTGCCACCACCACATCAACGCTGTCCATGACCACGCCAACCCCGTCCACCACCAGCAGCAGATCGACTGTGTCCTCCAGCACCTCACCCAACGCAGCCACCACCACACCAACCCCATCCTCCACCACGAGCAGCAGCTCGACAATGTCCTCCAGCTCCTCACCCACCTCAACTGCAACCACCACGTCAACCCTGTTCACCACCACATCAAACCCATCCAGCACCACCACCACCAGCAGCAGCTCTACTGCATCCTCCAGCACCTCACTCACCTCAGCGACCCGCACCCAGTCAACTCCATCCACCACCACCAGCGCCTCCACTGTGTCCTCCAGTACCTCGCCAACTTCGACTGCCACCACCACGTCAACCCCATCCAGCAGTAGCTCAACGGTTTCATCTGGTACCTCACCCAGCTCGACTGTCACCACCACACCAACCGTGTCCACCACCTCCACCACCACATCCAGTTCAACTTTGTCCTCCAGCACCTCACCAGCCTCAACTGTCACCACCACACCGACACTGTCCAGCACCACCACCAGCAGCTCCACTGCATCCTCCAGCTCCTCACCCACCTCGACTGCCGCCACCACGTCAACTCCGTCCACCACCACAGGAATCCACTCCAGCACCACGTCTAGCCCGTCCAGCACCATGTCTACCCTGTCCACCACTACACCAACCCAGTCCAGCACCACATCAACGCCCTCCAGCACCACGGGAACCCACTCCAGCATCACGTCATCCCCATCCACCACCACGTCAACCCTGTCCACCACCACAGGAACCCCGTCAACCACGACAGCAACCCAGACCAGCATCACATCAACGTCTTCCACCACCACGGCAACCCCGTCCACCACCAGCAGTAGCACAACGGTTTCATCTGGCACCTCACCAACTTCGACTCTCACCACCACACCAACCCTGTCCACCACCACCACCAGTTCAACTGGGTCCTCCAGCACCTCACCCACCTCGACTGCCACCACCACACCAACCCCGTCCTCCACCACCACCAGCAGCACCAGCAGCTCGACTGCGTCCTCCACCACCTCACCCACCTCGACTGCCACCACCACGTCATCCCTGTCCACCACCACACCAACCCTCCCCACCACCACCTCCACCACCAGTTCAACTGGGTCGTCCAGCACCTCACCCACCTCAGCCTCCACCACCCAGTCAACCCCATCCACCACCACCAGCAGCTCCACTGTGTCCTCGAGCACCTCACCCACCACAACTGCCACCACCACGTCAAGCCCGTTGACCACCACCAGCAGCAGCTCCACTACGTCCTCCACCACCTCACCAACTTCGACTGCCACCACCACAGCAACCCTGTCCACGACCACATCAACCCCGTCCACCACCAGCAGCAGCTCGACGGTGTCCTCCAGCACCTCACCCACTTCGACTTCCATCACCACGTCAACCCAGTCCAGCACCACCGCAACCCAGTCCAGCATCACATCAACGCCTTCCACCACCACGTCATCCCTGTCCACCACCAGCACCAGCAGCTCGACTGTGTCCACCACCACCTCACCCACCTCAACTGTCACCATCACGTCATCCCTGTCCACCACCACACCAACCCTCCCCACCACCACCTCTACCAGCAGTTCAACTGGGTCCTCCAGCACCTCTCCCACCTCAACTGCCACCACCTCAACACCATCCAGCACCACCAGCAGCTCCACTGTGTCCTCCAGCACCTCACCCACCACAACTGCCACCACCACATCAAGCCCGTTCACCACCAGCAGCTCCGCTACATCCTCCAGCACCTCACCAACTTCGACTGCCACCACCACGGCAACCCCGTCCAGCACCAGCAGTAGCTCAACGGTTTCATCTGGCACCTCTCCCACCTCGACTGTCACCACCACACCAACCCCGTCCACCACCACCAGCAGCAGCTCCACTGTGTCCTCCAGCACCTCACCAACTTCGACTGCCACCACCACGTCAACCCTGTCCACCACCACCCCTACCAGCAGCAGCTCGACCGGGTCCTCCAGCACCTCTCCCACCTCAACTGTCACCACCACACCAACCCTATCCACCACCACCACCAGTTCAACTGTGCCCTCCAGCACCTCACCAGCCTCAACTGTCACCACCACACCGACACTGTCCAGCACCACCAGCAGCAGCTCGACTGCATCCTCCAGCACTTCACCCACCTCGACTGCCACCACCACACCAACCCCATCCACCACCACATCATCCCCATCCACCATCACCACCAGCAGCAGCTCCACGGTGTCCTCCACCACCTCACCAACTTCAACTGCTACCACCACATCATCCCTGTCCACCACCACGGCAATCCCGTCCACCACCAGCAGCAGCTCAACGGTGTCCTCCAGCACCTCACCCACCTCGACTGCCACCACCACGTCATCCCTGTCCACCACCACCTCAACCCCATCCACCACCACCAGCAGCAGCTCAACGGTGTCCTCCGGCACCTCACCCACCTCGACTGCCATCACCACACCAACCCTGTCCACCACCACCACCACCAGTTCAACTGGGTCCTCCAGCACCTCACCCACCTCAGTCACCACCACCTCAACCCCATCCAGCACCACCAGCAGCTCCACTGTGTCCTCGAGCACCTCACCCACTACAACTGCCACCACCACGTCAACCCCGTTCACCACCACCAGCAGCTCCACTACGTCCTCCAGCACCTCACCAACTTCGACTGCCACCACCACAGCAACCCTGTCCACGACCACATCATCCCCATCCACCACCACCACTACCAGCAGCAGCTCGACTGGGTCCTCCATCACCTCACCCACCTCAACTGCCACCACCCAGTCAACCACATCCCCCACCAGCAGCAGCTCAACTGCATCCTCCAGTACCTCACCAACTTCTACTGCCACTACCACGTCATCCCTGTCCACCACCACCACCACCACCTCCAGCAGCTCCACTGTGTCCACCACCACCTCTCCCACCTCGACTGCCACCACCACACCAACCCCGTCCACCACCAGCAGCAGCAGCTCAACTGCATCCTCCAGCACCTCATCCACCTCAGCGACGCCCACCACATCAACTCCATCCACCACCACCAGCAGCAGCTCCACGGTGCCCTCCAGCACCTCTCCCACCTCAACCACCACCACCCAGTCAACGCCATCCACCACCACCGCCACCAGCTCAACTGCGTCCTCCAACACCTCACCAACCTCGACTGCTACCACCACGTCAACCCTCTCCACCACCACCACCACCACCACCAGCAGCTCAACTGTGTCCTCCAGCACCTCACCAACTTCGACTGCCACCACATCATCCCTGTCCACCACCACCTCAACCCCATCCACCACCACACCAACCCCGTCCACCACCAGCAGCAGCAGCTCAACTGTGTCCTCCAGCACCTCATCCACCTCAGCGACCCCCACCACGTCAACTCCATCCACCACCACCAGCAGCAGCTCCACTGCATCCTCGGGCACCTCACCCACCTCAACCACCACCACTCAATCAACCCCATCCACCACCACCACCAGCAGCTCCACTGTGTCCTCCAGCACCTCACCAACCTCGACTCCTACAACCACGTCAACCCTGTCCACCACCACCAGCAGCTCCACTGTGTCCTCGGGCACCTCACCCACCTCAACCACCACCACTCAATCAACCCCATCCACCACCACCACCAGCAGCTCAACTGGGTTCTCCAGCACCTCACCAACTTCTACTGCCACCACCACCTCAACCCCATCCAGCAGCACCACCACCACCACCAGCAGCAGCTCGACTGCATCCTCCAGCACCTCACCAACCTCGACTCCTACCACCACGTCAACCCTGTCCACCACCACCAGCAGCTCAACTGCGTCCTCCACCACCTCTCCCACCTTGACTGCCACCACCACATTAACCCCATCCACCACCACCACCTCCACCACCAGCAGCTCCACTGTGTCCTCCAGCACCTCACCAACTTCGACTGCCACCACCACATCATCCCTGTCCACCACCACCACCACCAGCAGCTCCAGTGTGTCCTCCAGCACATCACCAACTTTGACTGCCACCACCACGTTAACCCCGCCTACCACCACCACCATCAGCAGCAGCTTGACTGTGTCTCCTACCACCTCACCCACCTCTACTCCCACTACCACATCAACCCTGTCCACTACCACCAGCAGCAGTTCGACTGTGTCCTCCAGCACCTCTCCCACCTCAACTGCCACCACCACACCAACCCCATCCACCACCACATCATCCCCATCCACCACCACCAGCAGCAGCTCCACTGCGTCCTCAGGCACCTCACCCACCACAACTGCCACCACCACATCATTGCCATCCACCACCACCTCAACCCCATCTACCACCAGCAGCAGCTCGACTGTGTCCACCACCACCTCACCCACCTCGACTGCCACCACCACCTCAACCCCGTCCACCACCACATCTACCCTGTCCACCACCACCTCAACCCCATCTACCACCAGCAGCAACTCGACTTTGTCCACCACCACCTCATCCACCTCTACTGTCACCACCACCTCAACCCCATCCACCACCTCCTCACCCACCTCTACTCCCACCACCACCTCAACCCTGTCCACCACCACCTCAACGCCATCTACCACCTCATCAACCTCATCCACCACCACATCAATGCCGTCCACCACCACATCAACCCCATCCACCACCACCTCAACCCCGTCCACCACCACCTCAACCCCGTCCACCACCACCTCAACCCCATCCACCACCACCTCAACCCCGTCCACCACCACCTCAACCCCGTCCACCACCACCTCAACCCCATCCACCACCACCTCAACCCCATCCACCACCACCTCAACCCCATCCACCACCACCTCAACCCCATCCACCACAACCTCAACAACCTCAACCACCTCGACTGCCACCCCCATCCAAACAACCACAACCACCACGACCACAACCACAACCACTACCACCACCACCACCATGACAACCACAGTCACCAGTCCAGGTGAGTTTTGCTCCTTGGTGTCCCTCCACAGCCATGTCCCTTCTCTCCGTGTTCTCCTCGGCATTGTCCAGGTGGCTTTTGGTGTTTCTCCAGGCCGTGTCACAGTTCCCGTGTCCTTGGTTCCCTCTCCCAGGTCAGTGCCAGAATGGTGGCACGTGGGAAGATGGCAAGTGCCTGTGTCCCGATGGCTTCCAAGGGGACTTCTGCGAGGAGGTCATCTGCCAAAACGGGGGCACCTTTGCCAACGGCGTCTGCCAGTGCCCCCCCAATTTCCAAGGAGACAGGTGCCAGACCGCCAAGGACGTCGTGGAGATCCAAAATGGTAGGGAACCATCCCAAGGTGCCATGGGGTGGCCACCAGACCCGGACATGGGCTGAGGTCACCTCTGAGGGGTCAGCCAGGGGTTGGGGTGAGGGTGTGACCTGGGAATGGGACCACCAGGGAGGGACTGACCCCAAGATGAGGTTGGGTCACCACGGATGGACCAACCAAGAAATGAGACCGACCTGGGTTTGGGGTCGCCATGGAGGGACCAAGCTGGTCCCCTGACCAAGGTCACCAGGGGTGGGGTGGGGACATCCAGGTCTCTTCCTTATGGGTCTACTCTGCTTGGCCAAGTGACGATGAACGCGACGGTGGAGATGACGGCCAAAGTCGACAACAGGAACTTCAGTGAAGATCTCAAAAATCCATCCTCAGATGCCTACAAGGAGTTTAACGATACGTTCCAGAAGCAGGTCAGGGCTCAGCAGTGCCGGGGGTGACCTTGGGGACAGCCCCTTGAGGGGGTTCTGTGGACCACGACGGGGTCCTGGATCTCCCCAGGCTTCTCTTTGTCTTCCAGATGTCGATGCTTTATGGGCATATCGAGGGCTACAAAGGTGTGATAATCAAAGAGCTGCGGTGAGTCTCCACCGGTGGCCAGGTGGGTCCTGACCATCTCCAGAGCTCCAGTGGGGTGGTTTGGGGTGAAGGAACCCATGGGGGTCAGTTTGAGGTGATTCCCTTCATGTTTGGAGCATCCACATCCCTCCAAGCCGTGTAGTGTCCATGGAGTTCCTCCAGGACAGTCCAGACTGTGGTGTCCCTCCACACTGGGCATTCCATACTGGTCCCAGTTTGGTCCAGAACCAAGCACCGCCCCTTCTCCTCACAGCTCAGGCAGCATCGTGGTGGACTATGACGTCATCCTGGAGCTCCCCGCCAGCTCCAAGGTCAACGAGACGGTGAAGAGCATCTCCGAGAACCTCGTCACTGCCATCCAAAACCACGGCTGTGACGAGAACTGCACAGGGGACGACTGTGAGTGACCCCAGGGGTCACCCCACCAGCACCGGCTCCTCTCTGGGGCTGGCTTGGCTTTGGGGTGGCCCACCAGCATCTCCTCTCTCCATGCCAGGTGTCTGCTTCAACAGCAACTTCACCGTTGTCCACAAAGTTGAGGTGCAAGAGGTGGAAGAACGTAAGTTTGGGTGTTTGGGTGTCTCCAACGGGGTGTTTGGGTGTCTCCAACCCCTCTGGAGAACCCCAAAACCTGAGGTCTGCGTCTCCACCCTCAGGTGTGTGCGACACCTACATCCAGGAGGAGTTCAGAGTCTTCTACACGCCGTACCTGACCAAGGTCGGCGTCATCTGCATCACCCGCTGCGACTCGCGCCACGCCGACCCGCTGCCCTGCGTCCATGGCAGATGTTCCGTCAGCCGGGAGGGGCCGCAGTGCGAGTAAGGACCCGCCCCCCACAAATGGGTGGTCCCCCCCAAACGCCATGGCTCTCACCCTCATCATCGCCATGGTCCACCCACCATCATGACCCCCGTGATGACCCCATAACTGTGACCACCCCATGATCCTCATGGTCATCCTCATCTTCCATGATTGCTGTGATGACCTCACAATTGATCACCCCGTTCCCATGACCACCCCCAGTGCCATGACCCCCATAAGCCCCCATGACAACCCCACCACCATGACCACCATGACCATGACAACCTCACAACCATGACCACCGTGACAATGGTGACCCCACCACCATGACCACCATGACCATGACAACCCCACCACCATGACCACCATGACAATGGTGACCCCACCACCATGACCACCATGACCATGACAATCCCACCACCATGACCACCATGACCATGACAACCTCACAACCATGACCACCATGACAATGGTGACCCCACCACCATGACCACCATGACCATCATGGCTATGACCACCATGACCACCATGACCCCCGTGAGCCCCATGACCATGACAACCACACCACCATGACCACTATGACCTTGACAACCCCACCACCATGACCACTATGACCACCATGACCATGACAACCCCACCACCGTGACCACCATAACCATCATGGCTATGACCACCATGACCACCATGACCATGACAACCCCACCACCATGACCACCATGATCTCCATGACCATGACAACCCCACCACCATGACCACCATAACCATCATGGCCATGACCACCATGACCACCATGACCATGGTGACCCCACCACCACGACCACCATGATCCCCATGACCGTGACAACCCCACCACCATGACCACCATGACCATTCCCACCAGGTGCTCGGACCAGGTCGCCTTCTGGTACCAGGACAACGCCTGCAGCTCCCGCATCAGCAAGGTTGGGGTGTCCGTGGGCGTTCCGGTGGCCGTCCTGGTCCTGGTCAGCACCATCTTCACCATCCTCCTGCTGAGATCTCGGAGGCAGAAGGATCAGTACAGGTAGATGCGTCACCTTGGGGTGGGCTGGGTGGTCCCGTGGGGGTCCCGAGTCTCATCCCTGTGGGTCCCACCACGCAGGAAGAAGCTGAAGTCCCGCTCGGAGATGTACACCAGCGATGACGGGAACTGGGACGGATCTCAAGGCTTTGCCATGGGCAACCTGGCGGCCACCTGGGAAGGTAACGGGCGCGGAGGTGGGGATGGGCGTGGGGATGGGTTGGAGGTCGCTGTGGCACCCAGGGGTCCATGGCACCTCTTCTTCCACCCCACAGACATGGAGACCCCCAACACCAGCTACATCAACCTGGAGAACGTGGACACCTCGAGGACGGTGGGTGACACATCCCCAGGAGCCTGATGTTGTCCTCTTTCCCCACACCACCATCATCATCCTCCTCTCTCCTTCCTCCCCAGATACACATCCAGAGACCGACCATAGTCCCCTGAGCGAAGCCACCTGAGAACCAGCGGAGACAGGACACGGGGCCACCAGGATGTGGAGGAGGGGACACATGGACAGGAGAGCGATGAGAATCAGGAGATCCACCATCCCCTTCCTCACCACGCAGATGTTTGCACACAGAATTATTTATAATTAAACAAATCCTTAGCTTCATTGTCACCTGTCCAGTTCTTCTTGGGGACACGAGGTGGCTCCAGGACAGGACCGGGCCTGGGCTGGGGACAAGACGCGAGTCCAAAAGGAAACATCTAAATCGGGAAAGGAAAATATTGGGAGTGAGGTAATTATTGACCTTTGGAATTTGTCATGATTGGGTTTGGAACTGCCCTTGGGACACCCCGGCCTCACCTGGTGACGGGTGTGGAAGAAAATGTCCTTGTCACCAGTTCTGGAATGAAACGTCACCCTGGAGGTTCCTCCACACCTCCTTCCCACGGGGACAAAGGGCTCGGAGATGGAGGGTGGGGCAGCTGTGGTGGCTCAAGGAGCAGAGGACTTTGAGGAGGTCCCATGGTGGCACCACCCTTGGTTGTGGGGGACATTGAGGGGGTCTCAAGGTGGCACCACCCACGGGTGGAGGTGACATAGATGGTCTCAAGGTGGCACCACCCATGGTTGTTGGGTGGATATTGAGGAGGTCCCAAGGTGACACCACCCACGGTTGTTGGGTGGATATTGAGGAGGTCCCATGGTGGTACCACCCTTGGTTGTTGGGGACATTGAGGATTTCTGAATGTGGCACCACTCGTGGTTGTGGGGGACATTGAGGGGGTCTCAAGGTGGCACCACCCATGAGTGGAGGGGACATTGAGGAGGTCCCAGTGTGATACCACCCACGGGTGGAGGAGACATTGATGGTCTGAAGGTGGTACCACCCTTGGTTGTGGGGGACTTTGAGGGGGTCCCATGGTGGCACCACCCTTGGTTGTGGGGGACATTGAGGGGGGTCTCAAGCTGGTTCCACCCATGAGTGGAGGGGACATTGAGGAGGTCCCAGTGTGATACCACCCTTGGTTGTGGGGGACATTGAGGGGGTCCCATGGTGGCACCACCCACGGGTGGAGGTGACATTGATGGTCTCAAGGTGGTACCACCCTTGGTTGTGGGGGACTTTGAGGGGGTCCCAAGGTGGCATCACCCTTGGTTGTGGGGGACATTGAGGAGGTCCCAGGGTGACACCACCCATGGTTGTTGGGGGGATATTGAGGAGGTCCCATGGTGGTACCACCCTTGGTTGTGGGGGACATTGAGGAGGTCCCATGGTGGCACCACCCTTGGTTGTTGGGGACATTGAGGGTTTCTGAAGGTGGCACCACTCTTGGTTGTGGGGGACATTGAGGGGGTCCCAAGGTGGACAATGGACCACCACAACCACGCTCCCCACCACCACTATGACCACACCCTCACCACTTTGACCACCAGGACTTCTCCCACCACCATGACCCCCATGAACCCCATGACCACCATGACCCCACCACCCCCACAACCAACTCCACCACCTTCTCCCACATCACGGACGGGGCAGGAGGACACGTCATGTTGGAACTTGGCCCTCAGCCAGTTCCCGCCCCACCCTTCCCTGGCTAAAATCAACATTTTTATGCCTTTCTTGGCAGCCGTGGCCGGGAACGGGGACAAAGTCCCAACTGCCTGAAGGTGCGGCCAGGTGTGGCCCAAACACACCTGCCAGGTGCCGGAATGTGGTGGGAGTGTCCCCTGTTGGAGTACGGGGGGGTCCCAGGGGGGTGTGGGGGTGCCACCACCAAAAATATCTCCAAAAGGTGCCTGGAGATGTTTGTCCCCTCCCCAAGCTGTCACCGAGGTTGTCCCAGTACAAACCAGTAACACCAGAGATGTTTGAGGGACTTCATTGAGAAGGAGAGGGTCCAGCCTCGTTTTTGGGGTGGGGGGGTCCTCACCCTTGAATTTGGGGAGGGAGGGAGGTGGGGACACGGCCTTGGAGATGGGGACATGACCTTGGAGGTGGGGACATGACCTTGGAGGTGGGGACATGACCTTGGAGATGGGGACATGGCCTTGGAGATGGGGACATGACCTTGGAGATGGGGACATGGTCTTGGAGATGGGGACATGACCTTGGAGGTGGGGACATGATCTTGGAGATGGGGACATGGCCTTGGAGGTCGGGACATGACCCTGGAGGTGGGGACATGACCTTGGAGATGGGGACATGACCTTTCAGGTGGGGACATGACCTTGGAGGTGGGGACATGGCCTTGGAGGTGGGGACATGACCTTGGAGGTGGGGACATGACCTTGGAGGTGGGGACATGGCCTTGGAGGTGGGGACATGACCTCGGAGGTGGGGACATGACCTTGGAGGTGAGGACATGACCTTGGAGATGGGGACATGGCCTTGGAGGTGGGGACATGATCTTGGAGGTGGGGACATGGCCTTGGAGGTGGGGACATGACCTTGGAGGTGGGGACATGACCTTGGAGATGGGGACATGACCTTGGAGGTGGGGACATGGCCTTGGAGGTGGGGACATGACCTTGGAGATGGGGACATGACCTTGGAGATGGGGACATGGCCTTTCAGGTGGGGACATGACCTTGGAGATGGGGACATGACTTTGGAGATGGGGACATGACCTTGGAGGTGGGGACATGACCCTGGAGGTGGAGACATGACCTTGGAGGTGGGGACATGACCTTGGAGATGGGGACATGGCCTTGGAGGTGGGGACATGACCTTGGAGATGGGGACATGGCCTTGGAGGTGGGGACATGACCTTGGAGATGGGGACATGACCCTGGAGGTGGGGACATGTCCTTGGAGATGGGGACATGGCCTTGGAGATGGGGACATGACCTTGGAGATGGGGACATGACCTTGGAGGTGGGGACATGACCTTGGAGGTGGGGACATGACCTTGGAGGTGGGGACATGACCTTGGAGATGGGGACATGGCCTTGGAGATGGGGACATGACCTTGGAGATGGGGACATGGTCTTGGAGATGGGGACATGACCTTGGAGGTGGGGACATGATCTTGGAGATGGGGACATGGCCTTGGAGGTCGGGACATGACCCTGGAGGTGGGGACATGACCTTGGAGATGGGGACATGACCTTTCAGGTGGGGACATGACCTTGGAGGTGGGGACATGGCCTTGGAGGTGGGGACATGACCTTGGAGGTGGGGACATGACCTTGGAGGTGGGGACATGGCCTTGGAGGTGGGGACATGACCTCGGAGGTGGGGACATGACCTTGGAGGTGAGGACATGACCTTGGAGATGGGGACATGGCCTTGGAGGTGGGGACATGACCTTGGAGGTGGGGACATGGCCTTGGAGGTGGGGACATGACCTTGGAGGTGGGGACATGACCTTGGAGATGGGGACATGACCTTGGAGGTGGGGACATGGCCTTGGAGGTGGGGACATGACCTTGGAGATGGGGACATGACCTTGGAGATGGGGACATGGCCTTGGAGGTGGAGACATGACCTTGGAGATGGGGACATGACCTTGGAGATGGGGACATGACCTTGGAGATGGGGACATGACCTTGGAGATGGGGACATGACCTTGGAGATGGGGACATGGCCTTTCAGGTGGGGACATGACCTTGGAGATGGGGACATGACTTTGGAGATGGGGACATGACCTTGGAGGTGGGGACATGACCCTGGAGGTGGAGACATGACCTTGGAGGTGGGGACATGACCTTGGAGATGGGGACATGGCCTTGGAGGTGGGGACATGACCTTGGAGATGGGGACATGGCCTTGGAGGTGGGGACATGACCTTGGAGATGGGGACATGACCCTGGAGGTGGGGACATGTCCTTGGAGATGGGGACATGGCCTTGGAGATGGGGACATGGCCTTGGAGATGGGGACATGACCTTGGAGATGGGGACATGGTCTTTCAGGTGGGGACATGACCTTGGAGATGGGGACATGACCTTTCAGGTGGGGACATGACCTTGGAGGTGGGGACATGACCTTGGAGGTGGGGACATGACCTTGGAGGTGGGGACATGACCTTTCAGGTGGGGACATGACCTTTCAGGTGGGGTCAGGACCCAAAAGTGCTGCTGGAGGTGAGGTCCCCACGTCCTAAAAATGGGGTCATGACCTAAAAGTTCTCACAGGAAGAGGATGAGGGACAGGGGAAGAGGATGAAGATGAGGGAGGGGGTCAAGGTGACACCCAGGAGAAGGTCCAGGTTGTCCTGCAGTGCTCGGGGGGGACCTTGTTCCATGGGGTTGGTGATGGGGATGATGGTGATGATGTTGGTGATGATGGTGATGATCTTGATGTTGTTCATGTTGATGATGATGATGTTGATGTCAATGTCTATGTCAATGACAATGATGGTGAAGTTCTGGTGGTGGAAATCACCACCCCACCATGTCTCAGAGCTGCGTGATGAACTTCTGCGGCCGTGGGATTTGGATCTGTTGGCCACCAGAGAAGATCCAGGGGAAAAGAGGTGTCAGGAACATCTGGGATGTCCCCACTGCCCTGGTCCAGCCATGGCAGGAGGACAGGAGGAACTCACCGGCACCGACGTGTCCACGGCCTCAAGGTGGACTGGATGGTCATCCTTGAGCTGGGCACCTGTGGGACAGGAGGGCTCAGTGGTGGTGCTTGGGGTGGAGATGGTGGGCACAAACCAACCCCACCAGAGACCCCCCACCCACTCCATGCCCACCTTGGTTCCGGAGGGTGAAGTTTCCTTGAGGGCTCCACTCCTCGCTGATGTTCTGGTACCAATTCTCCATCATCTTCTGCTCAGCCCTGGGGATGGGTCAGGGGGTGCGGGGTGTCACCATCAGCAGGTCCATCCCTGCCTGGACCTCCCCAGCTCCTCCACACCTCCAAAAAGGACCAAGGTTCCCCCCACAACCCTCAGGACCTCATTGAGGATGAGGAACATCTTGGAAACCAACAACCCAACGAGTTGTCCCACCCCAGGGTGACCCCCCAAAACTGTCCCCTCTCACGTGTTAAGGGACCCAGATCTCCGAGCTCGGAAGAGGAAGATGGAGAGGAGGATGACCACGGTGACCAGGATGGCCACGGCCAAGCCCAGGCCCATGGCCAGTTTGCTGACCCGTGATGTGCAGCGGTCATCTTGGTACCAGTACAGGTGGGTCTCGTCGCAGCTGGTGGGGTG